TCCGTGATGCAATTAACTTTACATACCTTTTATATATCAGTAATGTTTTATGAAATAAATGGAATTTTTATATGAATTCAGTTACAAATGGAGATTAACAGGCTTGTCCTAAGAATAAGAGTATTTAAGTGAATGGTACCAATGCTTTTACTCTTTAAGCTTTCAACATAAAATTTGTTCAGATTAAGATTCAATATCAAGCATCTAAACTGAGTAGTTCTTCTGACATTATGACTGAAATCTTTGATAAAGTATAGGAAAATATCCAATACATATCAACTGCTGAATTATAGTATCCAATACCAAATAACTCATACAATATATTATCTGAAAGAGGGTTTTGTGTAGATTTTAATATATCGAGGGTTGAATTCATGAGTTAATTAAAGTTAGATCACCAAAGAAAACATAAAAGTACTGGATGGCTGTTTTGTCCTAGTATGAGACTCTTCAGCAGTGTGCATTCAAGATCCCGCACCAAAGTGACTCGAACCCGGCAGTGTTAATTTCTAGGCGTTCGCGCGCAAAGGCAATCGGTCATGGGTTTGAATCCCGCGGGCGCGATTGTGGATGTGCTCTGCTGAGGAGTACCATATTAATACGAATCGACCGTCCGGTGCTTCTAGGTTTTCCATGGTGGTCTAACTTTAATTGACCTATGAATTCAACTATAAAGTACATTATGTATTGAAAATGTTGTTCACAAAAACAAAAAGCACATGCTATATGTACATTAACTTCAGGGAGAAATGAGACCTACTGAACGAATTGTCTTTTTTTTCTTATAAATTTCAAAAGTTCTTATTTCATTCCCCTTCACTAACAAAATCGTTATCATCAGTATAGGGTTGTTGAGATTGTTGAGTTCAAATTGATATCATGAACGAACCGAGAGTTCTTGACTTGGATCTCACGTGTGGGATCATAGATGCGCACTGCCACTGAGGAGTCTCATACTGGGACGAAATGGGTCATCCATTGCTTTCAGATTTTCAATGATGGTCTAGCATTGATCCTCATTATCATTAACTAATGACAAGATTAACGTTTGGAAGTGAAACACACTAATCTACCTAATGATTCTACTATATTTTATACAGATTGAAGGATATAATGAAATTCTACTTGCAAAACAGCAATCGAATGAATAGAAATTAACACTACACTAGAAACAATAAATGATGAACATTTTTTAAAGTCCATCATCTAAATGTACAGGAAATGACTTACTTTTTCCATAAGACGGAATGAGGACGTTGATAAACATGAATTCAGTTTAAAGAACATGGAAATCCTAAGTAGAAGAATCATGTACTTACTTGACTACTTACTTACGCCTGTTACCCCCATCGGCCTTCTCCATCCAACTCTGTCCAGGGAAATCCTTTCAATTTGTTTCCAGTTATTATTCATCCTTTTCACATCTGCTTTTATTTCCTGACGTAATGTGTTCTTTGACCTTTCTCTTCTCCGCTTCCCTTTGGTACTACTCTGTTTAAGACTTTTATTCCACTGTATTAAAAATACTTTTAGTTCATGAAGATCATGCATTAATCTTAGTTAAATATGAAATGAAAACCAGCCATCTCGTCTTAGTATAGGACACCTCAGTAAAAGGCATCCACGACCCACCAAGGATTTAGAGGTAATGAGCTAGTACACGAGACCGAAAGTCCTGACTTCGATCCTCACTAGGAAAATTATGAAAGTGCACTGTTTAGGTGCCTCATACTAAGATGAAAATTCTATTCAGTGACTCCCAGTTTACAATCGAACCACGAAGTAATTTATGAAAATTGGTAAGTTGATAACCTTGTTACTTGAGTTCTATGGATACCAGATCATATATGCACAAGTATTAGCTTTTTCTATAACACATACTAATGTTCCCCTAATAAACTCAACCAAAAAAACAAGTTCCAAGTTTACACTAGTCACCAAATCTTTGTCTCGTTTTTCTATTAATTTGTTATATTAAGGTAGAAATAACAAAATGTTAGACTTTACTATTACTACTTAGTAACAGTGTGGTGTGTTTTACTGATGTTGACAGACATAAGTAGTATGTATGACCAATCAAACGTGAAATGCCTGGCGCTAGAAGATTAGGAAAATCGTAGAGAAGAGAACGATAACCGAAAGTGATTGGTATGAAAACGAAATAGCAACAAAGTTTGACACAATTGGTGGATATATTTTAAAAATGCAGTATTTACTGTATACTTCTCAGATTTTAGTAAGAGATTCTGGCATTCTCGTTTACTACAACAGTTCAGTAATCATTCTTGAAATTAATGAAGACAAAGATTTATTGAACAAACTGTCTGCACTAAACGAATAGGTTCCCTTCAGACATGATACCCGTTCCATATTCTACTAACAATGATAATCATCCACACACTAAATTCTACTGTGAACTTATAACCAATGAATGTAATTGAATAGGGCATGAGTTAATTCTCACTGATGACAGTCAATGAAGATGATGTAATAAAGTAATAAATTAACTGAAATTAGAACATTTCAGCCGTTGGTTATTGACTATGAGGTTGTATACTCTTTAGTATTATCGTTCACAGGGTCGGCAAGACTATAATTTATGGATGAACCAATCAGATATAAGATAAGGAGTAACAAATTTTGGCGCAAAATTCATCCATACATTTGGCTAAATAGAGTTTTGGCATTATAGCTGATGTCAGTTCGTGATGAAAACCCTAAATCTAATTCTTAACCTTAACCATCAACTGTAAATGAGAATTCTAACTGCTTTATAATCATCATTTAGTTCTAATTCATAGGTTTCCACTTTCAGGGTCACTTCAACGTCGCTCAAAGGTCATCCATAAATTATAGTCTTACCAATTATTCATTGAATACATCATTTGCATATTTACTTTTAATTGTCCTTTACGTATACTTCATCATTCTTCTAATGTTATTGTTATTCCGATTGCTCTCTATTTTGTTTCCTGTTCTCTTTATTTCAACCTTTTACTGGTAAACACTTGACATTCAATTCTTGCTACATACTACTTATATCTGTTTCTATAAGTAGTACATAACACAAGCACATCAATTATAATTATAACCACAAAAAGAAGAGAAACTAATTATTCAGCTTTAACTAATATGATATTCAGTTGAGTTGGTACACTTATTTAGTTGGTTTTTCTTTAAATGAACTATGTATATGTCAACATTCTGTCTTCTAATGGATGGATTGCAGCTAGAAGTCTTATTCAGGACTTGTCAATAGGATATGCTTACATATCATTGTTTGCATTCACATTAAGATCATAATCCAGGGTGTTCCTCTTCAAACAACAAAACGTTGACCAATGAGTTATATAGTCTAATTAGTCATGAAATCAATAATAGATACGGTTTTTATTATGTCACAATAAGTAGAAAAATTGTACTTCTGGTGTTTCGTAACTTAATGTAAGCCACTTCTTCAAAGTGAATAAAAATTCGAGATCAGTTCCTATATACTATTTAAACTTGTGTTAATTTAATGTCGGTTATTTAGTTACTCTGAAGAAGTAGCTCATATTAAGTTGCGAAATATCAGAAATACAATTTTTCTACTCATTGGGACAACTTTCTACCCGATGTTCAGTTTATTTGAACCTATCAAGTTAAACCTTGGCACTGATACCTATAGTCATGAAATCGTTTAACAAAAACTAATCAAAATTACAGTTATGAATATTAATAATAATAATAATAATATGTACATATCATACCTATTGTGGCTAATGGTGGGGTTCAGGACGCGCGTTTCGTCCTGTTTGGGACTCGTCAGGCGGATGTACCTGCACCTCAGAGTTGATGTTCACTCTGGGACTCGAACCCAGTACCATTCACCCCAAACGCCATCGCGTTATCCACCCAGCTTTCTATTGTACAAGCTGGAACCTGACCAAACTCAATATTTTAATGAATGATATAATTGCGTTTGAAGTGAAAAGTATTGGATACATGTCCGATATAAGCATCATCATATATACAGTTGTATTCAGCTGGTGAATTCCAGAAACGCTACTCATTGGTGCTACTACTAGCTACAACCAATCTATTCTATAAAACATTAGTCGAAGTTAGACATTAACACCGTTGGATCTAGTGGTTAGGTGCTCACGTGTGAAATAAGTAGGTCCTGGGTTCGAATCTCGCGAAGTGGGATCGTGGATGCACACTGCTGAGGAGTCCCACAATAGGACGAAACGACCGTCCAGTGCTTCCATGTTTTCCGTGGTGGTCTAGCTTCAACTGACTCATGATCTTAACCATTGAAATTACAAAACTCATCTGATATAAAATAACTGTATCGAAGTAATTCACACTCGGTACATATGTCTCAAATTTAATCCTGAATATTAACAATGAGATCATTCAAACCATTGATTATTATTATTGATGCTGACATATCCGGACGACAACGCTAACTGTTTGGATCCATTTATAAACTTATATTATCTATATATTCTTATGGTATAACCATTCAGTAATTAGATTATGTGTATCTATATTCTTCTCATTACAAGCTTTATTCTGGCCCACAGATTAACGTTATACGAATTACAGTTCTTAAGTTATGCTCAGTCTGTGAATTACAGTCTTCCACATTCACAATCACTTTTGGCTAGATTTGTATAAATTTTGTTTTCTATTTTATGGTACGGTGTAGTCTGTTTGGTTCGTATATAAACCCAGTATGTTTGAAATACAAGGACTCATAATTCAGAAGTTGAGGTTTGTATTCTCAACTCAACATACAGGGCTAAGCAGGAAGACAAGACCGATAAGGACTTCAGATCGCTCGTGTGGATTTATGCATTAATGGTCCGGTTGGTAAGTTACTGTTCTGTAATTGGCGGTATCATTACGTTACACAAGGCAATAGGTCACAAGTTATAACAGATCTACACGTATCAAAACATTTTCGTTTACTTTTTACTTCTTTTTTGTTTTGCTAATGTTTTTAAATTTAGAAAATGGCATCTAAGAAATCAGAGAAACAATTCATGTTATCAGAGAATGAATTTAATCAAATGGCCTATGATAATACAGCATTAATGAATCCACACTATATTGATGATATAGATTATAAAAATGAAATTCAACCAATGAATTCTCAACAAACAAAATCAAATCAATTTATAAATAATGCTGATTCCGATCGTTATAGTTGTTGGAGTCGTTTTACACACTGTATTCGGAGTAAGTCAGCTATTCTGATGTTGACAATAATAGTAGCTGTGGCATCTCTCAGACAGATGGATAGATGTGTGGACAGATAGATAGATAGATAGATAGATAGATAGATAGATAGATAGATAGATAGATAGATAGATAGATAGATAGATAGATAGATAGATAGATAGATAGATAGATAGATAGATAGATAGATAGATAGATAGATAGATAGATAGATAGATAGATAGATAGATAGATAGATAGATAGATAGATAGATAGATAGATAGATAGATAGATAGATAGATAGATAGATAGATAGATAGATAGATAGATAGATAGATAGATAGATAGATAGATAGATAGATAGATAGATAGATAGATAGATAGATAGATAGATAGATAGATAGATAGATAGATAGATAGATAGATAGATAGATAGATAGATAGATAGATAGATAGATAGATAGATAGATAGATAGATAGATAGATAGATAGATAGATAGATAGATAGATAGATAGATAGATAGATAGATAGATAGATAGATAGATAGATAGATAGATAGATAGATAGATAGATAGATAGATAGATAGATAGATAGATAGATAGATAGATAGATAGATAGATAGATAGATAGATAGATAGATAGATAGATAGATAGATAGATAGATAGATAGATAGATAGATAGATAGATAGATAGATAGATAGATAGATAGATAGATAGATAGATAGATTTTTTCCAAAATAGGGTCTTGGTTTAACCTAACTGTATCTTGATTGACTAAAAGTAACCGTAAAACTCTGGCGGTCATATTAGCCTTATTTACGATTAACGGAAGAGTATTTCTTTATTACCTGGTATTATGAAGAATCATAAATCAATAATGACAATATTTATTCAATACAAGAAACTGATTACTTTCTTTTAATGATAAATTAGCTTGTATAATTGCTGTTTAGAAATTAGTAATCCATTCTATGTTTGTAATGCTGTATGAAATCGCGTGAGAAATTTAAGGTCTCGTTTCGATTATCGATTGAGGTTGCTCACCGCTACAGATTCCTATATTAGGACTAAACACATGTCTAATGCTTCCAGATTTTTTAATGAAAGAAGTAGAAGAATTATTTGAAAATAGGTTTTTAAAAAGGTTATGTAACACTCTTGAAGCTGATGAAATTCTCACGACAATAGTTGTTTGGAGCCTGAAGGAAACTGTATCAATTAATTTGATGATAAAGAAGATCAAGCCTTTTTGTTAGAGTTTTGTTCTCTGAGCTTCAGCTTCCTACTGATCTCATACAGAAGAACGATTAAAGCTCCACAACAAAACTCCATCAAAATCATTCAGCTCACCTACAAATCTTCTACATTATCTCACAATAAAGCCTAATTAACACCTTCAAATATCATATTTCCCTTACTTAAACAACAATTCAGATTACATAACCAACTGAAATCAGTTTGAAAACTATTAAAAACGGAAAGTCACTGTACAATTGCTTCGTTACGTATCCACTATGTGTGTACCCAGAACATTAACAGAGATCAAAACCACAAAAAACTTTACGTCTTCAATGAAATGCTTGATTTTCAAATTCCCAATAGATATCTGATGATGATGTGATTAACTTCAATTAACTCACTAGACTGTACAATCGTCGCTGAATACAATCAGTGGAAAAATACCTCATACTTGACATTGATGAACTTCACTACTCACTGACTATCATTAAACCTCTAGAAACTCTCTCTGGAATGTAATAACTGGTGATTACATGAATAAATTTTGTATGGACGGTTTGTAAAGATGGAGTTGAAAGAGACCGCTCCTCTCAAAATGCTCTTACATGGCCACGTGCATACAGCCACTGCCAGGAAAGTTCTACTCACTGCGTTCTCGTGGCGAGGGTGTTGTTTGCAGAATTGAGAGGACGAAAAGGTTGGTGAATATAAAGGATCCGTCTGGGGGTGTTGGATGTATTCGGCACCCTTTTATACCAAAATTTATGTGTTCAAACAAACAAATAAATATTATCAACAAAGCGTATCTACAATTTCGGAAGATTAATACTTTCTAGGCTGAGACGTTACCATCACTAGTGTCCCGAATAACAGAGTTTTTCTAGTGACCACCTCTAACTAATAAGCTTCAGAGATTATGCAGTTTCGGAATAATGTCAATGAAAATATAGATTTTATACTCGGCTATAGTTTGATAGACTTATGTTATCTATGCATATATATATTAACATGTTAAACAAAGATTTCACGTTTTTTCTATTCCAACTAGGTGCATGGGCAACAAGATTAACTGAGGATACAATGGATAATAGAGAATTATATATACATACAACATTGAGAGAATTAGTGATTTATATATTTTTTCTTATTACACTAATGATTGGTAAGTTATGTTAATTTGATAGAAATTTTGCTGCTGGCAAGACTGAAATTTTTAGACGACGTTCGAGCCACGTTAGAGTGACCGCGCGAATATTCACCTACTTACTAGGGTTAAAAGAGAGTTATGTTGATGGAGTTTTTTTCTCTGAGCTGGATGTTTTAGTCGTGAGGCTTTCCTCGTTCTTTTGAACGACATCATCAACACAAACTTCAGATAAAGGGTTATGTGTTAGTATGAGAAGTTAGGATTAGTATTTGGAGTTACAAATTAAAATTAAGAATGATACTAAATTGATACCAGCCACACGTTTTTTAATTACGCCCGTTAGTCCTAATGGAGCATAGGCCGCCGACCAGCATTCTCCAACCCACTCTGTCCTGGGCCTTCTTTTCTAATTCCATCCAATTCTTGTTTATTTTTCTCATGTCCATCTCCATTTCTCGGCGTAATGTGTTCTTTGCTCTTCCTCTCCTCCTCCTTTGGCCTTGAGGATTCCATGTGAGGGCTTGTCTTGTGACACAGTTGGGTGCTTTCCTCAATGCGTGTCCTATCCACCTTCAGTGCTTCTTCCTAATTTCCTCCTCCACTGGGATCTGGTTTGTTCTCTCCCACAGTAGGTTGTTGCTAATAGTGTCTGGTCAACGGATCTGAAGTATTTTGCTTAGACAACTGTTAATAAACACCTGTATCTTCTGGATGATGGCTTTTGTAGTTCTCCAGGCTTCCGCCCCATACAGTAGAACTCCTTCTGGAGTCCCTTCGGGGGCTACTGCCGGCCCTAAGCCCGGATAAAGGAGGAGGGTTGGGCATGGGGTTAGCGACCCATCTCGTAGAAAACTAATTCGCTAAAAAAACACTAACCAGAAAAGAATTATACAATAATAATGTGGATCCACTCAAAAATGATAATTTATCGGATAGTAATAATAAGGAAGTATTGTAATTTCTTTGTTTAAATTTCAGTTGCTTACGGACCATTCAATTCAAATACTTATTTATTGACAAGCAGTATGAACACTATGTTTCTTCAAGCTCAAGTAACCAATGGAACAGATTCATTAAGTACTGCTAGTTCACTTGATGTTTTATGGTCGGTAAGTGAATAGTTTTTAGTTGCTTTTCTCTCTTTATTATGAATGCTTCTTCTAAGTATAAGTTAAGATGGCATTTTTGAGTGCCTTGCAAAATAGCTAAGGCTTTTCTTTCCTTAAAAGTGTTTTACTACTAAACATTTTATCAGTAGTATAAAATCAATTGCTAATTTGAATCCATCGGGATATTCAGATTGTGCGATGTATCTCTCATGTCACTCTGACAATATGAACAAAACGCTTAAAATAGTAAGGAAGAAATGACTTATGAATTCCTCAGGACCTCACTCAAAAATATATTGAAGCCACCAACCTGTCTAAGTTAGACAAACATTGAACACCTGGAAGCGTCAGATGATCACTTCGTCCTAGCATAGCCCTCCTAAGTAGAATGCACCCATGACCTCGCAAATGATATTCGAACCTAGGACCTTCGATCTTTTGAGCAAACGCTTAATCCTTAGACCCCTGAGTCATAATTCAAAGGTGTTGAAATCTAATGAAGTACATGGATTACTGGTTGTTGACATCATATTTTTATGATTGTTGTGTCAGGAGTGGGATAAGCAATGACTACTTACAATCATAACTCACCGCTTCAACAATGAATTATCCACCTGTACTCACCATCCTAAATTTATTATTTGAAGCTATTATCATCATTACTAGTTGCTAGTTGTATACATGATGCCTTCATAAAATATTTCTTATAGGTAATACAAGGTCCTATTATGAATAATTGGTATAGTAATACATGGTATAATACGCAACCATTTGCAACGGCAAATAACTTAACCCTATTATATCAGAATCGTCTAATTGGTGTGCCACGTCTAAGACAGCTACGTATGCCATCTAATTCGTGTATGATTCCAGTTTACTTCGCTGATGATATCAAAGAATGTTATGGACAATATCAAGAAGCGAATGAAGATAAAAAACCATTTGGTTTAAAAAATGGTACAGCGTAAGTGAACAAGTGTTTGTTGTTTCTACTTTCCACACTAGTTTAAAGTATCTGAATTTTCCAGTTGTTGCATCAATTTGTCCGTTTTCAATGTTAAATAATGGCTTGTTCAATAGATCCCTCATGTATCATGTCAACATTATTATATATTGATTAGGTGTTTCAAAACCAAAACGAACACCTCGTCGGTTAACTACACGTATAATTCAGAAGATTTCATAGGATTCGATATCTCAGTAGGCATCATACTATTTTGGAACTTCGTAGCTAATATGGGATCTCCAAACTAATAAGCGAACTGATCCATCGGATACTTGCTTAGTGAATCAGAGGTTAAGAGCTTACCCTGGAGCCTGATAGTACTTTGACCTAATAGTGAATGCACCCCACTGAGAAGTCCAGTTCAAGGACGAAGAAGCTGTCTAGTGCCTCATATTTTTCAAAGGTTTTCCAGTTGCAATCAATCCATAACGTAGACCACAAAATAGTCAGAGTCTATCAATCTCTACTAGCATTGACCAACCAATTAGATAAAAAGTCATGCGGTCACTATTGAATAGGTCATGAGATGGATGGTCGAAAATTCTAGTAAGCAGTGGTGATCAGTAAAGCTATCAGTAGTGATTGATAGACATTCCGTGACATAAATCGGGTATAGTAAATCATCTAAACTATTAGAATAATACTTAAATATCAGCACATGTCTTGATCTCGATCCGTACGAAAATAATAGGTTTATACTGTTTTTGAGCATAGACTCACTACAGTACAACTGTCAAATGACGCTTGAGTTTTTCCGGTTCATATAGATTCACTATGAAGGTTAACTTCATAAACTTTAAAAAAACCTAATTCGAATGATTTAAGAAGAATTGTTCATAATCTCTCAGACAGAAGCTTAACCAGTCATGAAATCACTCTACTGAAGAAAGAATTAAATTTCAATTTACATAAAAAACCACTTAGTACTCTTGAAGTTGCTCCAACTACAGTACCATTAATCGCACAACTACCGGAAAAAGACTCGCAAACGGCTAGCCCCAGACCGCCCATCAACCGAAGCAAATATTCCCCTTGACATCCTTCTAGACACATCCAATTTACCGGCAGCTCCACCACAAGACAAACCTCAACAACAAGCTGAATGACGTTCCAGACGATGGCCTCGCCGACAGCGGCGAGCAACAGTCAAGATGCAGGTCGACCCCAGGAACGCAGGTTATTAAAAAAGGGAGGAGTGTTGGGGACGTTAGATCCCCAAAACTCATATTTTGTAATTTTATCTTTGTTTAGCTTGTATGCAGATGTAAGCCTGGGCATTTCTTACCACCCATTCACATAGTCGATTGACGAACTTATTGATTAAATGTGTAAAAATTTCCATGGAAATATCGATTACATATATTTTGTATAAATACCCTTGATCTGTGTGCTTGAGGGACCTGGTATCTTCTGGTTGTCTGTAGAATACACTTTCTACATCTTACCAAGACTTCTGGATCGAGTTGGCTGAGTCGGGGACAACGGACCAGTATAGCCTATCGAGTCTCTGAATCCTTAATTCTTCGTTCCGTTCCGAGTAAGACGAATTAGTAGTAGCATTCAAGTTTAACGAATATAACATTATGTCAAAAGACATCCCACATTTTGACTAAACAAAAACACCTTACACCAAACATTTCAAAAGAAGAATTGAAGGCTCTGCATTCGCCTCAAAAAGACAAAACGATTATCATCACAATGGCCGACAAAGGCAACACAATAGTAGTCATGAATAAAACAGATAATATTAATAAAGCTCTTGAACCTCTCTCAACAGGACTATATGAAAAGATCAATCCGAAAAAATTCTCTAACGATTAAAAATAAAGTCAAATCAGAAACAAGTCAACTTTTGAAAGAGCTAAAACCAGTCATTAGTGTCTCGCTTTGATTTGCTCTGCATCTCAAATCATGTAATGTTTCACGGTTTTATGGTTTACCGAAGATTCATAAACCAGATATCCCTCTAAGACCGATAGTAGACTTTACCAACACACCAACATATGCGTTAACGATACATATGACTTTAAATCAAAATTATCGGAATTAATTATCGAGAAGAATGGGGTCATGGTAAGCTTTGATGTCGTTTCTTTATACACCAGTATTCCCATTGATAAATGCTTATAATTCATTAGTGGTTTAATAGAGAACGACAATACTCTTTCTGACAGATATTTTTTGAGCATCAGTCTAATCATGAGATTCTTAAAACTCTGCTTAAATTCGACCCTATTCACCTTTAACGGGATGTTATACAAACAAACTAATGGTGTAGCAATGGGATCCTCCGTGTCCCCGATTGTAGCCAGCCTTTTCATGGCACACATAGAATCAAATATCTTCGCCCACGGCATTATACCACGAATTTGACTTAGATATGTAGATGATACATTTGTTGTGATAAAAAAAAACTCATCTAAGATCTTTTTCAAAACGGATAAATACACTTTCATCTCACATCAAATTCACGAATGAGAATGAAAATGAACATGGTGAGCTACCATTCTTAGATTGCTTCATGAAAAGGAATCTAAATGGAATTCCAAATCTATCCATCTACCGAAAGCCTACACACTCTAATCGCTATATTGACTTCCATTCAGCACATCCTTTCAGTGATAAGATCTCGCTAGTCTTTAATCTTTTTAGAAGAGCTGAAAAGATCATCACATCAGAGGAAGACAAACAAAAAGAACAAAAGAATGTAATTAGTATCTTACAATTTAATAATTTTCCTATGAAGATTATCAGAAGTATATTGAAACAAGACGGTTTAGTGCGTTATAATAATAATTCGAATGAAATGCCATACTGTCATGGCACAACAGAAGAACTCCAAAGAATCTTAAAACAACACAGACAAACAACTAACACACTTCGAAATACTTTAGTTCGCTTAAAAGAAAAAATCCCTTTCCTGTCTATACATAACTATGTCTACAAATTAAGTTGTATCGATTGTGATGCCTTCTATATTGGAGAATCATCTCGAGAAATTTTGACTAGAGCCAAAGAACACATTAGGTACACAAAGAAACCTCCTAGCAATCCCGTAGAACTGGGTAAACTTCAAATTAAATCGGCAATAGCAGTTCATACCATTTTCAACGACCACAAAATTGATTTCAAAAATATCAAAATATTGCAAAACGTTTCACTGGTTGAAATCATGACTCAATTGAAGCTAGACCACCATGGAAAACCTGGAAGCACTGGACGGCCGTTTCGTACAGGATGCACACACGCCAATAAGAAACTCACTGGTCATATTATAATCATAAAGGAATCTCAAGATTATATTTGATTTAATCTATATCCAAGTTGAAAAATCTCTAAAACTCATGCCATTTAGATAAAGAATCGTATGCTTAGGACTCCTCAGCAGTGCGCATCCACGATCATATGCTTATTAGTGATTAACATTGATCAAGATTTCCAAGAGTTCTAATCGAAAATTGTAATCAGTAGGGTTAAATGATTAAAGAAACGATACAAGTATTACTATTGACAATGAATAATAATTGCTTAATATCAAGTTAATTGACTGACCATTTTACTTTAAGTCATATTAGTGTTATAGGTAAAAGACTTTCTCTGAGACTTGAAGGTAACATTATCCAAGTGTGTTATTGAGCATTTCCATAACAGGATGCAGTTTATATTCAATACTTTATGAATGTTTAATGGTTATCTATTAAAATTCAGTCCGCGATGAAACTTATTTACATATCAACGTCATATCAACTTTGGTATTAGTGTGAGTAGTAGTAATAGTAGTAGTGTAATGAACGACAATAACCGATTTATTGTTTATCATTGAATTGCAGAATGTCTTGGTGAAATATCAGAACCACACATTGAATAGTTCATTTGCAAATTTCTGTCATCTGTCCTTCACCTCCTGCATGATTCCTTTCTACTTCCTTCGACTAGACCTTTTTAGTCTTCTACTACTAGATTTTTCACACACACACCCCCCAATGTTGGTACATACAGATATAAGTAGCATGCATCACAGTATTAGTAGTAGTAGTAGTAGTAGTAGTAGTAGTAGTAGTAGTAGTATTAGTAGTAGTAGTAGTAGTAGTAGTATTAGTAGTAGTAGTAGTAGTAGTAGTAGCAGTAGCAGTAGCAGTAGTAATCAACAAATTATGACAAGATATAAAAATGTATGAGAAATTTAATAGTTGAATTCATGAGTCAATCCAAGCTAGACAACCTTTGAAAATCTGAAAGCAATAGATGACCATGTTGTCCTAGCATAGGACTCCTCAGCAGTGTGTATCCACCATCCCTTATGTGGGACTCAAACCTAGAACCTTCAGTCTTGCGCACGAACGCTTAACCTCTAAACTATTTCTCACTAGTGACTGACATCAAGATGGATTTTCTGGAGTTCTAGTGAGAAGTCGTGACCAATGGAGTTTAATCCGTGTCAAATGTGAGTCAGTTATCCACTTCAGACAATGGATCAAGGTTTGCACAAGACCATGGATCGATCAATGTTAGACATTGACACTGGTCTAGAGGTTAGGCGTCCAAGTGTGAGACTTAGGGTCCTGGGTTAGAGTCCCGTGTGAGGGGTCGTAGGCGCGTTCTGTTGACGAGTCCCATACTAGGACAAAATGGTCGTCCTGTAGTGTCAGGTTTCTAATGGTGGTCTAGCTTTAATAAACTCATGAATTCATTTATTAAAAACCTAATTAATTAAGAAGATTATTGAGCTTTGGAAAAAGTTCATAGGAGTGAAATAAAAAGTGAAAGCGGTATAAAAAATCCATTCACATGATTTCAGATTATTCTGTCTATAGAACGTGTTCACTTGTCAAAGTTAGTATTTTAAATATGCCCACACTATTGATACAAACAAAAGTAGTCGTTTTAATAAGTGACTTTTGTGAATGATAGTCTTATGCACGTAACCATATCTCTGAAGAAACTGATGTGTTGTTCAGTTTTCAGTATAAATCGTTGTTCCAGGTTACACATACTCTCGAATTATGGATACGAGAGTTGATGTTGTTAGATTTAAAACGTATTGAAAATGATCTTTCTGTCACGATCTGTTTTATATCTCGGAAACCTAGTAACTGAGTAATAGTATTGGATTACTTTTTATTCATGAAAACATCTGAATTCACTGTGATAAAGCTGTTTTACCTGCTAAAGTAATGTCTACATTATTTTTATCAATTACAGTTGGACATATACATCATCTGATCAATTAGGTATGTATTCATATTGGGGTTCAGTTAGTTCTTATGGAGGTGGAGGTTATTATGAAGATTTATCACGTGATCAAACGGAAGCAGCAAGTCAACTTGATAGATTATTTCAAAATTTATGGTTAGATAGAGGAACTCGAGTTCTATTTATACATTTTACAACGTATAATCCAAATATGAATTTATTTTCTGTTGTTGAGTAAGTTAACAATGATGATATAACAAAAAGAGTCGGTCATTTGTAATGTTTTATAAAAGAGATATGATTGTTTTAGATCAAGTTCTTGTATGATACATCAATGTTAGCGATCTAACTAGTTGATCATTCAATGTACACTAATGATCTATTTCAAAATGAGTTCTTCAGGTTTATTAGAGAAGTTGTGATCGGTATAATACAGTAAAATAGTATCTTATGAATGGTTTATTATTTATTTATTTATTTGAACACATAAATATTAGTACAAGAGGGCATCAAATATATATGCGCCACACCATATTTGTGTGTGTGGGCTGTGATACTGCCCGGGTGCCCAGACCGAAGCAAGTGTTTATCTTAGGGGGCCACACTCCGAGCCTTTGACCTAAAGGTCTAACCCACAAGGCAGTGGAGCATCGTGAGAAGATGCAGTCACATGATAGCCGATGACCAACGATTGGTTCATACGCCATTTGTTCCTTCAGGATACTGGAGCCAGCCCGTGTGTACCATTGGTTTGGGATCCGGTTAAAGCGCCGGACATTCGCCTTTCGTCCTCTCATTTCCGTAGAGAACATCCCCGCCACGAGAAGGCAGTGAGTAGCACTTCCCTGGCAGAGGCTGTATAAGCGTGGCCATGTGAGAGCATTTCGAGAGGGAGGGCGGGCCCACCCCACTCTCGGCCATACCAGGGCATTTGGGGGCCTTATGAATGGTAATGGACTATTGTCGTTCTTTACTGTAAATTGATTAAAGTTAGAAATGTAAACCAGTGGATTTTGATCCAGTCAATCGCTCAGTCGGTCAGTCATAATTAACATAGAGATTCGCAAAGATGTGCATTGGCTAAAATTATCAAAGTAATTAACGCGACTAAATGAAATTAACAAGATAGGTAACAAAGAAATAGGAAAAATATACTGATAATGATAAAAAGAAAGACTACATCTTGAGAATATAGTTTAAAAAGACAATATAAAGGTATGTTTGATGGGATATTAGGATTCAATATCGAAATGATTATAAAGAGTGAATGAATCTGTTTCATTGTGAATGATTCTGAGTGATATCACTCAAAGTCTCCAACCAATGATTCTAGATATCGTTCGGACTCCGAGCAGGCAGTTTGGATCTAACAACACAACTCAGATAAACAGTTACTAGCTTCATGGACTGATGCCATGTCTTGACTTGAGGGACCCTAGACTTTCTTCTACATCATTAAGCATTTCTCATCGAGAAAACAGATGGTTCGGAATAAGTAATATGTCTCGACCACCTCAAATGATAAAGATTCACGACTTCATCAATCAATTTATTATCTTTGCCTACTACCCTCAAAATTCCCAGCATGGTCGTCTCGTAATAGACAAGCATTGTTTTAAAAGTGTACAGTTTATACATGTCTTCTACTTCCAAAGACTATGTTCCACAGATAGAGAATAGTATAGTACAAACTGTCGGATAGTACACTCACCCTCTGATCGGAGACGATCATCTCACTCAGCAAAAGGTGCAAGATAATTTTAGGAATTGGATTTTATCCGTCGAAGGGTTGTGAGTACTTCTCCTCATCATACTTTTTAAATGATACCCTATTGATTTCCAACTATGGTGAAAACAATTGTATACACCATTAAAATCCTCAAAATACTAACAAACTAACGATTCATAAATGAATACATACATACATGTGCTTACTATCCTATTTTGTTTTCTACTTTAGGATTGTTGTTGAAGTTCCAGCATCAGGAAGTCTCGTCCTCAATAGTGATTTTAGATCAGTTAAACTCTTGCGTTATGTAACTCCATTTGATTATTTTGTATTAGTATGTGAATGTGCATTCTTATTATTTATCGCTTATTATGTAGTTGAAGAAATTATGGAAGTAAGTTACTAACCTTCAGTAATGTATGATTGTCTTTTGAGTTATTACAAATCATTGTATTGTGTTTTCTTTGACTAAGTAATGACAAAGCAAGATATGAATGATACAAATAATGAATATGATTTTCAGACTGCCAGTAAAGAACTGAACAATCATTCATCTAAGAGATGGTGGAGAAGATTTGTAGCTCAGGTGGATGATTTTGGTGGATTTTTCGGTTTGTGTGCCGCACCTATCCCAAAGGTTTTCAGCAGTCTCGTTGCGGTTTCTGATATTCCTTTTATGTATGGTAGGGTGATCCTTTTATTGATTTCTAGTTAAAGATAACGTAAATGTATCTGTCTATCTAGTATAGTATCCAAGGTCATTAGAATAACATTGGAGTGATGAGGTAAAATGATATCTTTCCAGCCTGTTATAATTTTGTTGATAAGGTTGAATATAATTAATGTAGCTGTTTCACTCTTAATAGGATTGAAATCCATTGCTTACGGCTTCTCATTAAAACTTAGAGAAGAAGTAGTAGTTTAAGTTCAACTTATTAATCCCTAATTCCACAGGTCTTGTATTCAGTCACTGATGAGGTTGTAGTGTTGTAAACGAGAACACAAATATAGACAATCGAATGTATTTCAACACAAAATTGCAGAACATCTTGCTAAACTCTGAGAAACATACAGTAAATACTCCATTTGTAAAATATCAATTATTCGTCTCAGATTTTATTGTTTCTTCGCTTCCACAGTAATCATTCTCTGTTCTTGTTCTCTTTTGTCTGATCTTCTTAATCTTCTACCGCCAGGTATTTCACTTTTGATTCATGATACGTAGTACTTATATCTGTCGGCATCAGTAGCACACACCACAGTAGCTGGTCATTACTAATTAGTCATAAGTATGGAGCAGTGTTCCCTGATTTTCAATGTTCTGCTAGTTAAATTCTCTTCGTAATCTAAACTATTTTTTATAATGTTGATAGGGATTCGTAATATCCCGTTCTTTCCATTCATAACTACGTCTACGTTGCCATATACCTCTCCTGAAAAGATTGCTTTCGGTATTTTGGTATGCCATCACCACCAGAATTCTAGAAATTCATTTTATCTTATTTGAGACTCGTCTAATGGATATTCTTACTACACCTTAGTATTACTGTTCTACATTTCGGTTCAACCCAGTAACTTTTGCTTAAAATCCTCAAATCAATTATCCATTGAACTAATGACAATCAATTCGAATCTTGGTGAGAAATATCAACACCAAGTACATTCAGATGATAAGTCCTAACTAAAATTAAATGATCATCATGTATCCCATTGCTAACTACATGTCAAATACACTGCCTAGATAACTTTTTTATTGTTATAACTGTATATTTAAGTTATTATATCATTTATTTAAACACATAAACAATGGTACATGGGGGCACCAAACAGACATGAGCCACATAATTCATTCAGTTTTTGCGAGGGCTGTGATACTTCCCGAGTGACCAAACCGAAGCAGATGGTTTCATTAGGAGGCTACTCCCTAGCCTTTGATCTGAAGGTCTACTCCAAAAGACCATGGAACGACGTAAAGAGATCCAGTCCCATGGTAACCGGTGACCAATAATTGTTTCATACGCCATTTATTCCCACAGCATCCTGAAGCCCATATGCACCGTTTATTTAGAATCAGAGTTTTTCAACTCCCCTAGATGGATCTATTAAATTCATTAACCCGGTGAAATCATCGGACATTCGCTATTCGTCCTTTCAGTTTCGTAAACAACAACAATACCACCACAAGAATGCACCGATTAGAACTTCCCTGGCAGTTGTTATATGCACGTGACCACATGAGAGCATTTCGCGTGCGAGAGAGAGAGATGACTCTCCCTACTCTCGACTGTACCAAGGCATTTGGGAGGTAATTACCAATACTACTTATAGTAAATTCTTTACATAAACACATAATTTATTTCACTTGTTGAAATCACGAGTCAACTGAGGCTAGACCACCATGGGAAACCTGGAAGCACTGGACAGCCGTTCCGTCCTAGTATGGTACTCCTCAGCAGTGCGTATCCACGACCCCTCACCCCGCGAGATTTGAACCCGGGACCTCTCAGTCTTGCGCCAGGAGCTTAACCAACTAGACCGCTGAGCCGGCATCCAACAGTATTAATGTCTAACTTCAACCAATCCACGAAGTTGCACCACCGTACACCATTGTCTCACAAATGACCCGATCGAACACCACTGGTAACGACTTCTCACTATAAATCCAGGAGTATCTCCTGTTTTTCATCAAATATAACCTTTTTACTAATCTATTTATAATTCTTTTTTCTTTCTTCATACCCTATAGATAAAGAAACAAGGATGGATTTATTTTGTATCTGTATGGAATTCATTAGATATTATTATTATTCTTATTAGTATTGTATGTGCAGCATTCAATATTTATCGTACAATAATTGTAATCAATTTACTTGAAAGTATATTATATAATCCAAATGAATTTGCTAATTTTCAAATGTTAAGTATATGGCAAGTGAATTTCAATTTTGCTATCTCTATTACTGTATTTCTAGCTTGGGTTAAAGTGAGTTCCATTGAATTCTCTTTCATATGGATAGTTTTCGTTGTTGTTGTTGTTGTTGAAAGAATTGCTACATTAACGGTGAGACTAATAATTTATGGACGATCTTTGAATGACGCTAAAGTGATCTTAAGAGTGTCAACCCACTAACTAGGACAACATGAGGGTTGTATATCTCTTGATATTGCTATGAGAAGATGAAGTTTACCAGAATTATGTGATGATATATTTACGTAATACATTTCGAAATCACTCTGATCACAAATAATGTACTTGTTAAGACATTTTTATATGAAAATTAAAAGGTCAACTAGACAGGTTAAAGGTAAGCCATAACAAAAACAATGTGATTATCACTTTGGATAGTAAATCAGTACTACCAGGGTAGGTTAAGTGTAAGCACAAATTGTTTTTGAACGCATAAAGGGGGTTTCAGTTTTCGTATAGCCAAGGCTTCAATAAACCTTAGTATACGTCCTTGAAGGCTTTTGTATAACACTACAAATGCTGACTTGATGTCAACCTTATGACCCGTCTCAATCAAATGTTTCGCAATGGAGGATGATGTCTGTCTATCCTGTGATCTTATTTAACCATTGAAATTCATTTGTTTCTGCAGCCATTTTGGTAGATGTTCACCCACCTTTAATTGCAAATCACGATTGCTCCTCCCTATGTACGTGTTTCCGTACATACATGTAAATTGATAGACATAATCGCTTACGTGCTGTTTAGGCTTTTGGTGAAACATAGACCTTGTCTTTTCAATAATGACAAGTTGGGCTGCATAGAATGTCCTATTGATGGCTAATTTAAGTCTATCTGTCCATATCTTTTATTTTAGTTGTTTTCTATTAGAGCCAACATATAATAATAGGCACAATATTCACGGAACGAGAAACAGTTGGTGAGTTTTATAAGGTCATATTAATTAAAAGCTACCGAACCATTACTCCTACAATAAAATGTTCGAACCAGTAAACTCACTGGTACAAACGACAATCATGAGAATTTTATATTGAAGTACATAAGATTTTAGCCATACACTGCTTCTTGTTCTACCGATTCATACTACCACTCAATGAGAACAGCAACCATCAGAGAATCATTGGAATTATATTGTCAATAACGTTACGAGACTAATCAGTTTAAGTTACTGTGACAGATTTTTAAGAAGTTTTTAGGAAATCCCCTATGGTTTTTGGTGTTACTGATTACTTTGAGGTAGTTGTTTTAGTTACGAGACTTTAATTATCATTCTGGAAAAAATCATTAATGCTTACTTCATACAGAAGTGAGAGTTATCTTCATTTCACAACCGTTAACTAATTTCTTCTTGACAGGTTTGTTTGTGATTGCCTGTCTTCATAGATTCTGTTATAGACTGACTAAGACATACACCAAGATTATAGAAATTTTAAGGATACCAGAAGATTTTCGGTAGTATAGTATTCAATCAGTTCCTAATCAATGAACATATCGATATAAATTCGACCTAACAATTCACGGGAACACAAATCAAATATCCGAACGAGACTAGACACATAAACTACAAAGATAACCAATCCAAAGCGATGACATTTCAACTAATTGATTTAATGCTTGGAGAATAGCTACACAATGCACTACTGCATGCAATAAGCTCTAATAATAACGATAATGAGAGCTCTATGATTATATCATCTGTTTTAGAGAAATCAGTAACACTGAAATCATCCACCTCAGTTATAAATCTTTACCATCTCAATGTTGATATTATACAATTCAACAAGATTGGTTAGCCATCACATAGAAATCTTGAATAAAAACATGACCGCCATTTTACATCATAAAGTGAAAATGGAGAATTCACAACATTCATCTAGAATATCCTATCAAATAGGAATTCTATAGTTTATATCGTTGACTGACCTTAGTAAAAAAAAGACATTTGGAAATCAAGAAGCATTGACCAACTGTTTCGTCCTGGTATGAATGCCATGTTGGTAGTCCAGAAGTTAAGCGTTCATTGTTAGATGAGAGAGGTCATGGATGCTCATATCCAACGGGTCTTATATCAATACAAAATGGCTGTTCAATGCTTTGTGTTTTTCAGTGATCGTTGAACCATGAAAGTTAGAAATCTCCATAAAAATCTTTCTGATAGACGGAAAAATTGTCTGATGCTTTTTCAATTTTTCCTTGTTTTCAATCATATTTATATCGTTATCACTATGTGTTCTCCTCTTTACCCTACTTTTTTTTCTACTTTTCATAGTTGTTTAAATACATCAGTTTCAATAAAACAATGACACAATTAAGTTCAACACTTGGTAGTTGTGCAAAAGATTTAGCTGGTTTCGCTATCATGTTCTTTATTGTATTCTTTTCATTTGCACAACTTGGTTATTTAGCATTCGGTACACAAGCAAAAGATTTCAGTTCATTTATTACAGTTGTGTAAGTTTATAATTGAAGTACAAATTCATTCCTCCTTACTCTTGTCATTTTTCAGAATGGGATTATCGAAGTTGTTGGATTTTATTGAAATCATGAACTGATTTAAGTCAGATCATTATTGGAAACCAGAAACTACTAGTCGGTCGTTTCATCCTAGTATGGGATGTCTGCACACGAAAATCCAACTCGATACCTTCGGTCACGCGCACGAACACCTAAACTCTGGATGGCTGAACCAGCATTTAACGATGTTGATTTAATGAACCGATTGGGCTTAGAGATTAACACAACTGGACGCCGGCTCAGTGGTCCAAAGTTTAAGTGTTTGAGCGCAAGAATGAAGACTTTGTGTTTAGTTCCTACGTGCGGGGTCATGAGTGCACATTCCTGAGTAGTTTCATGCTAGAAGGGAACGGACGTCCAGTGCTTTCAAGTTTTTAGTGGTTTTCTAACTTTTCATTTTTGTTATAAGTTCTCTCTCTTCACCCATTTTAGATATGGATACAAACGTTTCCCATATACCTGTTCAACTAACAGCGAGAATGAGATGAAAAGATGTCTAGGAAGACTGAAATGGCGAACCGTCCTGCCAAACCATATTGAGACCAACTGGGACCTTATCTAGGTGTATGGCATTTATTTTGTTAAGATTCTGGAGCCCATCTGTACCATTCGTTAGGAATCAGGGTTTTCCAACTCCCCTAGATGGATCCTCCATATCCACCAACCTAGTTAAAACGCCGGACATTCGCATTTCATTCTCTCAGTTTCTTAAACAACAACCGTGGCGAGTAGGACTTCCGTGGCGGTGGTTGTATACGCGTGGCCATGTGAGAGCATGTTGAGAGGGAGAGATGACTCTACGCACCCTCGTCCGTACCATGGCAATTGATTATATCAATCAAAAAGTGTTAACGAAAACTAGAAAGCATCTAATAGTAACCTTATCTTTGTTAGTGACTTGGTATAAAATGGCTTGAAACTATGACGTCTAGATATTGTATAAAGCGCGATACCTTTACACTAAGAAGTCAAGATTCAATAGTCTAAAGTTTTAAATATAATACATTCTTCATTGCATGTATTTGGTTAGGTATTGTCTCACCGCTAATTTGGTTGACTACGTACTAATATTCGCTAATTTCTTTAAATAATGCTTAATTAGTATAAGCTTAAGACTAAAATTGTCATGAAAAGAATCTATAAACATACTTTTCAGATCATCAAGAGAATAATGGAAGTTTCTCAATATATTCAATCATAATTTTCTTAGGTGAACAAAATTCAATAAACAGTGATAGATAGCTTCAATCTTACTAGGAGTTCAGTACGAAAATTTTACAGATTTTACTTTTAAGAGCAAAGATGGATAATGGCTAGCAGTGGAACCCAGGACGCGCGTCTCATCTTATTTAGGACTCGTCAGCTAGACGTACCTGCAAGCCAGAGTTAATGTCCACTTCGAGACTCGAACCCAATACCGTCCGCTTCAAACGCCATCACGTTATTCACTTAGCTACTGAGTGTTTTGAAGCGAACGGTAATAGATGCGAGTCCCAGGGTGATCATCGACTCTGAGATGCAGGTACATTCAGCTGACAGATCCCAAATAGGACGAAACGCGAGTCCTAGATTCCACTGCTAGCTACTATCCACCTTTGCTTATAATACCTGGGAATTAAGGCAACATCGAGGAAGCCTGTAGAGGATGCTTATATACCAATAAGAGACTGGTCAATTGCAGTCCTAAATAAAAATGGGAAGATACAAGTAAACAACATCAAGTGAACTTAATCTTAAGATGTCTGAAACCGATATACTGATTTTCTGTGAAACCACACAATAAAGTTAGTATGTTTTGTAAACAAAATCAAAAATGAGTTGGTTCTGGAGTAGAATGTGGCTAATAGATTAAGTACTCTGTCAATGTACTTGATGTGATCCCGGACATAGCCAAGAGTTTTTGTGTGGTTTTTCCAAGTCTCCGGTACATAATATTCGAATATAATTTGTGAATTATTCCAGGGAACGTGAAATCCCTAGAGATCTCAATTCGAAAAACTACCTGCGTACGTCTTCACTATTATCGATGCAAAGTACTATTCCACTCTAACATCTACTCTTAATACTAACTCTAAAACTCAACCCTACTCTCATTCCTGATCTCTAATCATAACTTGTTTCCCGTTTACAATAATAAACAACTCATTTTGTTCACATTCATTAATTATGTTAGAACTATTTATCCATTGTATTTTTAATACCATTTATTGTTTATTGTTTTATAACTAAACCCTACTTTCTAATTGGCTGATGAGCCATTCAAGGTCATCGCCATAGTACATTCCCAGAATATATCCAAATGAATTCAGTGTTACCCAATCAATCTATCTATCTATCTAAGCAACAATGTTTTTATTTGTCTTCTATTGTTTAACTTTTAAATATTGAATCAACTTAGTTTTAATTCATTAGTATTAGAAGGGGTTTTGTGGAGATTGTAGTACTTTCAATAGTTGATATCATGAGTCAGTTGAAGCTGGACCACCATGGGAAACCTGAGAGCACTGGACGGCCGTCTCGTCCTAGTATGGGACTCCTCAGCAGTGCGTATCCACGAACCCGCACCCCGCGGGATCCGAACCCAGAACCTATCAGTCTTGCGCTAGGACCTTAACCAACTAGACCACTGAGCCGGCATCCAACGGTATTAATGTCTAACTTCAACGAATCCACGAAATTGACCGACACATCCACCACTGTCATCAGTGAGTTACTACCTCATAACTGATCCGGTTGAACACCACTGGTCACTGCTTCTCACTAGAACTCCGGGATATATCTCTTGAAGCCAGTCACTAGTGAGCATATGTTGATTAGTATCAGAAGGGGTTTTGTAAATGGTCGTGGATGCGCATTACTGAGGAGTCCCACAATAGGACGAAACACCCGTCCAGTACTTCCAGGTTTTGCATGGTGGTCTAGCTTTTGTTGACTCATGATCTCAACTGTTTTAATTCATTCTTTCATGTTTTATTTGCTGTTTTTGTTTGTTGTTTTCTTCTCTTTTTTTCTTTTTTTGTTTTGTTTTTTAGTTATACCCTATTTCGTATTATATTGGGTGATTTTGATTTTAATGCATTGGAAACAGCAAATCGAGTGTTTGGTCCAATTTACTTCATTGTTTATGTATTCTTTGTATTTTTTGTACTTATTAATATGTTTATTGCAATTATCAATGAAACTTATTCATCAGTTAAATCAGATTTAGAAAAACAACCAAATGAATTTGAAATGAAAGATTTTCTTAAAGATGTAAGTAAATATTATTCTATAATTTAAGATGAAATATGATGAATTGAATTTATGAGTTAAGTGAAGTTAGATCACCGTAGAAAACCTGGAAATACTGGATGGCTGTTTCATCCTAGAAATGCGCATCCACGATCCCGCCCTACAATATTTGAGCCCAGGACCTATCAATCTTGCGCGCGAACGTTTAACATAAAACTCTTATTTGATTGTAATTATCATGTGTTTTACTAGTGAGTGCCTCCAAGAGTTGTTTCCTCAAGTTCTTGTGAGAAGCTGTGATCAGTGGAGTTCAACCGAGTCTGTTGTGAGATAGTAACTTACTAATGACAATGGTGGAGGGTGGAGTAGTTTCGTGGATTGGTTGAAGTTAGACATTAACACCGTTGAATGCCAGCTCAATGGTTTACAGGTTAAGCGTTCGCGCGCGAGACCGAAGGTCTTGGGTTCGAATTTTGTTAGGCGGGATCATGGATGTGCACTACTGAGGAGTCCCATACTAGGATAAAACGGCCGTCCATCGCTTCCAAGTTTTCTATGGTGGTCTAGCTCAACTGACTCGTGATCTAAAGGCTTATAATCAACTATCTAATGGGATTATGCAAATCATGTAATATTATGAATCAATATCTCCAGTAGGAACAAATTTTAAATCTAACAATAAACATTTTGTTAGTCACATTAATCATGGTTCGACTTATCATCTCCTTCACTAGTTTGATGATATTATTGATTATATGAAATATTAGTAAAGATTAAAGGTTCAAGAGTCAATCACGTACACACTGTTCAATAATCTTTAAACTAAGTTAGACATTAACACTGTTGGATATTGGTCGGTTCAGTGGTCTAGGGGTTAGTGTTCACCCGCGAAATCGAAGGTCTTGGGTTTGAATTCAATTGGTACGGGATCGTGGAAGCGCACTGCCACTGAGAAGTCCGATATCATGATGAAACGGCTTTCCAATACTTCTAGGTTTTCAATGATGGTCTAACATGGATTCATTCCTTATTTTAATCTGAATTTAATAATCTCAACAATCTTATGCTGCTAAAAACTAATCATATATTCTATACTCTTTGATTCTTATTAAATCTACAACTGACTAAAAATTTAAATCTTGGTAATCTTTACTGTCATTAGGGTTCAATCCACACCAATTGTTTTATATTGTATTTATTTATTTAAACACATAAACATAAGGCGCCAAATATATATGAGCCACATAAATCATTCAATTTGTGTGAAGACTGGGATACTACCCTGGTGTCCAAACTGAAGCAGATAGTTTTCTTAAGGGGCCGCTTCCTGAGCCTTTAACATAATGGCCCAATTCACAAGGCAGTGGAGCAACGTAAGGAGATGCACTCCCACGGTTGCCGGTGACCATACCCCGTTTGCGCCAACAGGACACTGAAGCCCATATGCACCATTGCTTTGGAATCAGGATTTTCCAACTCCTTTAACTGGACAAACCGTATCCACTAAGAACCAGACATTCGCTATTCGTCTTCTCAATTTCATAAACAACAGTAATCCCACAAGAAGGCAGTGAGTAGGACTACCTTGGCAGTGGTTGTATGCATGTGACCATGTGAGAGCATTTCGAGTGTGAGAGAGAAAAAACTGACTCTCCCCACTATCGGCCGTATCAGGGCATTTGGAGACTGTTTTATATAATCAAGTATAAATTACAATTGTCGTTTGTTACTAAGCTGTATCGATTATCCATGTATCAAATTTTCAAATTGTCATCCTTCACATTTGTTCCCTTCTTTTTCTTTTTCATCGAATGCAAAACAAACACATAGAGAATGAGAAATATGCTAGAAAAATTAAAAATTAAAAAGAAACGAATTGAAAATATACAAAATGCAATGGAATTGGCTGATTTTAATAAAGATGGTAAATTAGAATATACGGAATTGTGGAAACATTTGAAAACGTAAGTTACATTTATTAAAAAAACATCGGATATTATTATCTTTGTATGTGTATCTGATAGTAGTCATCTCCTCACTAGTGACTGACTTCAAAAGGTATTTTCTGGAGTTCTAGTGAGAAGTAGTGACCAGTGGAGTTCAACCGGGTCTGTTGTGAGGCAGTACGGTGGTGCGATTTCGTGGATTAGTTGAAGTTAGACATTAACACCATTGGATACCGGCTCAGTGATCTAATGATTAAGTGCTCGCGCGCGAGACTGATAGGTCTTGGGTTCGAATCTCGCAGACAGTAGGATCGTGGATGTGCACTGCTGTTGAGGAGTTCCGTATTCGGACGAAACGGCCATCCAGTGCTTCCAGGATTTCCAAGATGGCCAAGCTTCAATTGACTCAGTTTCAACCATTGTAATTTAATAGTTGAGATCATGAGTTAATTGAAGCTAGATCATCATGAAAAACCTGGAAGAACTGGATGGCTATTTCGTCCTATTGTGGGACTCTTCAGTGGCAGTGAGCATTCACTTTCTCACTCCGCGGGATTCGAACCTAGGATTGTCTTTCAATTCGATTTTATCAGGTTTTATATCAATAGGAGCAATAATATGTATATTCTTATATGGCAAAAACATTAACCAGATCAAGGTACTTTATAAGTTAATGATAACCATTTAAAAGGGACCAATTGTTATTAAGGGGACAAATGATGAATACCATGATAAAATGAATGAATATACGGATATAGAATATGTTGGAGAGATCTAGAAAACTCTGAAAACATTTAGAACCATCTTATCCAATCAGCATTCACTAGACGTTTTGCTAGAAACATCTAAGAAGTTTCCGATTAAATAATTACTTATAATACAACTATGTTTAGTAGTGCTTCAGGATTTTCTGGAAACTCAATGTCATCTAAAATACTATAGAAGCCCTAGATTTCCTGTACATATACGAAGCTTTGAAGTGAAGTGTTTCTCCCATGTTTAGCACCTTTCCTCTGAAGTCGCTGTGCAGATTTAGTCTGGGAGTTAGTAGAAAAGCTTAGGAACCGAATCTAGTGTTCAATTAGAAAACTTATCAGAGTATAGGTCAATGCATGAAAAAATCAAAAAAAATATTGAGATCAATAATCAGTATAGGGGTCTTTGTGGAGATTTTTATGTTTTCGAAGTTAATATCACAGATTGACCTAAACACTATTGAAAATCATGAGAAACTGAGTACTCATTTGTTGCGTGCGAATACTTAATTTCTAGAACTATTCACCACGTTCTACCTGATATTTTGCATATTGTAGAATCTATAAAGTTTTAAGGTAACGATCATTCGTTCATTTGATGACTGGCTGCTAAATACTGTAATTTACACTAAAGATTTCATTTCAAGTATTTGGAGTTATTAACAATCGTCTCATGTGAATCTGTCTATGTCATAGATCATAAATATAATATATGCAAAACACATATACACTAATCATTAGGGCTTCTTAAAATGTTGAATTCACGAGTCGATTAAAACTAGACAATCTCGAGAAACCTGGAAGCACTGGATGGCTTCAACGTTTTTCATGGAGTTTCAGTGAGAAGCTGTGACCAGTAGAGTTCAACCAGGTGTAATGTAAGGCAGTAATTCACTGAAGACAATGGTAGACGATAGTTCATTTTGCGTAGGTTGGTTGAAGTTAGACATTAACAGCGTTGGATGCCAGCTCAGTGGTCTAAAAGTTAATCGTTTGAGCACGATATCGAAGGTCCTGAGTTCCAATCCCACGAGCAGAGTCGTGGGTGCGCGTTGCTAAAGAGTCACATGCTAGGACGAGACGGCCGTCCAGTGCTTCCAGGTTGTCAACGCTGGTCTAACTTAAATCGACTCATCAATTCAACTATTGAAATTACTACATTCTTCACAAAACCCCTTTCTCTTTGTTGTTTATAATTTATTAGCAAAGGTTTTACTGATGAAGAAATAAAAATGGTATTTGAAAATTTCGACGAAAATAAAGATAACATTTTATCACATACGGAACAGTTGAAATTAAAAGCTTCACTAGAAGAACAAAAGGTTTGTACATTAGACGTTTTATAATAATACTAATAGTCAAGCATCTTGTTTTGGCTTTCAAAAGTCCTTTAATTTGATTGATTCAAGTTGGATTTATATGAAGTAACTGTTATGACCCATGGCCCCTTAAACATTACGTGACAAATTGCCAATCAGAATACAGACTTCTATTATCTTATCTCTCTGTTAAACTAATGATGCGTCAACCAGCACAAACAGTCTTGAGTCAAATCTGAGTCTTGATTGGTCCTTTGAGATAATAGCCTCCCGCCTAACCCAGCTGATTCAGTTCACAACACAAATATCAGCCTCCATTGCGTGAATCGTACTTTTCAGACATAAATGATTAGATCACATCACACCATAAAATGCAAAATAATTATTATACAGGATCAAGCGCAAAGTGATTATGAATACAGAAGACTGTAACCAATAGATTGGGAATAAATTTAGATTGGTAAATTGTATTGCAGTAGTCAATAGGCCAAATGAAAGCTTATGATAAAAGGAATATGGGTATATATATATGTATAATCTAGTTACTTAATAATTATCCAATAAGAATATATGTAATAATAGTTAGTAACTAATCTCTACCAGTTACCATTCATTTATTCTTCATTCCAATATAACAATACCACCTACAATTGAATACATCTGATACACACAATTCCCTTTATTATCTTAAAAAGAGCAAGAATGACGATTGGTGCAGAACAATGTGAATTCATTATATTTCGTTAGGTTCTCATCAGCTGCTTACAACCTGGATAATATTTCAAAATCAACGTTATTACAGATATTGACATACTCATAAATACGAATGTGATTAGAGATGAATATGTGTATCATGATGTGGCGAAGATTTCGACAGAGTTAATGAGGTCCTAAAAATTTTGTTCCGGATACATAAAGTTTGGGAGGGAATGTTCTAGAACATTGAAATACTGATTAGAATTCATAGAGTTAACAGACATTATGTGATTATGTAATGAATCAACTGAAAACAGATTAATGGTAGTAAAGAAAGATATGGATTGAAATCAGTCAATTATGAATCGAAGAAAAATGAAAATGATGTAATCAAAATTCAGAAAAAGTTGAAAGGAGAGACTAGATCCGATTCAAAGAACATATTCCATATTAAAAGCAATCAGAAGTGCCATTTCGAGAAATCTTCTTGACATCAAGTTGATACACTGAAGTCATTCATGGTGATTAATACATAATCAAACTCCAATCTTAAGAACTTTGTCGAAGCGATAGCGATCAAACTTTTTAAAACCAGGTCTATGTCCAAAAAGAAGCAGTAATAAATCTTTCTTTGCCCTGATAACATTACAACCTTTTTATTGCATCATTCATTATTTCAACTCTTTCTGAAGTTTGATTACATCGTTATTATTAACGGAATACGTGGACAGAATATGTAAAAAGTAACTAAGACAATAGTTCTGTTATGACTTTATGTCCGGCTTTTTATCACGTGATTCATCCACCAATCAAAATACGACTTATACAATCTTAGCACTGTCCAAAACCAATGACGTTCAACCGGTATAAACAGCCTAGCGTCCTTATTGGTCCTATGTCCGCCTAGCCCGTCCAATTGAGTCCAGAACATCAATACCAGCTACCACTATGCGAATCGAATCGAATCATTTACTTCAGACATACTAGGTTTATATGTCAATCAGACTGCCACGCCATCATAAAATAGGAAATAACATTTGTACGCAATAAAGCCAGAAAGTGGCTGTGAACGTGGGAGGCAGTAGTTAGTAAACTGAACATAGCTTATGAACCGTAAATCGTACAATAATAAATTATAGGTCAAAACAAAGCTTGTAACAAGGGGAATATAGATATATATAATCTAGTTACCGAATATTTATATCATGAGAATATATAAATAATAATAGTCCATTAATAAGTCTCAGACGTTACTCGTAATGTAATCTTCACTAGGATATAACAATTTCATTAACATCAATATCATTCGATCACTATGATGTCAGGCTGTGGACACAAAAAGATATCATAGTTTACTTAGATTATTGGTATAAACCATTAAAATCAACCTGTTTTTTCTACTCTCTCTTTCATTTTTGATTCTATTTTATATGTTTGTTCTTTTCTATCCCCCCCCAATACACACCATGGGTATAGATCGCTTTAGTCAGTGAATTAGCTAAAGAAGAGCGCTTGAATGTAGACGAAAAACAACCTGGAACAAGTCAATCAAAAATAGCACCGACTACACAAATTAAAATTGATATAAAACAAGCTGAATTTATGCAATTATATAAACGTGTTAATCGTATTGAAAATGGTATGGGTCAAGTTATTGGACATATTGAAGATGTGTTAAAATCTTTAGCAACATTGGAAAAGATCAAAGTTATACGCCGTGAAACAATGACACAATTTTTACAAACTATTATTTCAGTAAGAAAGTGTTTTGTGGATATTATAGTAATCATGAGTCAATTGAAGCTAGACCACCATGGAAAACCTGGATGCAGTGGATGGTCGTTTCGTCCTACTGTGGGCCGTCCAGTGCATCCAAGTTTTCCATGGTGGTCTAGCTTCAATTAACTCATGAATTCAACTATTAAAATAATAATAATACTATTATAATAACATTAAATACCATGTTTACCCGTTTAATTTTTACGGGCATACTTATTTGTTTAAATGATGAAAGAACACACTACATTAATGATAACTGAGCTCACTTAAAGTGACTATTAGGAAGTGTAGTCAGCTTTTAACTAGTCTGGATACAAGTAACTTGAATATAAAATTTATTGTATATAAACTGGAAGTTTGGTGTTGAGATTTGAGATTTTGAGTCTGAGTTAAATGTTAGGTTTTAGAGTTCTAGTACAGTTTAAGGGTTCAGCTTACATAAATAAGAATTGTAACCATATAGATAAATACTGATGGTGTTAGGTCTTTGATTTTAAACATCAAGAGTACTTAATGCTGTGACTTTAAGTCCGGCTAGTTATAACGTAATTTTATTCGCCAATCGAAATACGACTTATTCACTCTTGTACTGTACTAAACCAACGACTTTTCACCGGTCTGATCAGCCTAGCGTCCTTTACTCGCCTACCCTGTCCAGTTGAGTCTAGAATACCAATAGAAGTTTCCGCTATGCGAATCATTTATTTCAAATATATTTGGTTTATATACCAACCAAACAGACCGCATCGCATCATAAAAATAGGACATAACATTTATACAAGATCGAGCCAAAATGTGACTGTGAACGTGGGAGACTGTAATCAATAAACTGAACATAACTTAAGAACAGTATATCGTAGAATAGTAATCTAAGGGTCTAAATAAAGCTTATAATAAGATGAATGTAGATATGCACAATCTAATCACTGAATAGTTATACAATAAGAATATATAGATAATATTAGCCAATTCATAGTTCCCTGAAGTTACTTGTAATTTTTATCTTCACTAAGATATCACACTTAAGTTGTCTTCAGAGATTCATAAATAGTGGTCACTATTTTTTAAACTTTTCATAGTTATCATCCCTAAACGTTTAGTCTACTCAGCAACTACACAAAGCAACAGATTAGGGTTGTCGGTTATAAACATAACAAAACACAGGTGACAAGTCGAATTATGTTTGCAGTGCTTGTCACCTTCAAACAGTTTGATTTAAATGACCTGTTTTTACTCAAATGAGAATTGATAAAATTTGTGATAGACAGCTAATGCAACGTCATAATGTACCTGTATTTCTGAAACTACAAATGATCATGTGAGGCATAGTGGTAGTAAGGTGTGTAAAATGACATGAAAAGTGAAGATCCTAATCCTAACGATTATTCAAACTAATAAAAACAGATATGAGACAAGTTTGTTACTGTAAATGGAAAGTATTTTGGAAGTAAGGTTTACTCTACATTTTGTAAAATAAAATTATAATCCTTATTTATTTAACAGACAGCATAGTACTTCCCCTGATCATACAAAAAATACTATGAGCAAGAACTAATAGAATTAGTTCCTTTTATTCAGTAATGCTCTTCAATAAATGAACAGACTACAATTGAAGTGATTATGTTAAAATAACTTCCAGTTCTACTGAAGTCGGTTTGATCTGTGATACTGTCTTAGGATTCTATCATTACGAAGGATTTCTTTCATCTTGAATCATCATTCTGATAAATTGTTTCTGTCTTTGTCATGTTTTGAACGTACTAAACAATCGAGACCTACAGTAATTTCTAAACTACGAGTGATTGGTATTCTTACAATATGAATATTAACCAATATGATCTCATCAGATCAAGGTATGGACACAGATTGCTTTAACAATAATCCCCAGGACTATGGACACTGAGACGAGTCAAGATTTTAGTAAAAACTTTACATACAAATAATTTCACAAAATCAAAACTTAAATAGAACAACCCTGTAATAAGCAACAACCTTCGGACACAATAGAATTAGAAAACTAAAATTAATGACGACCAACCAGATAACACCAATGGTCCTTGAAGAAATGTTATCGAGCTTTTACATCCAAGGACTTGTCTATGTTATTACCAGCTTAAATATGCTATGGATGAAAGAAAATTGCCAACTTGAAGAATTTTAAGAAGTTGTAAGCATAGAATAATACTGTGTCATAAATGTTTTGAAAAGATCAAAGTAAAGAGTCAGTTATGCGGTGATCTAACGGTTAATAAAAATTTATAAGACAGTTACTACTTTTTGTTATCTGAATGGGGATATTATTATTAATATCAATTTTAGACTAGTCCACAAGACAGAGGTGATCGATTGGATGATATTATTCAAGCTGGTTTAGACAACATGACAAGTACGGTTGATCTACAACATGAGTGATATCTCATAGTTATTTAATTGGTAAGTTGGTATGTTGAATAAAAACTTTCATAAACCTTTCATAAATATTATTCAGTAAAGCAGCGATATATTTACTCAGGAGTTCAGATGGAACAATGGATTTATTCGTAAGATTTCTCAATCAAAATATGGGATGCCGTGTCACGATAGAGGGTGGGAAGAGTCAGCTCTCTCTCGCTCTCGAAATGCTTCTAAATGGCCACACGTATACAGTCACCGCCATGGAAGTTCTACTCACTGCCTTCTCTCACCACGAGTGTTGTTTACGAAATTGAGAGAATGAAATGCGAATGTTCGGAGTTTTAACCAGGTTGGTGGATATGGTGGACCCATCTAAGGGAGTTGAAAAACCCTCATTCCAAACTAGTGTTGCACATAGGCTCCAGGATCTTAAGAAAATAAATGGCATATGGACCAATTATTGGTCATCGACTACCATGTGACGGCATCGCTTGACGTTGCTTCACTGCCTTGTGGATTAGACCTTTAGATCAAAGGCTTGGGGTGTCGCGTCCTCAGAAAACCACCTGCCTCAAATAGCTTTTTGTAATAAGATCTCATACTGTAAAGATGCATGGTAAATGTTCGGAATCTGTTGTCTTTTTCAGAACTATAGATACGTGTTACTGATAAGAACTGAGTAAAACAATATTTCGATCCAAATTTTTCTCTTGATTGTTTTCAGCTAGTGAACATTAGAATCGACATATATATATTCTATCAACCAGACAATTAAAAAACAATTATCCGTATTCCAATAACCTTTTTAATCGTCAAACGAATGTTCAGCCCTATATGAATACATATAAGTCTTGTACAAACCAGCATTTTGGTAAAACAATACTATACCGTCAACCTACAGCGAGCCAATCAGAATAAAGCCGGCGTTTCTAGGTTTCAGCGTGATTTTTCAAACGTAGTTCCGGATAACTTGTTCCTTCTACAAGTAATGTTAACTGGATTTCGCATCATAGCCAATTTAGATGAACCAATAGTCCAGCGCCAGTAGGATGTCTGTCTTCTGAAAGATAGTATCTTTGTGATTATGATTAGAAAATGAGATTAGTAAAGACTAGAGATTCGAAAATGATATTATTTTACTCTGTAGAAGATGCTAGTCAAATAAATCTATAAGGCTTAGTAAATTCTTTCCCAAATTAATACTGTCACTTCAACAACAACAACAAAAAATACGCTTCCAGTTCATCACTAATTCACCCGACCGTTGTTGCTACCTTGACGTGGTGGCCGGGCTTGCCTATCGTGATGAAGCAACCGAGCTATACTGGCTGGAACAACCGTTCCTCAAGGTCCTACCATGTCAGACAGGTTGGTTGAAGAGCGGTAAGTCTAAAAGCAACAAACCTAAGGTCTGAAGGCGAAGTCGTACTGCTGACTGTACAGAGGTGTGACAGCAGTAAGATGTTTCCTTCAGACAACCAGCATGACAGCGATACTGCCTACCCACAAGGAGGGGTGGGGTGAGAAAAGGTCGACCCTAAAAATGCACACCTCGCTTTGTCTCACGGATATCCGTCTCCGGCGGTAAGGTTTCAACAAGTACGGAGCTAACATGGAAATTACTCACAGAAGCGTCGTGTGTGACCGACCTCAAGCAGCTGTCCCTTGGGCACTGCGGTTACGCTCTCAGATCACTAAGACCACCTCTAATCTAATCTCCTTTTCAGGCACCTCCAGAAGAACCTTTCCACGGTGTGGGCAACCGGGATGTGGTAACCGTCCTCATACCTCTAACAGCACTCAAGACCACTGACTGACTGACTGACTGATTACTAATTCAGCAATACATGTAATTGAAAAGTTCCAAATAAGACAATATTATCATTATAGTCATTATCTAACTCTACTAATCATTACTGTCTTTGTTAAATTATTCTCTATCATTTTCTTTTAAATTTCATTTCAAGGTAAATGGATTATCTATTGAATTATGATAACTTTAGAAGGAAGTTTTTATTATAGTTGTATACTTATATTACACTCGAATAGTTCTATTACATCATTGGATAGATTACTTTATTATACTACTGAATAGATGTTACTAATGTGATACACCTCAAACCTTCTTTATTTTCACCCACATTTTTACGTAACATGAAATCGATTATTTATTTTTAACGTTTCCAAAAGACACTTTGTCTTAAACATCATTTACATGGCTCATTTTATTAGTTACATATTCAGCAATCAATAAATGTTCAATGTTTAGTAACATAGGTGAGTGTTGTATAATAAAGTGTAATTCACTTTTCTTTTCTTTGTTCTCTTTTTTGTTGTTGACGAAGATTTCATTTTAACCATTTGAGCTACATTTCGATTTGGTCTTAGTATACACTTCATAATGCTTGCTCAATTAGTTTTATGGAGTTAAAGGGGAGAGAGAGAGAGCGAGAGAGAGGGAAATATTTAACCATGCTAACCAGAAACAGTAAACTTATTGAGCATTGAACACTTTTTGAGTCCTTGTGTTGTTGTTCTGTTTTCGTTTTTTTTTTTACAACATTCAGTTATATTACCTTCAACATATTGACACACACGTACGCACACACATGCATAGCAACCAGAAATAAACAAATAATCGATTTAATATTTTATTGTACCGTTTAAAAAAAAACAAGAGAACAAAAAACGAGACATTTTTATTTTTACAGGGTATGTTTTTTGTGTTTTCTTTAATAATAAAGATGAAATCTGTTATTTGTTTATGGTTACATAACAGGAAATGATAATCATTCATTATGTAATTCATATGTGTAAAATTATTTGCTCCATATTTTTTATTAAAAGAAATAAAATATTATCAGAAGAGGGTTTGTAGTGGAGATTTTAGTAGTTTAATAGTTGAATTCATTGGTCAATTAAAACTAAGCTACCATGGAAAACATGAAAGCACTGGACAGTTGTTTTGTCCCAGTATGGGACTCCTCAGTGGCTATGGGTATCCACGATCCCAGCTCGCGAGATTCGAACCCAGGACCCATTCGTTAGATGTCGACTCAACGGTCTACAGGTTAAGCGTTTGCACGCGAAACCGATTGGTCCTAGGGTCGAGTCCAGTGTGTAGGATCGTGGATTTACACTGCTGAAGAGTCCCATAATAGGACAAAACGGCCGTTCAATAATTCCACGTTTCCCATGGTAATCTAGCTTTAATTGACTCATGAATTCAACGATTAAATAAATAAAATATTGTTTGTTCGGAAATACTGAATATTTAAAAGATCTTTTTTATATATAAATAAGTTTTTTCAAATATCTTAGAATAATTAGGTAATTAATTGATACAGTGTTATGTCTCCTGTTCGAACACTTGCTATTGATCTTTTAGCTGATTTCTGTTGAGGACGTTAGATCCCCAGAACTCACTTGGAAAAGGACCTAATTTTGTAATTTTATTCTGAAAATTTGAATTTCTTTGTTTTCGCGCCAAAGCTCTCTTGTCACTTTCATGTCGTATTTCCCACTGGGAAATATCTTAAATGCTATTGGTCCGTTGAGTCTTTTGGTATGTTATTTGGTAACTCTCCCCAAGGACGGTTTTGCACTGTATATATACGTTATGAATTGTGTTTGTTGTTATCGCTCGTCTCTGGCTGTTTGCAAAATATACTTCCCCATTTCAAGCTTGGACTTCTCCCTTTAGTTAGCGGTACTGGGACGCATCAATAGCTAGCTTACTGGTCATTGGTCACCAAGTCTTGTTCTCGTTCACAGATTAAGTGAACTCATGATAGCTTAAAACCTAGTATTTCTATATTTCTAGATTACTCGAAATTTTGAGCTCGAACAATAGAGAAAAGTTTGTTTGTAGATTGACAAATGGTTATTTTTACAAGGAGGAAGCTTCTGGAGATATAACATAAGTAATTGTCCAATTAAACTATGACTCAAAATCTTTCATTTTTCTATTCGGTATTAACTAGATGAAGTATTTTCAGCTTTTTCTGATTGTCTGGCAACTTTCTAGAGAAATACTTGATGACTTTCAGAATAGTATTTGGTAAATATGTGTAACAACACAAGCTGTCAAGTTCATATTAGTCAAGTAGTAGAAAATTATCAAGCTAAATATTGAACCCTTGAAATAACTGTATCGATTTTAGTAAAAGAACGAAATAACTAAAACTCTAGCATCAGTAGAAATGTTAACTGTCTATAAGAAATATTTTACTATGACAAAATCCCAGTACAATTTCATCTCAACACCTCATGATTCTCTGCCTTTGATTCTTATTCTCTCCAACTAATCCGCCCAACATTGTACAACTTTAAATGGTTAGGTATTTTGAATACACCTTCCTCAAATGGATTGTCATGACAAGTAGTTATAATCATTGTATCAAAATCAGTTAGGTTATTACGAAACAAGAATGATCTGTGCCAACTCTCATACAAACATGTATATCATTCATTTACATATGGATTTCCTAACTCCATAAAATTGATTGAGCAATTATCATGAAGTGTGTACTAAGACTAAATCGAGACGCAGCTCACAACAATCATACAGTCTTGTAATGTTGTACCAGAAATGGATTCTTCACAACTAGTGATAAATAAGAATTTCAAGTGCTCACAAAAAATTATAAGTAATTAGATTTCCACTTGATAAATCACAACATAATTCAGTATTTAAAACACCTACAAAGGTATACGTCATTTAGTGTGAGAAACGAATAGAGCTTGGTTGATTCTTGATACCCAAAGCAGACTTAAACTGATAATTAGAAGTTTTTGTTATATTGGTAACTAATCAGGCTTCGAGTAACTTGTAGCTGAGTAGCACTCACCATTCATTGATCAATAAACAATGGGTTCGAATCCCGAAAGGCGGGATCATGGATGTGCACTACCACTGAGAAGTCTCATACCAAGACGAAACGGCCGTTCAATGCTTCCAGGTTTTCTATGATGGTCTGGCTTCAATTGACTCATGAACTCAACTATTAAAATACTACAATATCCACAAGAACCCCTTTCTGAAAATAAATAATCGTCTGAAGGTAATTTACCAAAGGGATCATACACGTGATATATGAATAAAACATATAAGCTTCTATGCGTATTCGAACAATACGAACTCAAGTTTGATAGTTATGAACAGCTTTTATTATTTAAAAAAACACAGTAGTTATTGACTAGTAAACAAGTGGTTATATTTGTTAGAAATAATTGTACATAAGTCTCTCACATTTGCACATGTCCAAAAGCACATACATACCTATTATTCACCCATTCGATATTTCCAATCGTTATACATTTTATTCGATTAGTGACTATTGTTTACTTTGATTTCTGTATGTTGGTTACTGATTCTGTCATCTCATCTTGTTCTTTTACCTTGGAGTCTTCTTTCTTTTCAAGGTCTCCGGCAGATTCCGATTCTTCCAAGGTGGATTTCTTTTTAGTTATATATGGCTAAAGTTAATATTATTTAAATATTGTTTAAGGTTTGATTATATAAAGATGACTTAATAAAATTGTGGAGTTGTTTCATTAAATTAAAAAAACATTTAAAATTCCCGTCATCGGTAATCTAACATAAGCCACGGAGAGTGTGTGTGTGTGTGTGTAAGTGAGTATCTCCTCCTCAATGTTTTTAGATAAATTATCAAACTGTTGTTGAATTTCTAAGCCTATCAAACAGTCGATTAGTTATTTGTATAGAGAGTTATTGAAATATTCAGTTTGCATCACTGATGACCTTCATTAGATAACTACTGAAAACTTCTAAACACTATTTAGCTGTTCCTTCTCAGTATGGAAATCTAAAACGGTACTCATCCATGAACACATCTGTGATCGGATCCAAAACCTTCCATGTCTCATGGTGAGTGCGACCTATAGTCAACAAGTGATGCGAACTAAAAGTTCTAATAAACCTCTGTTCTCATAATAAACATGTGTTCTGTGGTGGGTAAATTAGAATGGTAAACCCTGGAATTCTAATGGGAAGATATAACCAACGTAGTTCTCCTTTTATGAAAACAAGGCCGTTGCCCACCAAATATATTAGAACATAGTTTCACAACATCACGAATTGAATGAAGTTAGAAATGTAGGCTATTAGGTCGCAACTCAGTTGTTCAAATGCTTAGCTCTGGCCAGAAGAACTGAAAGATCCTAGATCTGATCCTAGCTGATATGGTGGACATATACTTTGGAACAGTCTCCGTCTAGGATGAGGTAACTGATCAGTGCTTCATGGTTATCAATAGTCATTCGTCTTAGATCCTTCCGTGATGTACATCGATTTGTTGATAGTCAACGTCATTGAAACTGGCAGTGATAAGAGTAACGAAAACCACTTTTGTAACTAAAAGAACTTCCTCTAACCACTTAAGTCGTTTCAGATTCATAGATATATCAGTCAGCTTGGTATCTCTACAAAGTATTCTATGGGTTATCTAAAAAATACTCGAGAAGTAATTGTGATCACATCCTTAATATTGGCAGACAATACTGTACAGTTAAAATGTTATTTAATTAGAATTTCATTCACTATGTTGTAGGCAGACGAATAAGTTTCTGCATCGTAGGTGCTGCAGTTTCACAAACACAAAGTAAGTTCCCTGTATTAATGTACAGGCTTCATCGGCTACCGACCCACAAGAGTTGATGAACCATTAAAGATAAATAAAGTAATCAATGTATATAACTAATTCAGTTTCTTTTGGTTGACGTAGACAACATTTTGTATTTGAGATCGGTTCGCAAAAACTAATTCCAAGCATTCTTTCACTCAATTTGTTGAAAAGGGTCTAAATCTTATCAGAGTTGTGACTCAACAGACCTAAGCTATTTTACTACTTCAAGTCAATAAAAAATTGTTTAGGTAAGACACACATCCCTGTTAGTTAAATTTAAAAAAAAAGACTTTTCTTTGACATAATAACTAAAAATGAGGTAACTCAACAATTCTGACAGATTCGGTTTGACATAGCTCCTTCAGATGACATTTTGCCGTAATTTATCTTTCAATCAATAGAAAGCTTTGTCATGCCCAACGTTTTCAGCTATTAACTACAATTAATAAGTAAGCTCTGACAAGTAGGTTGACATTCATCTACTGAACTCAAACCAACAACTAATAACTTTGTTAACTGATACTATTTCAAGGTTTGATAGGATTATTCAGCCTAGATGTGGACATAGATAAGTCTTCAAGCAACATTTCGAATTTAGTGTGAGAGTGATATGATATTATATATGATATCAGCTATTACTTGACTACTTGTACTCTAGTATAAGGCCTTTAAATAGTTTATACACATTTTGCGACACCTTTCAGTGACCAGCATTGTCGTAAAACATGTCAACCAAACCGGTCGAATATCAACTTCAATTCAACAGATATCGCTATTTTCGGAAGTAGATAGGTACGTACATGTTTACGAACCTGATGAAGTGTGACTATCAGATATCGTTATATCTACATCTAGCACTGAAACCAACTTAAAGACTAATCAAAATGATATTGGATTATTTAAATTTAACTAATAATAGTAGTTATAATGGTACTAACTTTTAAAATCACAAATGAACAGACTGAATCTTCATTAATTTGCATAACTGCACCAGCATTATCAAATTCACCACAATAATTTGCTGCACTGAATACGGTTACAACCTCAAAAAAGAAACAAAACAGACAGTCATTAAAACAAAAGATTATGGAAGGTATAGTAAAAGTATGATATATGAATATGCCATGAGACTATAACTTATGGATGACCTTTGATAGATGCTAAAGCGACCTTGGGAGTGTCTACCTACTTACTAGGGCTAAATGAGGGTTATAAAGAAGTTTGAAGAATAGGGATTATAATTCACAGTTGATGGTTAGGGTTAGGAATTAGATTTAGGGTTTTCATCACGAATTAACATCAGTTATAATGTTAAGACTAGCCAAATGGATAATTGAATTTCGAGCCAAAATCTAAGACTTGTTATCGTAAATCTGATTGGTTCGTCCATAAATTGTAGTCTCAACGAACGAGCCAATCAGAATCAAGAGCATGACCAAGGTCTTTGCGTGTATAACAGACAATAGGAATACTTCTGTATACTGATCAGAATATCTAAAGTAATCGAGAAAAATTATTTCTTTACAATCATGAGGTAAAAATGATACTGATAAACGGATCAAATGATTAATTCTGTCTATTACGATGGGTCATAACCTGCAAATCGATACTATCGCTCAATTTTGACCATAAACCTTTTATTCTGAACTGGTGTTACTCACATTTTGTTGATGAACCGATCAGATAGCACCACACATACTTTTTTTAAATAATTTCTTTCATCTAAACGGTTACAGAGCATTTTGACAATATAGCTGATGTCATTCAGTGATAGAATCTCTAATTCCAACTCCATATATCTAACCCTAACCTACAAACAATTTGAGGACTCTTCAAAGTCTATTTGAATTCTTTTGAAGATTCCAGAATAGATAATCTGTACACATAAGGATGAGTTTATTTATCACGGTCTTTTGAATTTACTGACAGAGTAACATGTAGAAGAAGGAAATTTGACAATCGATAAAATGGAATAAACATTGGTTGTAACTGGTGACCTGGATTTCTATCTATGTCTAATCATTTGTTTTCTAACAATTCTTTTAAGTTTACCAATCTCTGGCACTCATTAGTTACTTCCTGTAGTGTTATATACGGTCATTGTCCAATTTTACTCAAAATTCTGGTTCTAATATCAGCATCTTCGGGAGATTGGAGGCTGCACACAAACATGAAACACTTAAACTGCTCTTCTGTTATTGCTGACAGTTTTAAGCGCTCACATTCACGGTTTACTAAACCCGCATGCTTCACCGAGTCACCCTCATCTGCTCTCCTTATCCTGAGACACTGATAACGAATATTAAACAAGGATAACTGTTCAGCAAAGATTTGCGACAAAATATCAATCGTTGCATCAAAATAGAAACCTCTTTGATTCGTTGGAAGGATAAAGTTTCTGTAACGTTCATGTACAACCGTTTCAAGTTTTCGTAAGAGTATTCTGACCTTAGCGGAGTTCTCAGGTTTTTTGAGGTCGACTTTGAACAAACCTTCGTATTTCTTGAACCAGATTTCAAAAGTAATGTCAGCCGAACCATCAAAATTAAATTCATGGATAGAACCAATAATGTGGTCGACATGAGATTTGAAAGGGTCATCTGTAACCCTTTCTTGATTCAGGTTCATTTGCTGAGTTAGTGTCTCTATAATACGAATTTGGAACTGTTTCAAACGTTTTTCTTGACGCTCCAGTACGGCTTTAAATTGTTCAAAGGTAAATGACATCTTGATAAGATTACCGCGATAAGTACAATCATCAGGAGCTTTTGTCGTAGAATGATGAGCTCCATTTAATGCAGCTATTTTCATTATGATGCTTGATTCATTTTCTGTTTCTTCGTGTGCGGGTACAGCAATAATTTATTGAGTATTTAATAAGACGTCGTCTTTCTGTGAGCTGGACAAGTCAGTGTTTGTACATTGTTTTGCGGACAATAGGAGTTGAACCCGCTACAGTGCATGTCTCTGAAATGGACATTTCTGGACCACAGGGAGCATCATGTTTGACTGCTACTACTTTGTTTACGTTACCGCTTATCAATGATTAACAGAGGCTTTCATCGACACTTTTATACGTTCTGCAGTCATTTTCCAGCTCTGTATGCGAATTAGAAATTAATTTATCAACTGTCACATCTTCAAAACATGGATGATTTAGCAGCCGTGTGCGTAAATTGTCTAAAACATCCAACTGGCTCTTTTTGAAACGCTGCTGTTGTCGCTCAAATAGCAATTGTAATTGATCGGAAGAGATAGCCATTATCTGGATGAGCACGGTAATGAAAAACACTGTATGACTAATTAACAATCAATGTCGTTGAAGGACACCGGCGAGAATTTCGTATGCTGATTGCTTGAAATACTTACACTGAATTTTTTCCAATTACAGGCTGACCTTGACTCGTTAACTTGAAGATTGAGGGTTCAGAATGTTTTTTCACCCCGTCATGTCTTGGGGTTAATAAATCTTCACTTATACCAGTCTTGTGTTTTTACTTCCGCGTCGTGGGAATTAAAGAAGCCCCTCGTTTCGAATATAAATGATAGGCGTTTCCGACACAACGATCAGCGGCGACCAAATATAACAAGTAGCATTCAATTGACAAATTATAACAAATTCATAGGACATTGGTTCTGAAGTCCAATCAGTTGGGATGTAAGTTTTGACACCTCTTGATAATTTCAACAGTTTGCATTTAACACAATACAGATTCAAACAAGCCACTTCGTGAATATTCCATTTATTATTTTGTTATAATGTAGCGGACGCTATTCACAAAATTGTATGTACGTAAATGATTAAAGAATGTGGTCTTGAAGTTGTCATAGTCTTCAAATAGTGTGAAGAGTTTCAGTACATTGAAAGCATAATATAGGCAGAACAGTTGATGACCAGAAGAGAAGACAGCTTAGATTATAGAACACACCGTGAGATACAAATGGTTGATCGAAGGCTGTGTATGTGTATGATGTAAACCCTTTGTAATTTTGATGGAGTTTTGTTCTCTGAGCTGGATGGTTTAGTCACAGAGCTTTCATCGTTTTTCTTAACGACATCATCAGCACAAACCTCTAATTGTAATAACAATTAAAGAGATTGACTGATTAAATGAATTTTGGAGGTGATATCGTTTTTATGAATAAGTAATGACTCTTAAGTAGCTGAAAATCGTCGAAAATAAAGCCTTCTTTCCTTTAAGCATTATGTTAGCTGTCACTCATCAGTAGGACATATCATCAGCGAATTCGGTCAAATTCATGCTCCCTGATAGATTTGAATTCATATCATACCCAATTTCACAAACTAATGAAGAGCAATACCTGAAGGACGTATTTCAAAATAACGGCTACCCAATCAACTTCATCAAAAAACACCAACCGCGCGCAGCATCAGAACTCAAGTTAAGCACAGAAATCAACAAAAGGATCGCCCTTACATACATAAAAGGCATATCAGAAACCGCAACGAGACTGCTGAAAACCTTCGGGATAGGTGTGGCACACAAACTGACAAAATCACTACAATCAATCCTATGCAAACCAAAGGCTGAAACAACAAAGAAAGACAAATCAAACATCATCTACAAAATAAATTGTGCCAACTGCGAAAAACACTACATCGGACAAAGCGGACGCCTCCTTCACCTCCGCCTACATGAACATCAATTAGCAGTTAAACGCCATGATATCTCCTCACTTATATCAATGTACGTGGACAACTGCGGACACTCATTCGATTGGAAAAATGTAGAAATCTTAGACAGAGGAAACTCCAAAAACACCAGAGAATGTTTAGAAGCCTGGCACTCAGGTCAATCAGCAATCAACAAACATATTGAAATCAATCCAATTTATCAACCAATCAGGGAAATTATGCACAAATATAGGAACAAAAGTCAAACCAATGGGAGACACAACCAAACCAAAGAAGTAAACAATGACAAATTTAAGGTCAATAAGAACCAATCAACATCGAGGTGTACAGAACAAGCTGTGAAATGCATATGGAGAAATTCGAACACTTCACTTCTATCTGAAGTTTGTGCTGATGATGTCGTTCAGAAGAACGATGAAAGCTCCACGACCAAACCATCCAGCTCAGAGAACAAAACTTCATCAAAATGTTACTACTAAGCCATTTCAAAACCTTTCCTAATCTAAATACAAATACAAATGTAAGTAAAAATATTTTTTTCCCCTTTATTTTATTCGAAATTTACCTTTTTATCAGCAAAAAATTCATAACCATCTTCAACAACTTGATGTGCTCTAACTACTAATTTAACATTACAATCATTCATGAAACGAATTAAAGCATCTTCACCGAATGTATAGGAAACACCACGTTCATTTTCTTTCCAACCAGCATATGACTAAATAATATGGAGAAAATGATTTTCTTTTTAATCTATTCATTATGTATAAGTGTAATCTTATTGAAATAACTTTAAAAACCACATTATATATATATAATACTCACTTTATTCACTACCATATATATTCATCTGTAAATCAAAATGGGGATCTGTGGAGATTGCAGTAATTTATATAGTTGAATTTAGGAGTCGATGTAAGTTAAACCACCATTGATAACCTGGAATTACTGTATGGCTGTTTCGTCCTGGTATAGGATTATTCATCAGTGCGCATCCACAACCTCACACATGTGACTTGAACCCGGGATCTCCGGTCTTGTGCACGAACTCTAGACCATTGAGCCGACCGGCATCCGGGGGCGTTAATGTCTAACTTCCATAGATCCATGAATGGCTGCTAAACCATTCATCCATTGTCTGAGATACATAACTGTCTTACCCGACATGAATTGAACTCCACTAGTGACGGCTTCTTACTATAACTCCAGGAAATCTATCTTGAAGCTAATCGCTAGTGAGCCCATGATTATTATCAGAATAGGGATTTATTTTACCCCCCCCCCTATAAGTTGTAAATATTTGATGACAGCCATAACTGATTAATTTATACAAATCTAAAATAGGAATGTTCATTGAGATATTTGTACACATTTTTGGAAGAAAACTAAGGTAGTCTAAAAGTTTAAGCTGACCATTTATAAAAGGAAGTAGTTTTCATATGTTACACTGATAACCACTGAGGACTAAATAGCTGTATCGTCATTGATCGGTATCGTTCAGAGTAAGCATTCATGAATAACACTTTGAATCTAACTAATGATATTTCGATTGAAGCCATGAACTGATTGATGTTAGACAACCATTGAAAACCTGGAAGCACTGGACTGCCGTTTCGTCTCATTCTGGGACTCTTCAGCAGTGTGCATCCACAATCCCGCTCGCGGGATTCGAACCCAGGCCCTTCTGTCACGCGCGCGAACGTTTAACCTACTGGATCACTGAATCAGCATCCAATCTTTTAAATGAACCTAGTTTTAATAGATTCCATAAAGTGTAGGCTTTCGTTTGTGTATTATTAATTAGCTTCTCTCTCTCTCTGATTTCCAATGCTTTTTCAGGTAATTTCAGTTCACAGTTAAAACCATCACTGTCACGATCTCCAGTGATTGATCACAAAGGTGTAACTAATGTCCTATTTGTCTAGTCCCCTTAGTGCTAATCGAATTTTATCGATCGATTAGCAGTATAGACACTAGGATATATCACAATAGTAGGTTCAGCGTTTAAGACATGAAACAGGGAGATATGAATTCGAATTTTTGTACTGATGATGATTAACCAACAAAAAGTCAGGGTCTAGGTACTCCTGTCAACTATCTTCTATTAAGTAATATTATCACTACTGTATATGGGCACACTATAATTCTGAACTTACTCCATCAGGATCTGACCATAATAAATCACAAATAATACCCATATCTGGTACTTCAGTTGGACGTCGTATTTCATTCAACTTGAAAGGAAGCGAAGTGATTTAAACAAATAAAATATTAAAGAATTCAAAAGTAAATGAACAGAAATTTTGTTTAATAAAGTTAAATAAAACTGAAAAAAAGTAAAACAAGACAAAATAGAAGGAGAGTTCGACTGAAAATAGCAGTAGAATCCAGGACTTCCATTTCATCCTATTAGGATTCATCAGCTGAATGCGCCTGAGTCCTTGTGATGATGTTCATCTGAAGACTCGAGAAAAATACATTTCACATCCAGTACAACGTATTGTCCACAGAGCTATCAGCTTCATATAACCAGTGCCTTGTGGATAAAAAAATATGAATTCACGCTTTGGATTCCACTGCTAGTCATATTCCACTTATTCCATGAAGACGTATGACCTAATAGAATCCTCACTGGATGCATATATTCTCAACTAAGACTGATGAAAATCCTGATTATCAATACCGAGACAACTGAAAAACTTTACAAATTAAAAGAGGAAAAATATTGTGTTTTACAGTTTACACCACGAACTGATCCTAGTTAAATAACCATGAGAACCGAAAAACACGTGACGGTAGTTTCTTCCTAGTATGATACTCTTCAGTAGTGTGAATTCATAACCTCTTTATGAAACGAACCAAGGACCACCAGGACTCTCGGTAAACACCTTACCTTTAAACTGATGAACTTAAATTAAACATGTAAATCAACGGATTCCAACTAAGTGGTCTAAAGATCAAGTATTTTCCACGTGTCTTAAACGTCATGAGTTATATTCGCAATGATGTCATGAATACTCACTTCTGAGTCCTTTACTAAAAACAGAATAGTTATCCGGTACTTCCTAATTTTTAGTAGTTGTCTAATTATGATCAATTCATGAATAAAGCCATAAAATTATATAACCTCCATAAACCTCTCTATTAATAAAGAACACTATGTTACAACTTACCTGTTCTAATTTCTTTAAATCTGGTGATAATCCTCCATGTGCACAAAACATACTATTGTCAACTAGCGCGGCTGTGTAGTAATAATATCAGAAAGAACAAAACAATATACATAACTGTAAAAAAAGTCAAATTATGATTTTTGAGAAATCATATATTGACAACAAATGAATGACCATTGAGAAGCATATAGGGAACTGACCGGTTAGATATTAAGTTCTAATTTTAAATTTTCACGGAGCTGAAACTTAGAGAACAAATACAACTGTAGGTATTTATAAATATCTGTCTATGCAAGATACCCAATGTTTGTTAGCTGGATACCATCAGCGACAACCTTCTGTGGGAGAGAAAATATCAGATTCCAAGCTGAAGAGGAAATTAAGCGAAGACTCCGAAGGCGGATAGAATACACATTGCAGAGATCATCAAATTAAATCACAGGACAAGCCTCAATTCAGGATATTGAAGGTAAGAGGAAAGAGGTAATACCAAAAGAACACATTGTGTTGGAAATTGACGGCAGATATCAAAAGAATGACCAGCACTTGAGAACGATTGGAAAGGATTGCTCAGGACAGATATGGCTGGAGAATTCCGGTCAGCGGTATATACCCCACGACAGGTAACAGGCGCAAATAAGTGCGTCGATCCCATCCATAATGTCGTAAAGAATCCCAACAAAACCACTTATTCATTGCGGTTAGCATATCATCTGCAGATCAGTGAAATTGAGTCGGTTTTTAAGTTTTTCAGTTTTTCAATAGTTTTAAGATGGATTCCTGACGTTTTAAATGAAAAGCCATCTTCGGTAGATGTGGAGCATGTTAAACTACAGAATAAAAACATTAACAATATTGGATGATGATGATGATGATGTTGAGGAACAAAAAGGGAATAACAACGGCCCGAATTTCAACACAGCAATACACATCTATCATGTAGATGGTTATGCGTTCCACATCCACTGTGAAGATCATTTGTGGAAAATGTTAAATAATCTTAAAATAAGACAAAATTACTACGGCGTTTTTCTTTACTTTTCACTAATACTCTAAATAGTACCATAAAAATTAAATTATACAATCGCCCCAGTACAGTTTATCTTAACAATATTCAAAACAAATGCATTTCATGCATTGAAATATATTCACATCAGAACATACCTAAAGGAAGACAATTAAAACAATCAGTGAATACTTTCCATAATTTTGTTGAATAACGACGTTTGCATTCGTCATAGAAACCGTAGATACTAATGAGATGAATGATAAAAGATCAATTGAAGAAAATATATTTTAGGAAAAAACAAATGTCTTCATTATCAGAAGGGGTTTTATGGATATTATAGTAATTTCAAGGGTTGAGATCATGAATCAATTGAAGTTAGACCACCATGAAAAACTTGGAAGCACTGGACGGCCGTTTCGTCCCATTGTGGGGCTCCTCAGTAGTCCACATCTATAATAGGACGAAACGGCCGTCCAGTGCTCCAAGGTTTTAAATGGTGGTCTAGCTTCAATTGACTCATGATCTCAACCCTTGAATTGTTTTTATGACTAGAGCAAATGAAGATTCAATTCAATTAATTTGATAAACAGATTCTAGTTAAGAAAACCATTAACATTGAATAGTACTGCAATAAAAGAGAACATAGACTAGGATAACTAAGGTGAGTTAGAAAAAAACTACAGAATCTCTTGGTAACATCTGAGAACCATACAGTAAATACTTCATTTGCGAAATATCTATCGGTTGTTTACGACTTCATTGTTCTTTCCTTTCATCTCATCAATCACTCTCTGTTCTCGTTCTCTTCTGTTCAATCTTCTCAATAATTTACTGCCAGGCATTTCACTTTCAATTTGTGATACATACTACTTATATCTGTTGACATCAGTAGCACACAACACAGTACCATTAGTATTAATAGTACAATACGTTATCAACTCAGAATGTCACACCTTTTCTGAAATAAACTATGAATGTGAAAGTGATGTAGTACTGCATAGTACTTTAGGAGATTAATCCTTTTGGAGATCTGACTTGATATTTCCGATTTGATTCAATAGCGGATTGGGACATCAGATCTCGCTGGTTTATTTGATACTTGTTGGCATTCTATTGTTAGAAGTACTCATTATATCGATTATAAACCTTGTCTAGACAAGTGTTTTAAGTACGTTTCTGAAAGATTCTATTAGTAAATCATGGGATATATCTAAATCAATATTTTTTCAATATTGTATACTAAAGTGTTATTACGTTATTGCTATACTATCATCAGGTAGAAGTTTAAGGACTTCAATTTGAGGCAGATGTTTTGTATGACAGGTAATGATACCACGCATCTGCGTAATCCAACGTAATTGATATTTTGCGTAGAATTTACATACTTTAATCACTCTATATATAACTAGAACACATTTCGAATTTAATCGGGGTGATACATCAACAGATACATTTCTAGGGAATCATCAATCTACTTGTTATTATTAAGTAGTATAGCATGAAAAACAAAAGTTAGTGATCATTAATTGTATTCCTATCTAGTCAATATCATTTATTAACCTTTCAAATGTCTTTCATTCGAATAGTTAGAAATATCTATATTTTGGACCAAATCGAAGAGTTTTCATGGTCTATACAACATTCAGCGTAAACTTTATTGTTTTCAGCAGATTATATTACAAGTTATATGACAACAAATTTATAAACTCATTCGGTATTGTTTGCTTGAATCTTTCCATCATTATTTAGGACTGCAATTGATCAGTCTCTTATTGGCGTATGTGCATTCTGTGCCCTAATATTGCCTTAAGTCTCAAGCATTATAAGCGAAGATGGATAGTGGCTATCCGTGGAATCCTTGACGCACGTTTCGTCCTATTTGAGACCCGTGAGCAAGATGAATGGTATTGTGTTCGAGTTCCGGAGTGTACATCAATTCTGGGAAGTAGGTACAAGGTGCACATATACCAGTAAGAGAATGATCAATTACAGTCCTAAACATCAACAGGAAGATTAAAAAAAACAATCAAAAACATAGATTTAAACTTCGATCCATCGCACAACCTAGTTGTTAACCTACTAACTAATATCGACAGTAACTTTTCAAGTAAGCTCGTAAATTAATTCATAGTATTTTGATAAACTTACCGATTTATACGACTACATTCATGATTTCCTCGTAAAACAGCTAATTTATCAGGATATTTTAATTTATAAGCCAAAATAAGCGAAATTGTTTCCAACGATTGTCTACCACTGAATAAATGAAATTCAATTGAAACAAACGAAGATACATTATAATATGAAATGGAATGATTTAAGCAAAACATTTAAATAACCGGGTTTTTTTTCAACAAAGAAAGAAGGATTTAACATTGATGAATTGTTAGGTTATTATGAAGAATACCGTCTGTATTCACCACAGACTTGCAATACTACGAATAAAACTGAAACACAAGGATCATAGGATAGATATTTTGTTCATCTTTGAACCACTAACCTAACACGGGATCACACTTGGGATATTTTTAGTTACTCAGATAGCATATTTTCATTGTACGTTTGAATGAATGTTCACTGGTTTGTATTTTTAACTGTCCCAATATTTGACATTACTTAGTCCATTTATCAGCATATGGTTTTGTGGAGATTATAGAGCTGTCATAGATTTTAAGTTAACACCATTGAGTGTATGTTCATTGGTCTAGATGTTAATCATTCGTGCTCGAGACCGAAGGTGATGCGTTAGAGTCTATGTTACGTAGCCTTGGATTCACATTACTGAAAAGTCACATATTAGGATGGAACAGTCGTTCAATGATCAGTGATATTATAACTAAGCTTAATTTATGACTTAATATCTACATCAATCAATCTACTTAGCTGAGAATCAAGAGATAATCTTAGCTTATCACTATAATAAACTATATATCGAGATAATCCTCATAAATGTAACATGGGAAGAGCTTTTTCTTTCGAATAACCTGTTTTAATATAAGATGGTAAGTTTACCTACGATGATATACAATAAATGACACTATGATTTCATCAAATATATAAAACTGTACTTATAATAATGTCATCACTGGATTGCAAATTTAGCCTATTTGCAGTTAATGATAAGACTTGAAACTAAATCAACTGATTTTATTAACAGAGTAATAAATCAAAGAACTGTCTCTTTCAAGTTACCTTTTCAACATTGCTCTACACACTACTGAGTGGTAGTGACCTAAGTCATGTTTAGCTAGTCTTTTAGTTATGATCAAATTCTATCAATCAAATTGTAGTTTGTCCATTAGTCTAAGTAACATCGCATGTTTTATGTTTTCATGTTAAATGGTTTGAAATAGTCACTTAGGGGCCTTGAACCTGAGTTTCAGATACACTATGTGAACAAATGCCAACTAAAATGAAATCTGGGTGAATTGATTTTTTTAGAAGGAATTTTGTGGAGATTGTAATAATTCCAATAGTTGAGATCATGAGTCAATTGAAACTAGACCACCATGGAAAACCTGGAAGCACCGGACGGCCGTTTCGTCCTATTATGGGATTACTCAGCAGTGCGCGTCCACGACCTCCTCGAGGGATTCGAACCCAGGACTGATAAATCCTAGTGACGGTGTCCAAGAGGTATTTCCTGGAGTTCTAGTGAGAGGCAGTGACCAGTGGTGTTCAACCGGGTCAGTTGTGAGGTAGTAACTCACTGATGATAATGGTGGATGTGTCACTCAATTTCGTGGATTAGTTGAAGTTAGACATTAACACCGTTGGATGTCCCACAATAGGACGAAACGGGCGTTCAGTGCTTCCAGGTTTTCCATGGTGGTCTAGTTTCAATTGACTCATGATCTCAACTATTGGAATTAATTTTTGCTGATTCTCTCCAACTGCCTAACAATAATACCAATCAAGTGGTAATGTAACATAATAATATTACTGTCAGGCAGAAGTGCAAGTATAACTCAATAATTTAGTTATATTTGTCAGTAAGAATTTTAAGAAGTTCAAGTCAAAGAGAGAATAAAAACTCTAATTTTAACCCTATCTGGTAAAGACTGCATAGATGGATAGGCTAGGGTTTTAGGGCTGAACAAATTCCATCTAAATACAAGGTTTTGGTCTAAAGATATGAATTTTTATAGCTTTGTTGATGTGTAAAAGGTACTATCACTCAGTTGCAACGTAGAACCTGGTACGTAGTTACATCCTTTCCAACTGACATAACCCATTAGCACGGCGAGATGAAATGGTCAGGTCGAATCCTAAAGTAGTAGAGATAGCAACAGTATCAATGGTAATAGAAAAGATTGGTCATTAAAGGTACGATTCAGAAAAGTATAAATCAGTGAGATAAAACATCATTTCGGAAGATCATTCAGAAGATCAGAAGTTGGGGGAAAAACAATGAATGGGGGCACCTGCCCCATTGCAAATGATTTCGAGATATGTCGTTCAAAGTCTCCAACCACTGATTACGATAATCATGCTGATCCCAACCACGTAGTCGCCGCCTTTTAATAAGGTTCAGTTCAATTGTCAATGACTTCATGAACTGATTACATGTTTTGGTTAAACCGTCCATAGTTTTTTTCCAACCTAATCTTACACTATACAACATCACCCGACGTGATAGGTAGTGGTTTTGAATGTGTCCGATTCTCTTCAAGTATTTCAGTAATACAGTAAGACATAAGCTACTAACATGGTGAACAGTTGTACATGTTCTCGATTCGTATGTTGTCTAATGTAATCCATTCTTCATTTCTTTACTCAATTATATCAAAGGATACAATTAATAATATCGGATATTATTGGATATTTTTTGTATCATTTCAGTATAAGTTTCATTCAAGATGAAATGTGTGAACTTTCGTTCAGTGCTCCGATTCTATTCCTTGTATTGACTAAAGTAAGCTACATTCAATATGTGTATGTTTCTACAGTAACTATATATTTTCCCCTATATGTGACCCTATTAAAAATATGTAAAAATTATTATATCAGTGGTTGTATTTTGATCTAAGGATGGATTGGCTTTGCGACTTATTTGATGTGTTCTTTGGAGAGTCAATAAATCCACATTTCACCAGTCTTTTGTGTTTTTACATTACGTAGTGGAAATGACAGTGAGTTCTCAATTGTCAAGTAAAAGCAGGAGGACTGACGACATAATGGACTCAAAATGTACATAACAGCGATGACACACTGTTAACTATAACAGCGCTGATGACAACTTTTGATAAAACAATGACAATCCAAATTTTACAATATTGATAGTTATGAATCAATAATTAATTGAACAATCACTTACTAACCGGTCAACATAATCGCCAAGAAATAAATATTTTTGATCTGGTGGTTTACCACATCGTTTAAAATATTGTAATAGATCAGTATGCTGTCCATGTAAATCACCAACAATAATCAATGGTGAAGTAATATGCACAAGAACTGGTTCACTCATAAATAATGCTCGTGCTGAATGAGCAAGATCTAATAATTGTTGTTCAGTAACTCCACGCTGTTATTTTAAAAGAAGAGAACAAATGTAAGAAGGATCAAAGATCTTAAAATAGGATATATGGCTAAATATAAAAACTAGTGTGAAAGTGTTGGGACTTAGAAAATAGAAAACTACTTGAAGTAATCAGTATTCTTTAAAAAGTTATCAGAAGATTCTAGAAAACAGCGGGGGATTACCAAATATATTACCACTTTCAGTTTATTTCCAAGAAGCCTCTAAATGTGTATAGTCCGAGAAATACCGTTGTTTTCTGAACAGTAAATTATCTTCAAAGCAAATTTCCTTCCATAGTTCCCACCTTCAATTTTCCTTTAAGATTCCGAGAGTAGAAGATTCCTGTGGTTCAGGAAATCGGTATCTAGTGGTTTAAGTGAAATATTCATCAGAAAGTACTAAGGGAACATAGGGAATTGCATTTCTTGACAATTACAATTTAGGTGTGCTATGTTTGAAGAGATTAAGAATTCACCTAAATCTGCGAAAGGAACGAAGACAGTAACACAATGACCAAATAAGCTAACTTCTCCGATTCATCCAAGACCCGCTAACTAGAGAAAGAAGTTCAGTCAGAAGTACGAACAACAACCACAAGCACAATTCAAGCATATATATACAACATAAAAATGTCCTTGAGAAAACGCTACAAATCATCATATCAAAAAGGATAACGAACCAATGACATTTAAGGTCCTCGAAGTGGGAAGTATCATATGAAGATGAAAATAGCCGCCTTTGACCCGAAAACAAGAAATTCAAATTTCCAAAATACAATTACAAAAATAAGACATTTATCAAGTGATTTCTGGGGATCTAACATCCCTAACAGGGTAAGGAATAGCTAGGGAAGCTCTAATGCGATGCCCAGTGAATACTATAAGAATAATTAACAAATCACGATTTTATTGATCATTCTTTAGTTAATTATTTGGCTAACAGACCTAAAAGTTTTGCTTTGTCTGTATATATTTACTAGGTTAACTGGTTCTGTGAATTCAGTCTCATCCATTGTGAGACAAGACTAAATCAGAATCTCAGAACAATAAATTCATGGTAATAATAGTTTAAGACCATTATAAAGACACGAGGAACTTCCTTTGTACGTTACGTAATCTAACACTATACCCTTTCTGTTACGTCATCACTTCCACCCAAAGTTTGCGCTGATGATGTCGTTCAGAAGAAAAATGAACCAACATCATTTCCAGATAGATTAAACGTTAATCAGCTCTATAAAGCTATTTCATCCTAGTGTATACTCTTAAGTAATTTCCATCATTGTTAATCAAAAATATTCAAGTTTCATGACAATCGAAATATCTGAGAGTCGTTATACAAATAGTCTACATCTATTTGTGATATAGCACTGTAGCGAACGAGAATACCAGTTGTGACAATCAAATGTATTTGAACGTTTTAGTAAAATCTGAAAACCATACAGTAAATACTTCATTTACAAAATGTTAATCAATCGTCTCAGACTTTATTGTTCTTTTGTTTGCACACCAATCATTCTTTGTTCTCGTTCTCTTTTCTTTAATTATTTTTAACCTTTTGCCTCCAGGCACTGCACTTTAGATTGGTGATACATACTACTTATATCTGTCAACATCAGTAGTACACACCACAGCACGACAAATAGTCAATATTATCAATAATGGTTGACATGGTTATTATTGTTATTATTACTAAACTTTTATAGACAAATACACCGTGTATACATAGGATTATTGTGAGTGTACAGGTTAGTGACTTGAAAGTATACTACAAGAATGCGATCAGAACTAAGTGACTAAACAAAACTATGATTGATCACTAATCAATAATTAGTCAATTGCAAATATCTCAGTGCCCTCAACTGCCCTGGTACTGTCGAGGGTGAGGAGAGGCAGCTCCCTCTCTCCAAATGCTCTCACATTGCCACGCGTATACAGTCACTGCCAGGGAGGTCCTAATCACTGCCTTCTCATGACATTATTGTTGATTATGAAATTGAGAGGACGAAAGCGAATATCCGGCGCCCTAACCGGGTTGGTGGATATGGATGATCTACATAGAGGAGTTGGAAAACCTTGATTTCAAACCAATGGTGTACATGGGCTCCAGGATCCTAAGGAAACAAACGGCGTATGAACCTATTGTTATTCACTGGCTACCATGGGACTGCATCTCCTTACGTTGCCCCACTGCCTTATGGATCAAACGTTTAGGTCGAAGGTTCCGGTTGAGTCCTCTTAAGAAAACCATCTGCTTCGGTTTGAGTACCCTGTCAGTATCGCAGTCCTCACACAAATCGATCGATGCAGTGTGGTGCATATATATTCTGTGCCCCTTTGTACCAATATTTATGTATTCAAATAAATAAATAACATCGGTTCTACAAAAGATAAATTGTAGCCTAAATACATCAGTGGTCAAATCTATGAACTGTGATGTTAGACAATGCAAGTTTACGGCTCACATGAACTATCACCATCTTCAAGAGTTCAGGTACATCATGTTGACGAATATAAAGTTATCTTGTTGTTTATTACTACTAAACAACCTGTCAGCTAATAGTAAATTTTAAAACAAATTTATTTACCATTAAAATTTTAGCTCTACTACTACCAACTTGACGTTGATTATTGGCAATCGTTTTTTCAGTTAATTCAATTGGTAGATCTTTTTTATCATAACTAAGAACTTCAATTAATTGATCTAAATTTAATTCTTCTTGGGATTGCTAAAATTTAACAAAAAAGAACAAAGACAGATATATGTATCAGTAAAAGTGGAGATTGTAGTACTTTTATTAGTTGAGTTTGTTGGGGACGATAGTTCCCCAACAAACTCATCTTTTGTAATTTTATCTTTGTGGAGCTGGTATGCACATGTATGCTTGGGCATTTCTTACCATCCACACACATAGCCGATCGACGAACTTATCGATTAAATGTTTAAAAACTTCCATGGCAAAATCAAGTATATATATTTGTATAAATACGCTTGATTGTGTGCCTGATTGACCTAACCTGACCTGGTATCTTCTGGTTGCCTGTAGAATACACTTTCTACGTCTCACCAAGACTTCTTGATCGAGTTAGCTAAGTCGGGAACAACGGACCAGAATAGTCTATCGAGACTCTGAATCCTTGATCCGATCGACAAGTCACTGCCCTCTAATCGGCGGCCTTAAGACATAACAAAGTTCATGAGTTAATTAAAGCTAGACCATCATGGAAAATCTGAAAGCATTGGATGATATTTTCGCTCTTGTATGCTTGCTGTTGAAGAGTTCCACACTAAGACGAAACAGCCATCCAGTGGTTTCAGGTTTTCCATGATGATCTAGCTTTAATTGACTGATAAACTTAAGTATTAAATAGATATTAGTCATTAAAAAAAGAGATAATAAACTCTTCTTTGTGTGTATGCTAATATAGACTACTCCTATAAATTCAGTTACAAGGATTAAACAAAATATATAGGCGAACAATATTGTTTCCGATTAGATCCTTATCAGGCTTTACTCTAAGTATTAGTGAACACCTTCCTTCGTTGTTGGGATAAGATACTGTGAATAACACACGCAGCTCAGTTCTATCACATTTGGTCTATAGCTGTCCTACGATTTTGTTTTTTTCCTCAAATATACGTTTCACAGTCCAATTATCTGAACACTTCTTATTACGTAATCTTATAATCTTTTATGAATGTTATTTCAGTGGCTATACTTTTCTAATCATTGACCTATTTTAATAGTTGAATTTATGAGTCAGTTGAAGCTAACCCACTATGGAAAACCTGTGAGCACTGGACAGCCATTTCGTCCTATTGTGGGACTCCTCAGCAGTGTGCACCTATGATCCCGCCTCGCGAGACTCGAACCCAGAACCTATTAGTCTCGCGCACAAGCCCCCAACCCATAGACTACTGAGCCGGCATCCAACTGTGTTAATGTCTAACTTCAACCAATTCACCTACTTCCCATTATGAAATGTTGATTCAAGCCTTTATTATTCTTATCAAAACTAGTACACCTGTCATCACACTATCAATTTATACTCTTTACTTATTATGTAATCTTTTCTACTGTTATCATTGACTCATAAACTGCCTTGATTGGTTTAATCGTTTTGCATATCCATATAAATATTACTGTATATTAGAGTAAAACCTGATGAGGATCTAATCTAGAACAATACTGTTTCCTTATATATGTTGTTCACAATGAAAATATGGAAATTTTACAAGGATAAACTATCTAGAAAGCCTTCTCTTTACACTTTCATACATGTGTACTGACAAGATTAGGAAAAGGGATTCATCAATCACTGAATAGTAACATTTTTTGTCATCTAGTAAATATAATTTGAATACCACATTAAAATTGAAGTGATCTTCTTGATTTTATATCAGTGAGAAAGACTATAACTCTCTTCTATGTAGCTGAAGTTATCAGGATTAATTCCAGTGAAAACTTAACTTTTATAAACATCTTTATTTACTATGGCCTATGTAGATGTATGCAAATATTATATACTGATATCACTGATTACCTTTTTATGTTTATTACTGCCCTGACTCATTCTTAATTTACACATCCATTTTCCCCAATTCACGTGAAGTTCTTATCACTGTTATCATAATTACCATGACACCGTATCAGATGTATGGAATCCTATGGCAGTGTGTATCCATGACCGAACCTAAAGACTTCAGGTCTTGTGTCTAACGCCCTAGTCAGTATTCAACGGTCGATATTTCTAACACTAATCAGTCACTAGAATAACTCAAGCATATCCAAACGGACATTGGCACCTAACATTATGTCTAATGTTCCTTGGTTTCCAATAGTGATTTAATTAAGTTACTTTTAAAGTGTAAACTTCGACTGATATAATAACTAGCAGAAAAAAACTAAATGTTTTATTGATAATCATTAGTTTCATGCTGCTTACTAATATTGTATCCGAGACTTTGTATTATTATACTTAGTAACTACTCAAAATTATTGACTCATAGTGATTCATCATAAAGTGGGATAGACATGAAAATCATTAAAATGTAGATCTTATAAACTGAAAATGCAACATTTCAAAAAATATCATGCTACACTGAGAAATATGATATTCGTGGTGGTAGTGGTGGTGGTGGTGAGAGGGGTTATTCCCTACGGATTATAAGTTCACACCACTGCATGGCTCTGTTCTAGCTCAAAACAGTAATCTAGCATTTTGGGATTTTCAACGATCTCCCATAAGCTTTATATTTAAATACTGAATCATAGAAGAGATAATTTCCAATATACATTACATTATAACAATGAATAGAATGCAACAATACTAAACATACCATTTATATACATATAATGATAACAATAGTAAAATTCTGTTACGTAATTGGTATAATGCATAAACTCAATCTGGAAGTACCAACAGTCTTATCGTTTCCTTAGTTGAAAGGATCAAATCATCTAAGATAATAGTCGTTATGAGGAGTGAATGAGAAAAGAATAAATAATGATCTACTGAATTCATTTTTTCTTTATGCTTGTCTATCTTTGTATACGCGCGTGTGTGTGTGTGTAAGTGAGAGAGAGAGAGAGAGAGAGGAAGAGAGGGAGCTCTTGTGTATCCAATCCAAAACCAATGATTCTATGAATTTCGAACCTTGACTAATTAAGGGCGTTTCACTAAGAAATGTTATGTATATGTATATGTAACGTCAAAATAACCGAATAATGTTGGAAATTATATTGAAATGTAAAAACGTCTTTTTTGAAAAGAAAAAAAAAGACGATTGGGTCATAGAAACTGTTACCTAATATAAATGTACTTAACTAATTGAATAACATATTCACATAACATGCGTATAATGAACATGGTTATAATTAAAGGATAAATATAAGATCAGTTGATATGGTAACTCAAGTAAACAAGAGATTAAATGGAATGAGTTATTTTTCATTTCGAATCATAGATAGAGAAGGGGTGGATGGCAGTTGAGGATGGTGAATATATATTACCTTCATGAGTATCCCTTTTATTGTGGTAAAAAAAGAAATGACATTATATCGACCCTTTCTTGATAATATAACTGGTTATAGATAAGTTATTAAATGACATTTTATCTTTCACTAAATATTGAACTTGAAACAACTTGTTCCATATCATCATTGTAAGTAAATCAATTTAGTATAATTTCAAGGAGGGATTCAATCTTTTCTAGTTTACTATTGATTTAATGAGAATAATTGAATACATGCATATATCAGAATGAGTTTTGCGAAGAGTTTTAGAAATTTCACAGGTTGAAATCATGAGTCGACTGAAGCTAGACCACCATGGAAAACCTGGAAGCACTGGACGGCCGTTTCGTCCTAGTATGGGACTCCTCAGCAGTGCGCATCTTCGTGGATTGGTTGAAGTTAGACATTAACACCGTCAGATGCCCGCTCAGTAGTCTAGTGGTTAGGTGCTCGCATGCGAAGCCAGTGGGTCTTGGGTCCGAGCCCCGCGTGATACGGGGTCATGGATGCGCACTGCCGGGGGGTCCCATGCTAGGACGAGACGGTCGTCCAGTGCTTCCAGGTTTTCCATGGTGGTCTAGCTTCAGTCGACTCATGGTTTCAACCTGTGTAACATACATATATACTACTGGTTAGTTTTTGTATACATATAGATTTTTTAATTTCTAACTAGAGAACCTCTAACAAATGGAAAATACATGAGGGTCTATTAATGAAAAGGAATGTAGAAAAGCATAAATAACTCAGATAACTTAAATGCAAATTGACTTAAATCTTAGAAAGTAATATGAATCCCTAGAAATTGGTATATCCATCTGTGTTTATTAATGATTCTTATTGTTATATCCCGATGAGAATAATGAATGGTAACTGTTGGAATCCATTTATGGACTAATACTAAACGTATATTTTTATCGTGTAATTGTTAAATAACTAAACTATTCATATTCGTGTTCCTATTATCATAAGCTTTATCTTGATCTATGAACTATTATTATAGGATTTACCGTTGTTAAGTTATGCCCAATCATATCAATCACTATCTCCCACATCCACAACCACTTTTGGCTAAATCTTATACAAATGTTATTTTCTATTTTATGGCACGATGTGGTCTGTTTGGTCTGTATATAAACCCAGTATGCTTTAAATAAATGATTCATATAGCAGAAGCTGGGATTGGTGTTCTGGACTTAACAGGCTGGGCTAGGCGGGAAGTAGGACAGATAAGGACTCTAGACTTCACGTACGGGTTTTATGCGTCCTTTGATCCGGTCGATAATTCCCTGTTCTCTAATTGGTGTTTTCATCACGTTATACATTAATAGGACACAGGGCAAAATTTATAACACTTATCAGTTGTTTACAAACACAAAAATGAAAGAATCTGTGAATAGATTAAATGAACAAAATGAATATGACAAGTTGTTTAAAAAAAAGTCCACTTAATGATCTACATTAAATCGTTGATTCATGTATAAAATCCAGAATCCGACACAAGTTATTTGTCCAGTTAAAAAGGTGTTCAAACCCTTTAAAAGTTATGAAAATACGATTAAAGACAAATCGCTTTACAACTGTGTTAAATTCAGTGGTAGAAGAAAGCAAGATAAAATGACATAAACTACTGAATATTAGTAAGTAACATGATACAATCTACAAAAAAATGCGCCTTATAAGAAGGAAGTGACAATGAATGGAGTAAAACAGAATTAGCACAAGTGCAAAAAAAATAATTCACAAAATTGAATTGAGATATCGGATTCTGTTACACTTGAGAAGTGGGGTATACATTTTTGTGTATATATATACAAATATTGTGTTGCTAGGTCGATAGTTCAAATTGAAGAATTCGACTGACAAATATTCACGAAAATGAATTTATTATTTATTTATTTCAACACATAGATATTGTTACAAAGAGGCACCAAATACATATGCGCCACACAAATCTCATTCGATATGTGTGAGGGCTGGGATACTGTCCGTGTGCCCAAACCGAAACAGGTGGTTTTCTTAGCGGGCCACACCCCGAGCCTTCGACTTGAAGGTCTGATCCACAAGGCAATGGAGCATCGTGAGGAGATGCAGTCACATGATAGCCGATGACCAACGATTTTTACACCATTTGTTCCTTCAGGATCCTGGAGCCAATGTGCACCATTGCTTTGGGACCCGGTTAAAGCGCCGGACATTCGCTTTTCGTCCTCTCAATTTCGTAAACAACACCCCCGCCACGAGAAGGCAGTGAGTATCCAGGACTAAATAGAAATCAAAACAAACAGAGAAATAGAACTAAGAGGAAGCTTACTTTTCTAAATTGAATATTAAATTTTAGTGCGAAATATGAGAAATTAATGTAAACATGATATGGAAGTATTTGAAATGTAACTGTTTGTATAGTTAAGATTTCGTTCGTCATTCAAAAGACTGAATTATGGTTAGACTGTAATTCTTGTTCCACAAATGTAATGCAAGTCACAATTCTGAAATATTTTGAGCTACCGTTATTCTATGATCATATATATATCTATAATATATTGAAGATTTTGTTTAAAATAGTCTATACTCTATTCAAAATATTAAATGAAATTCAACATTATCGTTGTAGATCATTATAATCAATACGAATAGCCACACTCTGAGATTAACTGAACATGATGGTAAATAAATGAGAGAAGGGAAATGTGGTTCAAAATGAAAATGAAGCATGAAAAATGTAAGATAGAGAATAAATAAGATAGTAAAACTGAGACTGACTTCATACTGTATGATCCAATGTCATCAGTCATATATTTCGACTGTTACATGAGCCTCAACTGGCCAGTCTACAGCAAAAAAAGTTGCTCTGACGACAAGTTGATAACCGCTTGATCTGATCTTATGTCTTCTTTAGCTCATCATAAGCTTTCCTCTGACTTGTTCTTATGTTCGTTCAAAATGACAATGGCGTGACATATGTTTTTGCCCATACAGATGATGTGAGGTAATAGACGAATCAATCGACTTGCTATCTTTATCCAGTCTCAGTAATACTTACTCCATGATTATTGAATTTTTAAGCGCAATTATAACGAGACATGATCCCTTTTTGACTCCATTTTCATATCTACCTGTTGTAAAAGAAGACATTTGACATAAGACTAGTTTTATTCTTGAATATTCAAGCTAAGTAACTGCTAAAATGTCAGTAAAACACTAAACAGATGTTTTATTTAATTTTGTGAACTACGGACCACTACACAACGATAATTTCAATTCTCGTAATGAACAAAACTGTTAGGACCTGTTAAACATAATGAATGGTAACTTTGGGATCCTTTATGGACCAATACTAAACGTATAGTTTTATTGTATGATTATGATATGATGGAAAGAAAAGTCCATTTTCGACTGAATTACTCATTATGAGTTTTATTCAACATTCAATATCCGTTTTGATTCAACGTCAGGATCATTCAGTGTAGTATTCGATTGTTTTTCCAGTATGATATTCTCTTCTGTATAATATACGATATTCTTGTATTCCGTCGACATGAACTATACTCAGTCTGTGATTTGTTATAACTGAGTATGTGATTTAATCCTAATTATTAATCAAAATGGGTGTACCATCAATATATAAACCAGTGTATTTTAGACTAGATTCAATTTGTCGTCGTCGTCATAGTGTTTTGGGGCTAATAAATCTTCATTTATGCCAATCTTGTATTCTTACTTTCTCATCGTGAGAATTGCTGAGGTCTCTCGTTACGAGTATAAGTGATCAGCGCTTTTCTTTGTTTTTACGGCATAACAAAAACATATATTCTAATTTTAATCGATATGTGATGTAACGGCCTAGTGATTGTCCATTACTATTACCTATTAGGTAATCACCTTTATTCCGGCCTTATTACTTAACAAATTATGGATATCAATATTTAAAACTATTCAAATTCATAGTTAGCAAATTAACATAGTTTTATTCTGTGTTCGAATCTTACTTACTTACGCCTGTTACTCCCAATCGAGCATAGGCCACCAACCACCATTCTACAACCCACTCTCCTCTGGGCCTTCTTTTCTAGTTCTATCCAATTCTTGTTCATTTTACTCATGTCTATCTCCATTTCTCGGCGTAATGTGTTCTTTGGTCTTCCTCTTTTCCTTTGGCCTTGAGGATTCCATGTGAGAGCTTGTCTTGTGACGCAGTTGGGTGTTTTCCTCAATGTGTGTCCTATCCACTTCCACAGTGTTCGAATCTGATATCATTTAAATTTCCATTTCGCTCGTACTTCTGCTTAAATCACTTCGTATATGACATTTATCTTCTATCTATCATTTATCTTCTTCTACCTATATCACGTAACGGTTTTTCTTACCAAGAAACTTTACGAATAATCGTCATTTGTAGTTCTTTCGAAGAAACTTGGAATAGTAACCTCAATAATAGTACTGTAATTTTTAGTACTTCCTTTCAATCCAATGTTTTTCTAGTTTGTAAAAGTTAAAGCTTAATTTTGTGAAACACAACCTTTCAATGTATTATGATATAATATTGGCATTGGTAATCAACAGACGATTTGGAGCTGAACATTATCGATTAGTTGAAGTAATTATTAATGGATGTAAGTTTATCTAAATTGGAAATCTGTTTACGTTTTATTAGGTGGATTTACTCGAAAGGCGATTCCAGTCAACTTATGAGGTTGTATATTATGCATTTTGACGAACCGATAAGAACTTGGAACGTTGATGATAAAAGTTAACAGAACTAATCCAACTGTTACATTTGAATCGATTAGCCATGACATCAAATTAAATGATTCTAATCTTGTATAGAAGCAATGGTGTGAATTTCTATCTAACTTCAAAGATGTATCATAAACTAGATCTAAAACCAATCCTCCAAAAATTATCCTCTAGGAAACTAATTTTACCTATTGAGATAAAAATTTCAATCCATGCTCGACAAACTTTACAGGATAGAGATATGTTTCCATTTAGGTTTTACTCCATTCAAAGGAAACACTAAAGGGGTTCGAGTAATTAGATATTAAAATCCTGTCAAGCAAGGATTTCAGTAGTCTTCCAAAAGAAATAAAAACACTACTCAGACCCTCGAAGTACTAAATTACATTACGAGGGGAATTCCATTATGTTAAGGAATTTGTTGGAAAAAAATGCACAAATATTAATAAGGGGCTTTAAAAAATTACCATAAACTTAACACCTTCGTTTACTCCCAAGCTTTTATACTGGTTGGATTAAATGTTAGTTATTAAAAGCTACAAAGTGACTAATCCTAGGAAGACGTTATTTGATAAAATCGCCCTACTGTTAGTTTGATATCTATGGAGAGCTTTAATTTTAATAATTTCAATTGTATATAGAATGAAAAGAGGCTATTATCACTGTTTGTAATTCAGTTAAGCAACTATTCACACTCTAACGTCTGATTAGTCCAACCGTATACAGTAAAAGTACAAAAGCTATCCAGGGCACTATTATCAAATAGACATAGATACTTAATAGTAAACAAACTGATTTCCATAGAAACCTCTAAGAGCAGCTTGTGACTAAATGGATAGACCGTTTCCTCACCACAACGTATCCACGATTGTATTTGACATCACATGAGCCCTTAGTATATCACATGACTTGGTTAGTTTGCTCACTGTATCAGTATTGCTCCATGAATAATGGGCTATGTAACTAACAATTCAAAATAGAACCTGTTACCTTACCAGAAAAATGACATAATCACCTTACTCATACTTTTGATGATATTTGGAATATCACAGTAGAATAGAACATTTTTATTGATAATTTTATCAAATTGTGCTGATAATTGGTGTGAAAATGTTAACCTGAAGTTTGTGCTGATGATGTCCTTCAGAAGAACGACCAAACCATCCAGCTCAGAGAACGAAACTGCATCAAAAAGTTAACCAATGTATATATGTGCCCAGTTTTTACGTTGCTTATAACTGGTTGAATTCGAGTCCCTAAGTGAACATCAACAGTGAGATACAGTGATATTTAGCCGACTTGTGCCGAATAGAACTAGACGAGAGTTCCATATTCTATAGATAACCGCATACCAAGTGTGCTATAGTAATATATATATAATTTCGAAGAAAGAGCGAAATTAGAGAATGAGACATATCAGTGAAGACTGGGATCGATTTACAATCCATTTCACCTCAGATCTTTAGTCATTATTTTAGTTCATCGGTTAAATACATTTACACCACGAAGATAAATACAAATAATACCGAGATATACCTAATCGTAATAGGTATTGGAACAGCTAAATTATCGAGTTACAGTCTTTCAATAAAAGGTTTATTTGAGGAAAAAATAGTACACTTCCCAACAAAGCCGTGACCAGTGGAGCTAATCTGTGTCGGGCAGAGACAGGTATCTACCTCAGTACAATAGAAGACGGTCGTGGTTGAGGTTGGAAATTAACACCATTGGATGTTGACTCAGTGATCCAGTAGGTTAAGCGTTCGCGCGCGTGACAGAAAGGCCTGGGTTCGAATCTCCCGAGCGGGATCGTGGATGCGCACTGCTGAGGAGTCCCACAATGAGACGAAACGCCAGTCCAGTGCTTCCAGGTTTTCAATGGTTGTCTAACATCAATCAGTCCATGATCCCAATTAGAAACTTAATAATCTCCACAACCCCTATACTGATAATTCCAACTTTGTTTACAAAATTTAACTCTTAAATAATTATTCCTAATATATCACTGTAGTCGGCACAAAATACAGGAACATACTAAAAATAGTAGAAGCAAAACTCAATGATCGAATACGTGTATTTTTATGAGTAATCAATAGTTGTTATTGGGCAACCTTAACTTTAAACAGTCAGATCAAATAGATAGTCAGCTTAGTTTTAATTTGCATAATAATAAGCCATATGAGTATCTGCCTGTATTCACATGCCATATCAAGGTCAAAAGGTAAGTGGGGGGATACAATACTGGAGCGCTATTGGATTAAGTAGATTGTGCACCTGATTCAAGGTTTCAGTCAACATGTCCATGTATTTATGAGAAAAAGAGATGTATACCGACGGTTTATATAAATTTTATTTCATTTGCCGACTACAGTTTCCTAGTTATTTCTCAGTCTTCTCACTTACCTAAAAAGGTGAGTAAGCGTATAGAACCACAAACCAACCAATCACTACGTGCATGATATGACCAAGACAAGTGACACGATAACATAGAACAAATTGCACTGAACAACGAAGATGATTTCTCTCACCATTTCAATACCTTAAATCTTATTGAAACGAACGCAGGAGTCTCAGAAAATAACAATTGGCTTGTGACGGTGGATAATTATCGTCAAACAAAAAAACACTCTTGTATATACATCTCCAATCAAACGTAATTTATAAATAAAAATGGTTGGATAATACATTATAAATGATCCGACAGTGAATTAAACTGATCAATAAAACTATACAGACCATATATAGCAACATTGATCGAAATGTGAATTAGAAACAAAACTTTCTAATTAAAAGGTAAACAACTTACAATGTTGGTATTTAGCAGCGTCACCCCGTATTAGTATATAGTTAAAACTATACTTACTAAACTATGGTGTCGGAGACAACATTCGCATGACGTCTAATTAATGCTATTCTGATGTATTCACTAGGGTTAATGACTCATTGGACAGGAGTTTAAGTATTCTATATCAATAAGCCATCATTTATATTCATCACAAATTAGTAACTAATACATAATGAGATATATAGACGCCCAAAGTTGTTTATTAATCACGAACCATTATATACAGATATATGGAGTAAAAAATCCCGACTATTGCGATACTTAATAAATCTGTAGAAGAAAAAAGCCACAATAACTAACTAAGAAAGACTTGACATACATGATACTGATCACCACCCAGTGATCTATCAATTGTGATTACATCTCAGTCCTACAGAGGGGTGGGTGCGGCCCAGATAGCTCAATGGTAACGTCTCTGACTGTGAAGCTGGGTGACACGGGGCCGAATCCGTCAGGGAGCACCAGTCCTCAAGATTACAGGTGCACCTTGCTGACGAGTGCCAAGTAGCACGAAATTCGGGCCCAGGGTTTCCTGTTGACTACCTCCAACCACCATCTTATCTCAACATAGTGTACGTAATGTCGAGTCACCTTGACTAGTGGCCACATCTCAACTTGGTCGATAGCATTCGATCTGCACTAAGAAGGACTTGACACACATGACATTGATTACCACCTAATGATCGATGAATTGTAACTAACTGGTTGGATAAGACAATAAACTGTGGAATTAAACATGATTTATTTCAAGTAGCACCTATATATCACACTTATGAGCATATATGAACAGAAAACTTAAGTTTAAAGCTGTCACTAATCTACCATGTATATTAATATGTACACACACACATACACATTCACACTATGGTCAACTCATGTGAAAACGATAAATTCAGAGTGAAAGGTTTGACAAAATCAAAAAAAAACAATACAGTTAAGCAATAGATCCAGAAAAGTAATCAGCAATAAACGAGACCGATACATACTATTAATCTTATTCAAGTAAAAAAAATATTTTTTAAAACGGGTGCAGCCGTCCAACTAGATCCAACTGTTTGACCATTAACTACAAGAAAATTTGGCAATGGAACACGTATGATGCGCATATGAAGATTCATTAATTGATTAGGAAGATTAATAGTAGGTTCATTAGAAGATTGAGCATTCGATTCAGACTTTGTACAGTTAACATTGCTACCACCACTACTACTTAGTTCGTTGTCAGTAGTAGTGGCAGTAGTAGTAGTAGTCGACGCCGTAGATGTACGAAGGTATGAAAACTTCTCTATCATATCAAATAGATATTGATTGTCTAAAATTGACAATGCATTTAGACATGCATGTAATACGAAGCCTTCAATTAAAATTTCTTCAACAAACGGGTGAGGTATAGTAATGATGTCTTTCCGAGTTGGTCCAACACCCTGAAATTAAAATTGTAGAGGGGAAAAGCAAAATGTAAAACATTGGATGGATGGAATTTTATTCAATATTAATATAAATGTTATCCAACAGCCAATTTCAGGATAGAGAGAAAACACGTAGTTTAGATAAATACTTTTGTCAATTATATGTTCCTTTGGGCCGTAACTATTTGATTGATCACGGATTATACGATTGATTGAACACTGTTTTTAGTCATAAACAGGGTCATCTAAACGGACTAATTTAACGATTATGGAAAAATCAAACGGTTCACTTCTGATTGGAAGAGACAATGGTTTTTATTCAGAATTACGAGCGTTCCACAACGAATCTATCTAGTTTTTACACAACACAACTACACACCGAAAACTGACTGCTTGATGAAGTGTTCATTTTTCAACTTCAACAAAACATCTGTTCTATAACAAATAGTTAAAAGTTGTGTTAACTTTGTTTCTGCTACCGTAATTAAAAACCAAATGTGACGGACAGGCTTTTATGTTAAGATGATCTATTCGAGTTACATTGACTGTAGCAATTCTTCCTTTAGGATCGTACAACTCCAATCAGGTAGGCCGCAGAACAGTAAGACCAAAATATAACAGATCTTAAGCATGAAAGCGTAGTCATACTATTGACTGTACTTCAAAGAGCAAAAGCAGTACAATTTTTCCAAAAAACAACCAACATCTGAAGAAAAGCTACCTTCTCCTAAGGGAAGTAGGGTCAGAAAAGGTCAGACTTAAAAGTAACACACCTAACCTTGCCCCATGGTTTCCGGTCCTGAGTCAACACATTTTAAACTACTGAAAAAAAAACAACGAGTGTAAAGAGCTTTAAGCAGTTTTCGATTGACACTGGAGCCATATTTACGGATCCGTAAGACCATTCCAAACCCAGTTTCGCCTTTAGGTACTCCAGGATGTAGGCATTCAGTGTGGACGAGCGGAAATTGACAACCACCAACAGATCTTAAAACAAACTTGGTTCTACTTTAATGATGTATGATTGAGTCTGTTGGTCAATGGTTCTATTTTTTGTATCTGTCCAGTCTGTAGTGACATGTGTAAAGCCTAAGAAGATTGTCTCGATACTGCCATTTCTGGTCACAAACAAAAATCCTCTACAAATAGAATCCATACCAGTTAGACTCAATAGTTCAAATGATAACACGTCAGTGTTCGAAGTAAAAAAGTACTAGGTTTAAGTTTCAATGTGAACATAAACATACTGAGATATAAACACAATCCAGCTGATGGATTCTAGATAACAGGAAATACGTATACCTGAACACCGATTACCACGAAGTGCAATGCTCACTAGTGTTTGGAATGGTTGGAAGATAGTTAGGAGCGGCCAAACCAAAACATGGTATCAGTGCTTGAAGTCACTAACTTCTAGTCTGAGCCATGTAGGTAAATGCACAAAAATTGGTTGAGGACCGCGTGACTATCGAAACCAATGGTTGGAGACTCTGGGTGACATGGCTCAGAATCAACCACAATGGCGTAGGTGTATACACTCTCTGTCTTCCCTTAAACTGTGAGATTAAAATTGCTTTATATCTTTCTATTAACTAATTCTTTCTTCTACACATTACTACCATCGATGTGACTACTCCTATGAATTCGGTGTTCATCTTGTTGTACTAATGAGGTATGGCAACTTGGACCGATGCATATATGTGCTTGGCCCTATGTTGTAGCTGACTGACTGGATTAAATGTATATTGAATTCCAGTGTTAGCTACCACAATCCAACTTTAATCATCGTTTGTATTATTAATTATTCCTTTATCTTAAAAAAAACTAACTTTTCCAACATTATACAATCGTACAGCAAATGGGGTACCATATGGATCGATTAAAAGTAAATTTAATGCTAAATCGGAATCATTAGGTAATTCAGCAAATACACGTCCAATGCATACAGTGTTCTTGTTGAATCCTACCTAAAGAAGCAAAACGAAACAAGCAAGTGGTTCTTTTTAATAAAAATTAATCTAAATAAAATAAACAAAATATTGAACGTATTTAAATTATACGAATGATGTTATCAATTGAAATGATTGTGATATGTATTGTTTATGCACAATCACCATCTCAATGCGCGATGATGACTGGTAAAGGAATATTCTGGAGGAAAGTTAAAAGCAGGCCAAATCAAAACGTGGCAACAATTCATAAAGAAAGTCACTAGTGAAATGATTCATGTAGGTCAGTACAGACTATTTGGTTGCGATCCACGTGATGATGATAACCAATGATTAAAGAATTCAAGTGACATAACTAGAAATCATTTGTAATGGTGCAGAAGGCGCATTTATTCTTTGTTTTTCTTTTAACCCTAAATTTTTAAATAACCTTGTGCAAAAATCCTTTCTTAATCTATCAATTCATATTTTATTCTCTAATCGTATCTTTGATGCCTAATCTTCTCAATTACCTACACTACTCTTGGATTCGCTTTGACAATTTCATCTTGCTATGCTAATGAGGTGTCACAACTTGAACCGGTGCATACATGTATCAGGTTCTACATTTGGTATGACTGAGTGACATGAATAATGAGTTTATCACGAATTGGTTTCATATTGTATAAAGACAAACTACGGAGATGTATACATCTTAGTGCTGATGCTGAGCCAAAAAGAAATATATTTTTTAGAGACATAACATAAAATATAGCAAATCACTATTTTGTTATTATTTCATATAACCGAATTGCAAGTGTTCAAATACTCAGCTTTGAAATCACATATTCATGGATCACAATAACAAAATATTAGCCACTTTGTTATTGATTTATGTCTAAAACACAGTAATGGGTTATTTGCTAAGAGTCCTAATATTTTTTGCAATTTGTTCAGTTCAGCCTACTTACTTACGCCTGTTACTCCTAATGGAGCATAGGCCGCCTTCTTTTCTAGTTCCATCCAATTCTCAATCATTTTTCTCATGTCTATCTCCATTTCTCGGCGTAATGTGTTCTTTGGTCTTCCTCTCCTCCTTTCACCTTGAAGGTTCCAAGTAAGAGCTTGCCTTGTGACGCAGTTGGGTGCTTTCCTCAATGTGTGTCCTATCCACTTCCAGAGCTTCTTCCTGATTTCTTCCTCCACTGGGATCTGGTTTTTTCTTTTCCATAGTTGGTTGTTGCTAATAGTGTCCGGCCAACGGATCCGAAGTATTTTGCGTAGATAACAATTAGTAAACAACTGTATCTTCTGGATGATGGCTTTCGTAGTTCTCCAGGTTTCCGACCCATACAGTAGAACTGTCTTGATATTTGTTCATTCAGCCTACGGTAACTGTTAATTATCAAATTTCGAGATACGAACAGGGTCTACTGAAAACTAAGTGCTACAGCATTTGACACAAATATCTAACAAACAAATAAAATTATATATAATTCTTGAACTCATTTTTTCCGACATCTTGTTGGTCTTAAGTTTTGTTAAAAATCAGGAAGGTAATGACTTTTATTGATTTTCTGGCTTTTACTATGCTATCTCATATAACATTATAAATTTTATGATGAGATTATAATTTGTAGACGACCCGTAAGCCGACACACAACCACATATTAGGGTCGGAAGAGGGTTATAAATTATTACGACAAATTAGGATTAAGATTTAGAGTTAGAAGTTACGGGTTAAGAATTAGCATGAGGGTTTTCAATTTTTAATTGGGATCATGAACCGATCAATGTTAGAGCACCCTTGAAAATCTGGAAGTAATAGACGGCCGTTTCGTCCTAGTATGGAACTGCTGAGGAGTCCCATACCAAGATGGAACAAACTGTAAACTTTGACCCTAACCCACTTTTCGGTTAATACGTAACAAATTATCCACTTATACCACCTTCACTCTGATTAGCTAAAAACAGATGACACTTTCCAATATCACCACAAGAGTCCTCCTTAGGGTTATCACAATAAAGTATTCTTTCACCAAAAATGTTTTACATTAACAAAACAAATTAAAAATAATAACGATAAGTTGAATAATTACTTGTAAATTATTGAATGGAGCAAACTGTAAACAATGTGAATTAGCCAATGAATTTGACCGACTGTCATTAGTCCTTGATGAATCGGTTGAAGTGTCGTTATTATAATTGTTTTTACTACTATATTTAGAAGCTTTCAAGTGTTTTTTCTTTTTACTACCACTGTTACTCCATTTTGTTTGGAAATTTGATCCAGATTTATTTTTATCATTGCCAGAAAATGGACAATAAGGTCCCAGTAGACGATTTAATGCTGATATCTCTTTGGGATTCAATGATGATACGTTTTGACTTATATCTGATTGGTCGAGGACAACACTATTACTGTTATTATTATCATTATTATTATTACTGCTAGACGAATCCGTATTCGTTGTATTGCTACTTTCAAGCACAGTTGTCACCATCAATTTCTTTAACGGACTAAGAGGTGAAATAAACTCATCTTCATTATTCATTTGTTGGTGTTGTTTATCAACTGATGATTTGTGAGTAATGGAACTTGTCTTTAATGTGCTAGATGATAATTCTGTTTGATCTGATTTGATTTCTGTAGAGTGAACATGAATTGATTGTTTTTTGTGGAATTGTTCCATTAATTTATGCCACTCCATAACAAATTTAATAATACGTTTAATACCATATTGTGGAGCAGGCCAGCCTGGATCTAAACAAACAGCCTGTAGCCAACATTTCAATGTTTGTCCAAATAAATCCTATGAAATGTGGAATAAAGAAAGCGAGGATTGAAACGGAGAACATAACATACCAATTAAATGAATATTTTAGTGAAAATTTTCTATATAAGTTGTATTCATCTCAGATTGATTTTAGTTGGCATACAAGTCATTTGATTGTTGATGTTAGCCGCATCGGTAGATATAGACCGATTAGTTGGGGTCCGAAATATAACCGCGAACAGTGGTTAAAGAACTTGAGTGTTAGAACTCAGAATTAACCATAATGGTGAAGGTGGATTTATCCTTCATCTTACTTTTGATTTTCAGGAATTCCTTACCAATCCATCATTTCCAACCATATTACTCTTAAAAATGCTTTAGTTCGTATAAAGAATAAGATTCCCTTTATACTAACACAAAATTGTGTCTACACTTAACGATGTGTCGATTGTGATCCCTTCTGTATTGAAGAGTCATCATATGAAATCTTGACCCGAGCGAAAGAACATCTGAGATATACAAAAAAAACGACATAATAATCCTATAGAAATTAAACAACCCAAAATGAGATCGGTAGTAGCAGTGAATGCTATTTTCAATAACTATCAAGTTGATATTAAAAATATCAAAATAATACAAAAAAGCTTTTCCAACTACAAATGAAGGCGAATAGCTGAAGCTTTTCATATACTGCTGAATCCCAATACCCTCAAGAAAAAAGAAGGCCTTAATATCCATCCGACTTAGACGATCTATCCGAGCTACCATGTCTGATTCTATTAACATCTTACATTTATTATACGTACAAATTCAATTCTATCCTTTCACGCGACAAATGTTACATTTTTAGTTAATCAACACACACTAATACACAAGCATATCTCTCATAAGTCACATAGATCAGAGTGACAGGACGTTGACTTGGTCAAACCTGTTTTGTAATCGTATTAATTATTCTTGTTTTGTTCCTTTGCACTGTGGTGCGTGCTACTTATAAGTGGTATACGGCGCAAGTCAGGAATGTAATGTCTGGCGGTAGAAGATGAAGAAGATCAAGAAAGGAAGAGCGGGAATAGAAAGCAATTAGTATGGAAATGCAATAACAATCAAGTTCGAGACAATTATTGAACATTTTACAAACTAAGTATTACAGTATGGTTTTTCTATTTTACCAAGTAACTGTAATTTTGTGCTAAATATAATTCGGTTGTCCTCACCTGTGTTCTCCTTCACTACAGCACTACTTTGTTACGTTCTATACTTGATTAACACAGAATATAATATACAACTAACGACACTTTAACGTATACAACCTCTTACAGTCTCAAATCGGAAGACAGAAGAAAGCAGAAGTGGTTGTTGGGTAAGAATCAAAAATGTACAGAAAAACATAGGTATTTATAGATATTAGCGTCAGCTATAACATCATTATAATCCAGCCACTCCGCAAGAAGACAAATTCTACTACCGTCCAATCGTAGCATGCCACGCTGATATTCTAGGAATTTTATTTATTCTATTTATTGGAACACATAAATACTGGCACAAGGGGGAACCAGTTACATATGCGCCACACAGATCTCATTTGATATGTGCGAGGGCTATGATACTGCCCGGATGCCCAAACCGAAGCAGGTGGTTTCCTTAGGGGGCCACACCCGGAGCCTTCGACCTAAAGGTCTGATCCACAAGGCAGTGGACCAACGTAAGGAGATGCAGTCACATGATAGCCGATGACCAACGGTTGGTTCATACGCCATTTGTTCCTTTACGATCCTGGAGCCCATGTGCACCATTGGTTTGGAATCAGGGTTTTCCAACCCCCCCCCCTAGGTGGACTCTCCATGTCCACCAACCCGGTTAAAGCGTCGAACATTCGCTTTTCGTCCTCTCAATTCCGTAAACAACAGTAATGCCACGAGAATGCAGTGAGTAGGACTTCCCTGGAAGAGGCTATATACGCGTGGCCGTGTGGGAGCATTTCGAGAGGGAGAGCGGACTCTCCCCACTCTCGGCCGTACCAGGGCATTTGGGGGCATATTCATCAGGTTCTGATTAGGTGGAAACCCTTCGGCTCCTTTAAAGCCTCTGAAGGCTTCGTCGTGCTTCTCGAAAACCGTCCCAACATACTTAAACTTGGGTTAATTTAATTCGTTCATTGATTCTCTATAGAAGTGGCTTACACTAAATCACGAAACGTAAGAAAATTTAATTTTCCTACCTATTGGAGTATTACAAATACATTATATTATATTTTAAGATACTTCACTTTGTAGAGTATGCTACTATCAGTGTGATTTAAATGTAAAGCTTCCAGCTAAAAATCAAAGTGGATTCCGGCATTTTTAAAAGGTAATTTGAACTAATCCACCTAATCTCTAAATATGAAGGTTACCTTTAATATTTTTTTATTTTCCTATTAGAAAATAATCACATTTAAGTTTTGGAATAACGCCAAAAACCAACTGTGGTTTACATTTATTATTCACACCCGCATATATAGTATAAAAACAATTTTCCATCCATTTCCTCCCCTACTACCAATCATGTACACCTTAAACCTGTTATCCAATAGTATTGATACTTTCAAAATGATGTAATTAGTTACTATTGTTGTTTAAAGATGGATACAAAAGCCAATAATCTATCTAATGATTAGCTTTTGCAATAACAATAAGCTCTAGCAATCACATTGTTATTAGTTTGGATCCAATTTCAAATGTGGTAACAACCAGAGATAATTTATTTCTCAACATACTACATCTTTACATAAATAGAGACAAAAAAAATGTGCATCTGAACATAATGAGGATACATTTCTATTACACTTAAGCCAATCAATATTTATAGTCGTGTTATCAAAATTAACCGTTAGGGATAAAGGAGAAAAACCATAATAGTTTTAATATCGGCCTGTGTTCCGTATTTACTTTAGTCATCTAACAGTAGAATTGAATGTAACTTTTAACGGCACTCTACGTAATCGCATACAGGGAGTTAGAGTTGTGCTCTATTGCATGAAGACTAGTAATAATAATATTGTATGTATGTTTTAACGTCGGCAGATAAATCGAGAGCTGAATTCGTGATTCACTAGTATTATGTTCAACAGTCCAAAACATACACACATATACAAACATATATTGTGATTACCCAAACAACCCAGTAATAAACAAATACATGGTAAGACAACGCATCCTAAACCAATTTCAATTAAAACATATGCATAACTCGACAGAAAAAAATCTCATATCGTCTGATAGAAAAAAGAAAACAAGGAAAAAAACAACAGAACTATTTGCCCTTACCTGATAATGCCAAGCTAAACCACGATTATAATGAAAGTTCGGCTCTAATGCAATTGAACGATCTTTGACAGCTTGTGCGTATGCAGCAATACATCGTGTCATAATAAGTTGTGGTGATGATGAGATCAGTGTAGATTTATTGATTGATGAATTTTTGTCATATGATGAAACAGTGGTTGGTGTAATAGTTGAACTAAAACTTTTAAAAAATAAAGTTAGTAATGCATTGCCTAGTATAGACCATGCATAACCATTTGTAGGCTGTTGACTAACTGCTTGATGAGCTAAATCAACAGATTGATGAAAAATGGAGCATTTCATCGGTGTATCTGACGATGATGGTGAGGAGGAGAGAGATTTAGTTTTATCAGATTCATATGATGATATATCATCAATATTTTCACTAATATTAGTAGTAGTATTAGGTGGTTGACGTAATACCATTGACAAATTACAAAGTGCCTTTACATATTTTGGCTAGAGATAGCAAAAATAAAAATTATTTAAACAATTTATTGACTGAACCGAGATAAAAATCGTTTAAACTAGTATTCAAGTACTTTTAATGTAACTCTTGTGACTCGAAATGTTATGATCATATTGAAAATCATTAACACCCAAAGCAACCATTGAAAAACTCAGTGAATGATACAACCTCAATGATAAAAGGTGCAGTTAGAAAACATCGGTCATGAAACTATCATTAACAATTACTAATCTACTGTGACAAAAGCATGGTAATAATAAATTATTTTATGGCTTACAACATGAACTAAACTTAGACAGCTATTGAAAACCAGGAATTACCGGTTGGATATCTCGTCCTAGTTGATACACTCTCTTCAAAAGTAACCACGAACATACCAGTGAGAATCGAAGTCTGGACCTTGATGTCTCAAGGAGATCGCTTAATCTGAAAAAAAATGAGGCGTCCGGTGGTTTGTTTACTCGCGTAACTCCAGTCGACTCACGATAATGCTCATCTCCCAGTCCAATTAATGGGTGACTAATTACCTTACATTCTATATAAGTGAATTCTTCTGTCCACGGCCTCTCACTACAATTATGAGAATTATGTCTTGAAATCAGTCATTATTGGGCAGCATAATTAGTGCAAGTGGATTGTGGAGATTGTTGAGTTTTATAGCTTAGATCAAACTGTATACTAACAAGTTAATTGTCCTGTACATACTAAAAAAAATAGGCAGTACTACATAAGTTTCAATGAGAAATCAAAGTATATTAAAACAACTTAACGAACAGTAAATAAAACATACATTTATTTTTAATGCTTGTCGAAAATGATCTGCAGCTTGGCAAGGATCACCTTGTCGCCAACATGAGTCACCTAATTCACACCATGCTTCTAAATGTTGTGGATTAAATTTTAACGCTTTAGTTAACCACTGAACTGCTGGACTTGTGAAATCATTGACAGTATCATTATCATCATCACCAGTCATATCATGAAGACTACTGTTACCAGCATACAAATCTGAATCAATCGCATTGAAAGCCTAAGTACACAAATGTGTTTTGATTAAAAAAGAAAATGTTGAAAAAAAACAGAACTAGAGATTAGGTGACATAAAATCAATGTTGTTCACGTGTTACTCATGAGCTGGATACTATAAAGTGACATAACAAAACTTTCACCTAGCACATTTACATCCTAATTGACTGGAGAATGAACGACCTGCAAAATCAGCATTATCCAACCCTTTATGACCTCTAATCACATGATTTTTAGTACTTATTATTTTTTGTGTAAGTATATTATTTCAATAAGGAAAAAATTCATTCTACTAAGTAGTAGTCTTGTCCTCAACATCAGTTCATTTGCGATTATGAGTTAATTATCCGGTTGTAAAAGTAGTTACTACTTCCTGAATTAGTATCATTACGTTCATCTGTCGATTAGCGTTCTAATCATTCTAATAATCTAAAACTATTTCAATGTTCAATATTAAGCCTACCATTAACAAGAATCAAAATCAACTGTAACTTTGTGTTTTAAATTATGACGCTACTATTACTAGGTTGTAAGCAGAGATGGATGGTGGCCAACAAATGAAATCTATGACTAACATTTCCTCTTATTTGGAACTCGTCAGCTGGATGTACCTGTACCCCAGAGTTGATGTTCACTCTCGAATTCAAAGCCAATATCGTTCGCTTCCAATGCCATCGAGTTACCTACTTAGCTACTGAGTTCAGATAGCCACTGGCTTATGCAATGAAGTGAAGTTTAGTTCATTTATATTGGTTGTTCGAATCTTCGGATCGATGTTTAGAACTGCAACTGATCAGTCAAGGCAATCCGCACAAGTTGCATACATACCAAAAAGAGACCAATCAACTGGAGTCCTAAACATCAGTGGGAAGACTCAAACTACCAATACAAATGAACTATTACTAAGTTGTTACTAAGTTGACAAATAATATAAGGATTTGAATTTGTGTAATTGTGCTAGGAAATAAAACATTTAGAGTATTCTTTAACTGCAATATTACTATAGAACTGAGTTAATAAATAAATATTGAATAATTAAAAATCATATGAATAAAAAATATGGTCAAAAAAGCATGGACATTTCACTGGTTCCAATAGATCTGCTTTCCGAAATCTCTGATAGTCAAGTAGAAAACTGTTAGTCCACATAAAATAAAGTATGGTTTATGGTCAGTCAGTTATATGAAAGTGTATTTAACTGATAAACTTTAATGGACGTACGAAAGTTTTCATTGACTATTTTAATCGGTGTGAAACCTGAGAAGAAAGTAATTGTTGTCACAACCTACATATTAACAAAATAAAGTAGGAAATTAGGAATCAACTAACCACAGCCTATCTTGACGGGCGATCCCATCAGGAAGGAAGCTAGGAGTAAGCCAAGTCAAGACGTTGCATCAGTCCATAAAGAAATTGATTGTTGGAGTGAGACATGTAGATAGATGCAAACTACCTGGTTAGGATGCGTACGATTACCATGACCCTTAGTCATATACTTTAGATGACAAGACCCAGAATTGTTCGTATTGGCGCAACAGGTGAAGCAAAGATTGTCAGGTTGGACTTAATTCATAATATATACTGTCAGTTGAGGTTGTAAATATTCATGGATTAAGGTAGATAAACTGTGTATTACGTATCATCAACTGCCGTAAAAACACCTCAACGACCGATGTTGGTAGGAGTAGAGAAGTATTAATTCTAAAGAAGACTAGGAACGGCCACAGCAAAACGTGGCAACAGTCCATGAAGTGATTGACTGTTATTCTGCGCACTGTCGATAGGTCCAGACTGGCAATATTTGAAGTCGTTGGAGAAAATGTCTTAGAATCAGTTAAAATAGCATATATCCATTCATTTTCTGTCTTCTCTTAGATTTTTGAGTTTGAAAATCACTTTATAAGTGTCATTCCATGGATTCATTCTTTGTGAACTATATATATCCAATTGTTTTTACTATCACTGATACTATGCCTACTTCTAACAATTTGGTAATATCTCGATATTATCACCTCTTATTGTGCTGAAATGCTATGATAACTTGGATTGATGAACATGTCCTAGGTTCTATGTTGCTGATAATTGACTGACTGACTATCTTCCATTCCAGTAGTCTCTAAAGCAAAAGGTCTTCAGATCCAGTGATTAAGAACTCCCATTACTGTGATCACTGATTAAAACTACCTGTTAAATGAATTAGTCCCTTGTATAAATTTCGATAGAACAATGAGATCAGATTAACTCCGTCTTCTTACTGTTCTATCAAAACTACCTATTAGTAAGAAAACTTAACATTCGAATTTCTCAGCTTAATAAAAAATAGCTATAGCATTTTAATCAGAACAATCAGTTCTGTATACGATTAATATACACACTAACAATTAAATGTTCCTAGCCCGCTTACAGTAACGAAAATCGAACTAATTAATCCAATGAACGTTAATGTGTGACTGTATAATTCAAGAAACAACTGCTTGAAGGTAGCCGCGGGATGTTTTTGGTGTTAGCTCCGCACTTCAGAAGGCATTATCACCGGGAGTGACGGAAATCTGTAAGGTAGAGTGAGTTCTGACATTCTTAGGGTCGACCTTCTCCAATCTCTTCTTTCCGTTGTCAAAAGGCACCATCGTTGCAGATGCCGCTTTCCCAAGAAAAGTATCTTACCGATGTCATACCCCTCTACAATCAGCAGTATAACTTCGCTATCGGACCTCAAGTTGCTGCTTCTAGTCTAACCATCCTCTAACCAACCTACCTGGCACGGTGGGACCTAGATGAACATTTGTTCTAGACAATATAACTCAATCGAGTCATCAAGAAAAGCGAGCTCAACTTTTACATCGAGATAACAGCTACGGTTGAGTAGTACCTGGTATATGCGTATTCTGAACATATCGTCTCGATACTGCCATGTACCACTAAGTTTTTACTAAAATTGGATAGTTAATACTAGTAGAATCGATCATCCGATCAACGACGTTAAAACAGAAATCGTCACAAATGAACCTCATTAGTTGCACAAGCTAGTAGCTATATGCATTTAGTATCTCAGTGGATAATGACTGGGCACTTAAAAAGAAAGGCACTTGTTTATAGTCTCAGTGTGAACACCAACAACACTAGGACATATGTATATCCAGGTGTGACGAATTTCAAACGGGATAAAACACATTTCCTGGATTTTGACGATAGCTACTATCTGACTTGAGTTAAAGTAACCCCAATTTTAATGTAATTTGAGTAATGGTTAACGTGAGAATCTAACGTATCTGTTCAATCCCACATGAAATTAACCAGTTAAATGGATTTTAGTCTCAGTGTTCATACTCACAATACGACTTCAATGCTAGTAGTTTCCAACACTAGAATATTGTATATATATAGAATAATTAACCTGACAATTCTATAAATTTATTGCAGATAGATCCAAGAATGTTCGACACAATCCTAGGAATATCAGTATGTTGTTTTATGATATAATCAATACGTTTTTGACGGTATTGCCTTTTCTTTGCCTTTTTTCTTGAACTCAACGTGTGCAATCATATTTCATTGATCCTATCATGTTTCAGAGAATAGATTATTTGTGGTTAGCAGTGGAATTGGGGAAGCGTGTTTTATCTTATTTGAGAATCATCATAGCTGAATGTACCAGCCATATCCCAGTGTCAATATTTACATTGAGACTCAAACCCAACATCTTCCAATTCAAACGCCTAACGCGTTATCCATTGAGCTAGTGAAACAAAATAGCAGCCAAATTGTTCAATGGGTATGATGTTTATGTCATTATTACTAAGATAAGCAAAGATGGATAGTGGCTAGCAGTGGAATCCAGGACGCGCGTTTCGTCCTGTTTGGGACTCGTCAGCTGGATGTACCTGCATCTCAGAGTTGATGTTCACTCTGGAACTCGAACTCAGTACCGTTCGCTTCAAACGCCATCGCGTTATCCACTTAGCTACTGAGTCCTGATAGCCACTTGCTTGCACATATGCCAATAACGGACTGATCAATTTCAGTCCAAAAACATCAATGGGAAGATTCAAACAAAACAATATCAAGTGAATTAAACTTCAACCCATTGCACAAGCAAGTGGCTATCAGGACTCAGTAGCTAAGTGGATAACGCGATGGCGTTTGAAGCGAACGGTACTGAGTTCGAGTCCCAGAGTGAACATCAACTCTGAGATGCAGGTACATCCAGCTGACGAGTCCCAAACAGGACGAAACGCGCGTCCTGGATTCCACTGCTAGCCACTATCCATCTTTGCTTATAATGCTTGTAAATTAAGGCAATATCGAGGCATACGCACAGTATGCACATATGCCAATAACAGACTGATCAATTTCAGTCCAAAAACATCAATGGGAAGATTCAAACAAAACAATATCAAGTGAATTATTACTAAGAGTTCAAATTAACCCGTTGTCGATATTCAGGACTGGATTTTGACCAGTCTTTGTGGTCACATATGTATCATCTGTGATTTGCTTCGATATAACGATTTAATCCGTTTTATAGCTTGTCATCACTGAAAGAACATTATCACATCATTTAGGACAAAAACTCACTTTACCATACTGATAACAGAATTCCGCCTTGTCTAGTACAGGTGCATACATAAAAACTGACTCATATTCTTTGAATATGGATATTGTGTCTTCAAATTTTGATTGTGTTATCTCATTCTTGTTTTTATTCAATTCACAAGACTCCATAATCATTGAATGAATATTATCAGGTTTCATCCAAACTTCGCTTGCTGAATCGTCTAATATACCAAATTTATCAGCCCATTCATTTAAAAATTTATTTTTTAACTCATATAAACCATCAACACTACATTTAATTTTGTTCAAAATACTTTCATCCCACTGAAGATGATTTTGTTGTACCTTTGGTAGTGCTTCAAGTTGTATCATAGAAATCTAACAACAAGTAGACAAAAAAAGGCTAAACTGAACAAACTGAAAAATATTAAGGACACTGAACAAATGATCGCCATCTTATAAGTTATGCTATTTTCGTAACTAAAATCATTATGTTAAAAAGAAAAAAAATATAAAATTGTCACGATAGATTTTAAAAGTGTAATATTCATACCAAAAGATCTACACAAATTATTGGCCAAAACTATAATTTAGCGACAAGATTTCAACGATTATCAAAAATCCTGTGTATGCATTACACAATTAAACAGAACCATGTATTAGTTGAACACCTAACCAAAAATGGCTGAAGCCGATCTCAGGAAACTGTAATCTGAGGGTGATTTTTGTCCATAAAATGAATCCTTAGATTGAGAATGGAACATTAGCAACCCACAACTTTTAATTAATCACAACTACTAAAGTTCAAATAGTAATATAATAATTAAACAGCACCATGTTTTTAAAAAATTCACACCCGACATGAAAAATTTAATAAAGAAAGAAAGAATTATATTTAATCGATTTTTTATTTCAACAAAATAGAATCAGGCATAAACAAATTAATAAATTAATGGAAATAAAGATTATTTACGAATTACCGAACCGTTTAATATTTTCAGCTATCTGGGTTGACCATAATTTAACAATATCTCTTCGTTTACTTTTAAGACCATTAAATTCTTTTTCTATTGTATGAAAAGTTAATCCAGCTTGTGTTAATAAAGTTTCATTGGGTAAATGTTTGTGTTTAGTAGGTGTTGTCTTAATATATTCTTCGTACAAAAATGCAGTTTCTAATGAATTTTGTAGAATATTTACAGAAGAACGTACAATTATTTCCATATTATCAAGTTTATGCGTAAGTATAGACCATTTTGAACGTAGCTCTAATAATAATTCATCATTTTGCTCGTCTGAATTCATGTAAGATAATTGTAATTCACCATATTGAATAGCTATTTGCTCTAAATTAACTAGAAGTGTATGAAATTCTTTAAGAAGTTGATTTATAAAACTGATTGTAGAGTCTATTTGTAATTGTAATGAAGATAATAAGGGATATTCAATATATTGATAATTCGTCATTATAGTTTCAGTAGAAATATGAGATAGTTTTATCGGATACATAAAGCAACAGGTTGTTGCGCTGAGTGTCCCATATTTTCGTGTTATGCGATAAAGCAATGGACGGAGAAAAAACGTGAAGAATTTACGTCCCAACATGGTATTTCTGAAAGCTAGGTTGAAAAACACAAAAGATAAAGAAATCGGTGATATCTTTAAGGAAGTATCACGATTTGAATATGACTATACAAATGCTTCACATGTCCAAACAGTCAGATGAAATAAGATATTACAATTTCATGTACACCTGCACAAAATTAATGCAGATTACAGACAATAAACGATGCCGACAACAAGTAACACAGTATAGGCCTGTATCTGTTGACAATCACTGTAACTACCCCACCCAATCTTGGGGGTAAGCTATAGCGAACATTCCGGAAGTTGTCATCCTTGCGAAGCTGTGAACATGGAAGTTTCTTAGATCAATTTAAGTGTAGTGAAACCGACGGATTTCTGTTAGTTAAGTACCGTCATGGTACGAAACTAATAAAATCGCAGGAGTCAAGTGTTGTGGCCAAAGTTCTGCTTTACCTCTACCGAAAATGGTCCCAGTGAACTGAGCAGATTTGAGAACGAACAGTTTACACCCGAAGTTGTTTCCACAATACTGCTCATATCTAGAGGTGACTAATCAATGCTGAGGTTTGGAGAATTTTTGGCCAAAGTTGAAGTTAGCGTCTAGTCAGATGCTTTAGAGAATCCAATTCTTAGGCTTAAGAGAAATTGCATATTCATTTCAGACTAGTTTCTTGTCCAGTACTACCAAAAGATGCTTAGAATCGATATTAAACTCAGAAACGTGGTCTGTTTTTGATAGTCTAGGAGTGAACAGTTTTGCTCAATGAACACGCATTGATATTTTATGAGTAAAGGCACATTATAAAAATAATCTAACTCACTGTCTTGAACCTTTATTAGAAGTGACAGGGGAAACATGTCGGTGGTGACTACATTGTAATTTCCAATTGTATTTAGGATATTTTCATGAAACGACTGCAATCTCACTTTGATAAGTTCGCATTACCAACATGGTGATTTAATAGTAAAGGCATTCACCTTCAAACTGAGAGACTGTGGTTTGGATTCCTCTATAACTGGGTAAGTTTAGAAATATCACCAAAGTAAAAGGCCTTAAATTCTACTCAATAAACACGTTCTGTAGACTCTTCTCGATTCTTTTGAACCACTCACTATTGGTTATTAGATGTTTACGTATTTCATAGGTTATTTATTAATCACAGCTAAAACTCGAACTATAGTTCAAAATTAATTACTGTCACACAAGCACACCGACACATTATTTATCACCAAAAAATTATAATCGGACTGTTTTTGCAGAGTTAATATTGAAGTTTTCCGTTAAATTTCCCTGTAACTGAGAACAATGAAATCTCATTTAATGCCATTTTGAAAGAGGCTGAGTGACACTTTGCGTAGGCAAGACCCCATAGATCATGGAAGCGAAGGTTCCAGAAAAGCCTAACACATCAAGGCACGTTCAGATAACGGCCTATTTCAAAAACATCAAAATCTCCAAAATGTTCCTAGTGGTCACTGTCACTAAGTTTCAAGTCGAAGTAACGTACCATTCGAAAAACGTCCACATTCAGAAACAAAAAACAAAACGCTAATTATTCACAAAAACAAAAGTAAAGTCATATTGCGTTGATCCATGTGTCTTCAACAGAATGATCTGAAATAATCATTAATCATACAATTTCTAGGCGAAATATCCTAAAAATGCCGTCTTTTCACAGGTTTTGCATTTATAAGAATTTGGGTGAGATTCTTATCTTGTGTTTTAACATTCTTCATAAATTGTGTTTTTTTCACTAGATATCAATCCGAAATTATTCGATTTATTTGCATTCTTAGTTCAACCCTCTGTAATTACTAACAAGAAACTTCCTTACTCCCAACAACACAGGTATTACAATATACATTTTTTCAATTCCTTGTGAGAACCGTGTATATATATGCTGAATAATAAGTGGTAGTCGCTAAAGAAATCCATACGGCATGTCACAGGAGCATTTTTGGCAATTCCTTGCAACAAGGTACAACTCGTTAAAATCTCCGTGAAAGTAGCAAAGCCACTTTATGTGAGCGATTTACCTGGTGATAGATCCTCTAAAATTTTACAATTATTTTAAAATGGACCCTTCTGTTACTCCTGTGCCTGTATTGAATGACAAGTTTATAAATATTCGAGTAGTGATGACTTATTTTCGGTAAGACTATAATTCGTGGACAACCTTTGAGTGAAGCTTAAGAGACCTGGAGAATTTCCACCCACATACTACGGCTAAATGAGGGTTACAAACCAGCGAGAGGACTTAGGATTATTGTTTACAGTTGGCAAGAATCAGATATAAGTTTTCACCGCGAAATGACATCAAATAAAATGCCAAGACACTATTTAATCGAATGAATGAATTTCGCGCCAAAGTTCAAGATCTGATGTTGTAAGTATAATGGGTTCGTCCATAAATTATAGTCTCGCCCTTGGTATCTACTCAATTTATTCACCCAGCATTATTCACACTACTCAATCACAAGACCACAAGAGAACAAACTTCCGAAGCGGATTACAAGTCTCTTGCTACTGCAGTAGTCAACTGGGATTTGAATGCAAACCTGAGGTCTGTTATCCCGTTCAACTTGAAGAGATACAACTCAATATTTTTGACAAAAAAAGAATCCGATAAAGAATCTCACAAATCTAAAGCTGTAAGCTGTTATAACCCAGTGAAGATTAAATTACAGGTAACTCCCGAGGACTACTAATGGACTAATATTCTATAAATATTCTTATTTTATAACTATTCAACAATTAGAACAACACATATAAGCGAACAATTGTTTTCAATTAGATCGTCATCAGGCTTTACTCTAATATACATGAATATTTCTACGAAAATTTTTTAAACCAATCAAGGCAATATGAGTCAATAATCACAATGAAATAGAATAAGTCACTACACATAAAATAGGTAAAAGTACAAGTTGATAGTACGAAGACAGGTGAACAGATAGTGGTAAGAATAATAAACTACAATAACAAAACTTATCAATAGTTAATCGTTGGAAATAGAAGGTCAAATAAACATGGGTAAATAGACTAAGAATAGTAATCACAAAACCTTAAAAATCATTACGTAATAAGATGTGTGTAAATAATTAGATAGTGAAGAATACAAAGAGGCGGATAATGCCAAACAAATAATGGATGTGGAAATAAGGTTAACAATAACACAGATAGAATAAAATAAATAATGATAATAATAAAATTTAAAATAAAAATAAAAAATTGTTAGTTAAGTTATAACTGGCCATGAAAGGGATAGGGGAGTCACATATTTCTGCTGTACACATAGATTGGGGTTATATGTACGAATTTTAATGGCTTCAGCTATATATAGGAGACGGGAACGGACTCCGTCGGGAAATGATGGAGGTATACGATAGATAACTCGAAATGATTTCGATTTCTCTACTGCATGACCGCTATCAATAAGATGTGCTAGTATAGAACTGCGAATAGTTTTTTTCTGACCCTTTATGTACCAAGTTGGTAGATGTTCACAATGGGAATCTTTAATATTCAACAATTACATTATGTATATTTATATTCCTCTTATTATAAGCTTTATTTTGACCTATATTTTATTATTGTACGATTTACGATTCTTAAGCCATGCTCAGTCTATTAATTACTGTCCCCCTCGTTCACAGCCACTTTTTGGCTTATTTGTGTACACATATTATTTTCTATTTTGTGGTACGTTGTGGTCTGTCTGATTGATATATAAACCGTGTATGTCTGAAATAAACGATCTGGTCTGATTCGATTCATATTACGGAAGCTGGTATTGTGTTCTGGACTCAAGTGGAAGGGCTCGGAGGACATAGGGCCAATAAGGACGCTAAACTGTTCACACTAGTTGAACGTCATTGGTTGGCCTAGTGTGAAGATTCGTATAAGTCGTATTCGGACTGGTAGATAAATCGTGTGATAGAAAAGTCAGACATACAAGGTCATAACATAAGCTATGGTTATACTGATGCAGATCAATCTGTGGCTGAACTTCCCTCTTTCAGTATGTTTATTCATTCTCTTCTCCTATGAAAGAAAGCTATATTTCAGCGGTAATCCAAGAGAAAATAAACAAGTTGTACGAGTGGACTGTTTCGTGGAATTCGCCACTTAATGTTGACAACAGTAGATTTATTCACATTGGCCGCTGTCTTAACTTAAATCTGACTATTTACAAACATAGACTCAAACCTCTCAACACTGTTCGTGACCTGGGTTTAAGATATAGCAACAGTCTGAACTTTTCTGAGCACATTATATCTCAAGTATCCAAAGCTAGAAAGCTGATCGGATTGATAATGATAAACTTTAATAATATCGAATCGAGATTGTTATTATACAGAAAATGTATCATACCCATTCTTGAGTATGGTATTTTAGTTTACAGTAATTGCAGACACAATGACCTGATTAAAATTGGAGGTGTTCAAGGAAAGTTCACCAAAGCTGTTCTGGGGTATTCTGATAACATAGACTATCACCAAAGATGTCAACAACTCAACTTAGAACCTCTTTGGATCAGACGTATCAAATTAAATATTGTTTTTATCTACCGGCTTGCTAACGGTATTTCCTACTCTTCGGTATCCACCCCTTCATACCTTATGATATCATCCCACAATCTACACAATAAGGAGAATATTCTAGCGATTATAAGAGCCCACACAAACTTACGTCAGAATTTTTTCCTTATTCGCAACTCAACCATGTGGTACAGACTGCCAGTGAACTTCCGTTGCAGTGAAACTACAACCCGGTTCAAAAGTATCCTTGATGGTTTTCTTTCCGAAAGTGGATTATGTTACCTATTGAATATCAATGTATTCAATAATGATTTATACAAACAAGGACCGTCATCCATTTAATTGCCTGAAAAGCAAAATAAAACCTTTAAATCTTTTCACGTCTATCTTGTTTTATTTCTCTTTATTTTAATATATGAAATCTGCATATGTTCATGTTTATCATTATTACCGTTATTAATATCATTATTACTTCCCCGCCACATTAGATATTCTTTTTATCTCTTCTTATCCTTTTAAACATACTTAACTCCAGAATTTACTGTGAAATCAATTTTGACTTTCATAGCATCATTCTTAATTATTATTGCACAAATATTTATACTAATATCCAGTTTCACTCTGTATACTATTACATAAATCTAAATGTATTCATCCAAGTGCATTGAAGGATTTTTATTTTATTTTTCTAAATTGTTGGTTTCCTTCTGAGGTTGATATTCACTACACAATTATTATTCTTATCATGGATGAAACTTTCCACTAAGTGTTCACTTCTTTTCTCTCTTCTTTCGCTCTAAATAAATATTCTTAAGATTACGAAGTTTGTAATTGAGACAATAACTTGTGTTACACTTAAATTAACTTCTCAGACTCGTTTTATCTTCACTATGCATATATGACTACTCATACATATTCATATTTCATTATCCTTTTCACTCAATTGAGACTTTCGTCGCATCACTCCAAACTATGACTGCACAAACACTTCTATTGTCATATCTTACTGCAATTATAAGTTATTTTTTCTTAATTGTTTTTTGTTACTAATTTGACGATACACATATGGTTGTTTATTCATGTTCTGTGTCCATAAACACGCCTATTAGACTGTTTGCGCATTTCACGTCTCCTTTATTTCTATTCCCCTATTTTCTCCGTTTCCTTCTTTAAACTCAATTCAATATTCTTCTCAATAACAAAGACCCGATTTATTACTACTAATATTCTACTATTATTATTCTAACTTTTTTTAAAATATGGCAAGTATAATGCTAACATTATTGAAAATTGTGTATGATTGCATTTTTTGAAGAAACAACACTTATGTACCTATAAGATGTTTGTGAATAATAATAATAATAACTCCATGGGATTCCTCCACAAGAAGGTCGCGTAGACCATTGTGCGTAAAACTAGATAATATCTAGCAAAAAATGGGTGATGATTTACTGTTGGAGATAAAACTTTTTCATCAGAATTAAAAAAGCAAAGGCATGTTTGGTTAGGCAGTCATTCAGGTAGTATGTCGGCTCGTATGTATGCAACTTAAAATCTTCAAACATAGTTCAAAAATTCTTCAAACTAATAGACAAGTCTGTGGACGTTAATTTGACTCGCCGTACAGACAAATAACATAACGTGCGAGATTGACTTAATGCAACCAGTTGAATAACCGATCAAGTTACGAAATTCCCAGGACAGGAAACTTCATCTCATCGCCAAAAACCAGGATACTTTGAGCAACATGAGAAATGTTGTGGTGCTTAAACTCAACCACATGATCGCTGAAGCCAAACATAAAATGATATAGAAGATTGACATTCAACATTTAAAACTTATATAAGGTTGGAAACGATGAACGCCGTAAGACTAATTCAGAATGACATGTCTCGGTCGTATATGTGTGGTCAGTCTCATAAAATTACTACTATTACTCATGAAGAGCCATTTGGCACACTATTGTCTTGAAGAAACCATTTTGGGTTTCTGAAAAGATACAAATATACGCAAGTTTCAGTGATAATATTCGCCATATTCGAACAAGTTCTGTAGTATATGGAAGAATATTAGATTGACTTTGAGGAAAAAAGCAAAGAAAATAAACCGAAATGTGTGAATAATTTGATAAGTATGTTTGTCAAACAGAATGAGACTGAACGGTGATATATGTCTACGAAATGAATTGTAAAATAAACTATTAGTGTGGTGGGATTTGATGGCATAATAGGAGTTTATACAGCAATACTTAGAACGATATGACATATGATATAAGTCTTCCTCATATTCATAATAAATAAATCATTCTTTTTCCTGGTTAAATAAGTTCTGCAGAAGTATTAAACGGAATATTGCTAAGTCTAAATAGGATGAACCAGTCTAGAAATTGATGCTACTTCACGTCAAATCATTTGAACATAGCATTTACATCGTCACACATCTAAATTCTGGAATAGGTTAATTATTCCAGTGGCACAGACAAACTTAGTTAATACTGACGTACAAAATCTCGTGATATCTTGGCGTAAAAATATCACGCACCCCAAAATAACCAGAATAGGTTTAATATAAGAACACCACACACAGGAGAGAACTTTAAATTTCATATGGCTAAAAATGCAATCAAACTTACATATGCACATAAAATAACCTCTATACAGAGCCATCAAAGCTCATTCAACATGAAACATAGTGGATTAATTAAAGGATAGCTACAACACCAGGTTTTTGAATCATATATTCACCTTCATCTTATCGTCTTCCTCATGGAACAGCTTTATTAAGTGCACTTATCAGAATATATAAGTTCTAGGACTACTATTCTTGTTATTATTACAGTTAGCATTATGGACCTCCATCGCTTCCGTCTACTTATTACTCGCAGTTTCTATTTATTTGCATCCTTTGTGTAAACTGCTAAATATCCCATCCTAGCTTTTGTCTTCTCTTTGCACATTTGCATTCTTATGTTATGATTTCTCATATTGCAATTAACCAATCTACTTCATGATACTGTGATAAGTTCCGAACCTATCAACTTCTATGCCCATCAACAAACACGTTCGTTTACACTCGATAAACGCTAAACCCTAATTAAATATCAAATTCAGGAGGATTAGTGCAGAAGAACAGCTAGATTACCCACATTGGTCATCAAAAGATTAAAATCAATAAATAACTACAAAACTGGCAAGAACTAGTACAGTCAAGTGGCCAGAATTCCACCAAATTGACATCACCAAATATTTGGAACCGTACCGTGATGTCTAAAAATGAGTACAAAGAAATCAATAGTTATATTTTAGCTCGTTATAGAGTTATTGTCCATTGTGTTTTCCGTAATGATTTTGTCTAGTGCGTGTAATCGGTTGAGCATTGAAATGCTATATGGTCAAGTATATGAAAGGTGCGTTACATAGCTTATGCACATTTTCTTTCCTACAGTTAGGTAGGCTTTCTGTAAAAATCTAACTGCAAGTGTACTATGTATTCAGTAATTTTGAGTTTTTAAAACTTGGTAGTGCTTATGTTGAATCGTGAATGAACACGGTGATTGGTGATAAACAGACGGCAGTGGAGAGGAACAGACATTTCACGTTTATTCACAATTTGTTTCTCTCTATTTCACTTGTATTCGCCTTCACCTCCCATGTTTTTGTTTGCTTGAGTAAGTGATGCCTGGTCGACTTTTAAGCTATGTGAAGAAATTGGATTTTGTAATTAAATGTCATAAAGTCCCTAAATTCAATCCTGTCAGTAACTATGTGGTTCGTTTGTAGAACTTTTTCTGTTCTGTTCACAAAGACTGCTAGTGATGCGCCACAGTCCTGCTTGTCAATAGTAGTTTCAGCGACAAGTACTGTACAAATGGTTGTATGGCTTTGGCAAATAGTCGCGTAAAAAAGATATCCTCTTGCTCAAAGAGCGCTTGTCTACTTCTTTTAAGTGTTCAGTTATTTTTCTTGACTTTCGCTATGTATTTGTGCCCTGAAAACCTGTCAACTGCTCCGGTGTCCTCTAAATTTTTAAATTCAGAAATGGTATAATAATATACTGACAACCTTGGGTGACTTATCAGCTAATCGGGAAACGGTACTTTGTTATAAAACAACTAACAATACTAAGTAGCGAAATAACAGCTTTGATGGTAATAATTAAAGTTCTCCGGGTAAGCGATCCTTTATAGCAAGGGAAAAAAGCAAGTTTTCATATACATGTTCATTACTAGAACTTGGGCTAATATTGTAAGTTAGGGTTATCACCCCATAAAGTTTTCTTCACAAACTGGTGTCAGTTATAACGCAAGTGTTAAACTGGAGTTTTGCTTCGAGTTTACAAATTAGGGTCATGGTTTTCAACACGAACTAACTCCAGCTACAATGCAATGTTGCATAAGAGACCGCCTTATCGCTCTTCTGTTTACAAACTTAGGAAACTTGAGGCTGAAATTTAGGGTGGGAGTAACAAAAGGAAAACATGAGCTCCACTAAACTTGATTACTCATTGGACGACATTTATTACTTAAATGATCTGTCTTAAAAACAGTGCCATATAATTTAGCCTAAACACCGTCTGAAATTCTGCTTTTCCTTGTGCAAAAGATATTTTCATTGATTTAAAACACCTCGAAGACCGTATGTTGACAAATTCCACTTTATTAACAAAAGCAGACGTTATATACCAGTGCTTTTCAAACCTGGTGCAAATTGACCAATGTGTTACCTTAATTCGGATTGGTTAACTCAAAGCCGTCAGTATGTTATACTTTTACTGCCAAAGACCACAAAGAAATATTTCCAACCATTGTTCGTTAGTTATTTACACTGACGATCTTTATCAAAAACATAGATTGTTCTGGAACATATTTTGCCACATATATCAGGATCACACTCAATCCAACAGACAATTTATGAGCTAAAGCTTTGTTTAGAGCAGTGACAAATGCATGCTGTATCTGCTCCCTACACATTGTGGTAGCCAAGAATAAACTGGGTCGTTCAGAAAAAGTAAAGACTCGAATTGAAAATTATCAATAAGCCATAATTTGCATTATCCATTAATATGTTGCTCATAAACAGCATAGCCAACAAACCTAGGCCGAATAAATGCGGGTGCGGATATTTAAAATCGACATTCATTCAGCTTAATTGTTATGCGATGTAGCTACAGCTTGTGTTCGAGAGTGATGTCCCGTCGTTCGCATTTAGGCTGTTTTATTATTTTTGAACATTAGTATGCGTCAGGCTTACTTTTGATGGCGGTCAGTTAACTTCAGAACAACTTTTAGTTATATTGTACGCTTGAACCCTATTCTATCTAAAAGTTTGGGGGTATTATCATTTAGCTATTATTTGAAAAATCAATGTAAGTCATCTGCATTTTAGATACTTTAGAGTATAATTATTAACATCGTCTTGCACGAATAGCCAGGCGCACTAAGAAGGCAATTTTCTCATTACTAATAAATACCATATTTATGTATGAGCTGGGTTACTACCAGTACACAGGCTGAGTAAATGGCTTTCTTGGGAAAAGGGATGCCTTAACCTAGAGGTCTAGTCCACAAAACATCAGAACGACGTTGGTAAACGCGGTCTCATGGTAGCCGGTGACTAAAATAGGTGCGTACACTATCCCCTTCCTTGGGATCCTGGAGCCCACTCACCCTCTCGGTTTAGAATCGGTGTTTTTCTACCCCTATAGTTGGACCATATTTATCTTTTAATCGGGTTTAAGTGTCAAATGTTCTGCTCTATAAAGACCATACCATGTCAACCCATTAAATAAGAGTTATCTGGTAGAGTGTATAAATAAATGGCTGTATGTGAGAATTTTGACGGGACAGGAATATCTCTACCTACGACCGTACCGGTACATTTGGGCCGTATGCTCGTACTTATAACTTTAAGTCACTCTGCCACCAATATGACCAACTACTAGTAACACAGAATAAATGTTGGTTGTTCACCTATCGCTTTGACCCAATTCAAATTGTTGCATTCTTGTAATTATGTTGGTGAATTTCAACACTTAGAATCCTCATGAATAAAATATTTGTTTGTTTTTTAGAAATCATTTACCACAGACTAAAATCATATAAACGTATATGATTATTTTATTGAATGTAATGCTTGTAAAAATGATGACTGAAGTATCCAATTTCTTTGGCTTCATTTGATACTCGTATTATGCATTTCTATATACGAATCAATTAAATTTCTAGTTTGAACATCTTTATGTAAGTCAAATATTTGACTAGTCAGCTGTACACATGTATAGTCAATTACATTTACATTTATCCACGCCCTAATATTTCGTTTAATTATGTTTCAACTAAAAACATTGATTGATTTTATGTTATTTTATTCTATTAAAAATATGGCGATTGTTAAACTTGTCCACTTTGACATAGTTTTTTATTTGTTTACTAACTACGTGACTTAAAAGCATCCCATTTTGAACTAACCAAACTATCTCTTCTAAACTACCAAGAAAACGTTATCTTATGCACAAGATTATCATAAATTAATGAAAGAATGTGGTACTACACAAGAATGTTTCAATTCATACCGAGTATTTTTAAGTTTCTGTTGTAAAAATAATGCAAAACACTGAGTTTATTTGAAACACCTAAATCATCACTCGTTTTTCATAATAAATCCAAATCAGCCTCTAAGTATGCAGCCACTTGAGTTAAATGAACCGATGTTCTTAGTATCTTTTTACTTGTTCATTATTCGTAAATTACACAGTCTTTATCTATGTCATACATCCTTATGCTTTCACACTTCAAACTCAGTATCGATAGTTTAGGCTGGATCCTAGTTTTAAGAAGCGTAAATGTCCTGTCTGTGAAGCTAGATCTGTCAAAATCTACAAGCGTTGATAAATTTTAATCTGAAGGTAGTGAACTGTCTTCACGTGTTTAAGTCGCTTATATAGCCCGGAAAACGTGTGGTCTACTAATATTCTTTGTTGACCTACTTTTTGTCAGCTGGTCTGTCATAATCAACATAGGACTTGGCACAACAGTATGTTAGTAGTTGTCATACTACATCAGCCATGTGGCCAGTACTTGCCAATACAACTCCGTTCAACAGTTAATATCTGCATGGTCTAAAGCCACCCACGCCTCGGTTTTTTCGTTCCCTAGATTCTTACCAACCTATTTCTGTCCCAGTTAGTGCCGCGCGTCAGTAATCTAATGACTGGGCATACTTAACACAGAGCTTAATAACTCCCTGTGTATGCCTAATTAACTGTGATTTTTAACGTTATTATTGGTAAAAGTATATACAAAGCGGGCATGGACAGGGTAATATCTTACTTTCCATAGTGATTGTCTAATTCATTAAAAACGTGGGTTAATAAAGGGCTTATTCAATAGGATCAATCATATTTGTATCAGTCATACTATTGAAGGAAACATGAAGCTCTTAACTGAAACATTAATAAATAATGGTTATTACTTGAAGTTTATAAAGCGTTGGAAAGGTTGCAATACGATGAGACCTATGACGCTTCTGGTACCCATAAAGCAAGTCTACATTACGTTACCATTTGGAGGTGATTCAAATACTCTCATGTTGAAATAGAGACTTAAATTAGTTATCAATGGGACATTTTATGCAGCCCAACTTGTCATTATTGAAAAGACAAGGTCTACGCTTCACTGAAAACCAAAACAACACGTAAGCGATTGTGTTACATCCCACTGTATTTATCAATTTACATGTATGAGCCGAAACACGTACATAAAGAGGAGCAATCTTGATCTTCAAGTAAGGGTGGTTGAACAAATACCCAAGTGGCTGCAAAGACAAATAAATTTCTGTTAGCGGGACATAGACTGGATTTAAAGCATGCTCAATGCACGATTGCTTTGGTGCACGCTGATTGGCTAATTCTTATCCAATCAGCACTAGTCGATAGTTTGAGACTACTCTAGAATCTTCTCATCTAAAAACTATAAATATACTGACGTTTTTCCCTATTGTGCTTCTTACTTGCTTCTTACTTCCATCTAACCTTGTTATTTGGAATATAATCTCTTTCCTGTTCAACCGTGTTCTGATTTGGGGTCTTGTCGAGTGATTTGGTGTCCAAGAATACTAAGCAATAGGAATAGCTGGGTCATACAGTAAAAAGAGATTATAACAATTTCAGTGGTCAAATAAAATCACAGGATAGACAAACAACTTCCTCCACTGCAAAACATTTAGTTGAGACCGGTCACTAGGTTAATATCAAGCCAGCTTTTATAATTTTGTACAAAAGCCTTTAAGGACATATAATAAGGTTTATTGAAGCCTTGGCTGTACGGAAACTTTTATTCTTGACCTAACCTAGTCAGTCAGTCAGCTATAACGTAGGACCAGGCACATATATGCATCGGTCCAAGTTGTCATACCTCATTAACACAACAAGATGAACACCGGATTCATAGACGTAGTGGTGGTAATATGTAAAAGAAAGATATGAAGCGATTTTAATCTGGTCGTTTAAGGAAAGACGGAGAGTGTATACACCTACGCTATTGTGGTCGATTCTGAGCCATGTCACCGAGAGTCTCCAACCATTGGTTTCGATAGTCACGCGGTCCCCAACCAATTAGTGTGCATCTACCAACATGGCTCAGACCAGAAATGAGTGACTTCAAGTACTGATGCCACGTTTCTGTTTAGCCGCCCTTAACTTTTTTTCAACCATCCCCAACACCAGTTATCAACCTACCCTGGTAATACTGATTTGTTATTCAGAGTAGCTTTCACATTGTTTTTGTGTACTTTATTATTATCTTTGTTTCCGCTTACCTTTTAATTTATCTAGTTGACCTTTTATTTTTCATATAAAGTGTCTTAATAAGTATGTGTGATCAGATTGTTCGAAATGTATTACGCAAATATATCACATAATCCTAATAACCTTTGTCCTTTCATTTCATTATCGAGATTTATCAAAGGGACTAATTGTGTTGAAAGTAAACTCTTCTTTTTGAGTTATATATAGAATAAATCTATGGAGTTAGAGAAAAAAAATTAAAATTTTCGTATTGCGCTTTTTTGTATTACGGGTTTTCGGTTATACTTATTTGGTTACTATCAAATAAAACTAATTACATGCTATTAATAAGTCAATCCAGTGTTCACATCACTATTCAAGTGTAAACTGAACAGTGTTCTTAATAATCTCTAACTACTCATATCTTTCATTCGTTTCAATGTATAATTCATTTATGTTTTGATTGATTCGTTCAATAGAATGATTGAAGACGTTAATTGTTATAAATAGTTTCTATCGTTTTCTTTCTGCTATCAAGTTTGTAATCAAATCTGTCTTCAAACGCTATGATCAATATTGAAATATATATTGTGTAAACACACTTAACTTTTCTTAAAATTCATTCAGAAAAAGGATCAACATACACTTCATATTTCTCTCTCTCTCTCTCTCTCAAGATCTATCGATTAGTATGTGTTGTTGCCTTTCAGTGTTTAAAATATAGCCTCAACATTCTTGTCCATTTAAAGTGGATTACATGAAAAAAATAATGTGTGTACACAATGATTTGTTACCATTCATGTAAGATATTGATTGACAGTTCAATAGTCATATATGTGCGTAAGTCTTTCGTCGATAAGATTATTTTGAGAGGTGTGTTCTCATTGACGATGGAAAGGGGGGCTGGTTTCAGCACTGTTGTCTTAGCAGTTTACCACTTTATCATACAAAATTGTGATGTTTTTTTTGTGTTATTTGCTCATATCGATTAACAACTCTGTAGTTTCATCAGCATGGCTTTCATATGTTAACTTATTGTTAACAGGTAATTCAACGATACGGGATACGTTAGCCTTATATTTGTGATTAAGTTAATATCGAGTGCTGTTTAGGGTACAAGAGTGGTTGTCGGTTCCCGATTGTCTACACCGTAGACTCATACTTCTTAATATATCTGAGAAGAAAAGTGGGCGAGGGGTGGTCTTGACGACTTAAATACTCAACCTTAGTGCTCAAGAGGCGGCTACTTGAGGCTAGTCGCGCACAGCATTTTCTAGTAGTTTTTGCTTTGTTAGCGTCGTACTTTTCAAATTGTACCTCTGGTAACGGAAATCTGTGGGGCAAGGTGAGGTAGATTATTTTTAGGACCAATCTTTTCTGTCCCTCTTTCTGTTGCAAAAATGCAGTATTTCTGGAGATGCTGGCTATCTGGAGGTAATACCTTAATGCTGTTGGGAATGACAATTTCGACCTCGGATCATGAGTTTGTTGCTTTTAGTCTTACCACTCTCCAACCAAACTGCTTGGCATTGTAGGACCTAAAGGCACAAATGTTCCAACCAACAGGTAAATTGAGTCACAGCGATGTGTAAGCCTGATCACTACATCCAGGTAGCAGCTAGTGTCTTGTTAATTTTATTGTATTATCTTAATGTGGCAGGGCAACTTGGACAATACACATTTGTCTCAGGATCTATATTGATTGTGGGAGGTTGACTTCGTATTTATATCTACCTGTGTTGAACAAACGAATAGACTGTACAATTACTTCTGATTTTTGGAATATTGTTAGGTATAGGTTTCGTTGTATTGATAATCAGAGACTGGTGTCATGGGGCAACAATCAAACCTGAAACGCATTAATCCGATTGTAGAGTGAATTACCTACAGTTGTCTTATCGTTCAGTCATCTATTTGTTAAATAACTTTTAGTCACATTTTTCCTTGTATTCAGTACTTAATATATAAGCATGTTATTTTGCTAGAAGAAAAAAATTCATTCTTCCTATCAACGGTGTTACTTATCCCTTAGTCTTGAATTCTATTCATGATTAGGTTGTGAATGTTACACTGTCACTAAGTAGTTTGATACTGAGAACAAAATATCTAACCACTATTTCTTGATTTCTAATAATTCTCTAATTAAATTCAGTTATTGATATGAAGTTACCATAATTTAACAATTCATAAACTCTTCACACTTACAAAAACGTAAGTTCATTAGTGCTATTATCACTATCTAATATATCCATATCTATATATAATAACGAAAGTGTACTTTTATTTCTCATCTAATCTGTGTTAATTATACTTTATTTTTATCCTTTTTTTATAGTTTTCTTGCTAATAAACTATATACATATCTATACATAGAAAGAGAGAAGTATATGCATACATACATTTATATTTACATATTAGTTCCACTTATGGTTACTTCTATATCTGCGGAAGAATTTCAACGTTTTCAATCTCAATTACTTGATTTACGTGAAGCACAAATTACAGCAAATGATGCAAAACTACGTGCAGAGAAACGTATTAAACAATTAGAAGAAGAATTAATTTATACACAATCAGCATTAACTAATGCTCAAACTACATTTTCTGATCATAATTCATTATTAGAAGAATTAAAACAAGAGAATAAATTATTACGTGATAAATTATTTAATACTGAATCATCATTTCAATTACAATCATCTACATTACGAGCTGAATGTTATCGGTTAACTAATGAATTAGATAAATTATCACAACAATTATCATCCAATCATACAGATACTACTAATACTACTACTACTAATAATAATAATAATAGTAGTAGTAATAGTAGTCGACAAGATGATTTTTGTCAAACAATGATCATTAACTTACAACATCAATCAATTCAAACGAATAATGATCCAAATTGTGAATTGAATCAAATTCCCGCATTTTTAATGAATGATATAGAAAATCTTACAAATTCATTAAAACAAGCTAATTACACTCATGATCAATTAAAACAAACCATTGAACAATTGAATAATAAAGTTGATACCATTGAAAATCAAATATCATTTGATATATTCAATGCTCAACAAACCATTAAAAAATTAACTCAAGAAAATAAATCCCTTTTAATAGAATTAAATAAATCTCAAGAGAAATGTTATGAATTGAATATTATTGAAAGTGAATTACGTAATCAAATAGATGTGATAAAACGTCGTAGTGAAAAATTAAATCATGAATTAAGACGTCAATTAAGTCGATTTATACGTAATCAACATAATGGTGATATTGATATATCTATACAACAATTAAGAAAGAATTCATTACATTCATCATCATCTTCATTAACTAGTAGTAATATAATCTTAGGAAATTCAACATCTGATGGAATATCTAATGAAATGATGAATAATTCAATGATGATGAATAATAATTTATCAAATGTATCTATGTCGAAAAATACTAGTTTTCATGAAATGCCTCCAGGATTTTTTTCAACAGCTGACTTTAAAGTAAGTAAAAATAGAATCTACTCTTTTGTATTCTTCTCATCTTTTTTTTTCTAACAAGAAAACATTCTATGTAACGAACTGATTACAGGTGGAGAATTCAGGAGCTTTCCACAGTTGTTTCACTCTAGTGTCACCCTGCCCATTTTGGTCATTCTGACATGCAATGTTTAGAGGACTCTCTTACAAATGCCCTGGTAAGGCTGAGAGTTAGCTCTTCCTCTTGAAATGCTTTCACAAATGGCCGCGCTGTGGTGCGTGCTACTTATATTGATATAAGTAATGTCTGGCAGCAGAAGATGAGGAAAGATCAAGAAAGGAAGAGCAAGAACACAATGCAGTTTGTAAGAAACCGCATGAACAATGAAATGTGAGACAATGGATTGATGTTTGCAACGGCAACAGTCCGATTTGATATGATGGAATGATATTTTGCAAATTAACGATTTACTATATGGTTTTTCTATTTTACCAAGTAACTCTGTAATTTTGTGCTAAATACATTCAGTTGTCCCCACTCGTGTTCTGTTCACTACAACGCGTATACAGCCACTTTCAGGGAAGTTTCTACTCATTGCCTTCTCGTGCCACGTCTCTAGGACTCCAGCCAGGGAGTCGTGATGGACCAACACAAACCAGTCCTTTGCAGCTTTCTTTCATACCACGACACCATGTCATGTACTGACCACCTCTCCACTTTTTCTAACTAGTCCCAGAGTCGGCAAATAATGCACGACGAGGAATCTCTCTGGGACGACATTCGTAGAACATGTCCAAGCCACCGAAGTCGATGTTTCAAGATGGTGACACCAATTGGATTATCATCTCTGTGTCCGAACACACGGTGCGGAACCTCTGCATTACTAACATGGTGTTGCCACTGGATGTCAGCAATCCTTCGGAGACAAACGATGATCAAACACAGAGAGTCGTCTAACATCCTCAACTCGGAGAAGCCAGGTTTCACAAACATAGAGCAAAACTGCTCTCACCGACGCGTTGTAGATCCAACCTTTTACAGCCAAACTGACATCACGAAGGCGCCAAAGATGGCCCAGATTGGCATAAGCCGCTCTGGCTTTCACTATACGTGCACTGATCTCATCACTTACACCCCCACCAGCACTTATGCAGCTACCTAAGTACACGAACTTCTCGACTACTTCTATCTGCTCACCATCCAGGGTGAGTACAGGATTAGGATCCTGCCAGTCTTGTTGAAGTACTTTGCACTTCGAAGGTGCAAAGCACATAACATAGCCCCCAAATGCCCTGGTACGGCCGAGAGTAGGGAGAGTCCGTCCTCCATCTCGAAATGCTCTCACACGGCCACACGTATATAGCCTCTCCCAGGGAAGTCCTACTCACTGCCTTCTCGTGGCAGGGGTGTTGTTTACGAAAATGAGAGGACGAAAAGCGAATGTCCGGCGCTTTAACCGGATCCCAAACCAATGGTGCACATGGGCTCCAGTATCCTGCGGGAACAAATGGCGTATGAACCAATCGTTGGTAACCGGCTATTATGGGACTGCATCTCCTTACGATGCTCCATTGCCTTGCGGGTCAGACCTTTAGGTCATCAAAGGCTCGGGGTGTGGCCCCCCAAGATAACCACCTGCTTCGGTCTGGGCACCCGGGCAGTATCGCAGTCCACACGCAAATGATGAACTCTCTATATCTATGGAAACTACTTTCCTCGCTTCGAATAACAAGTACTTTGCACTTCGAAGGTGCAAAGCGCATACCATAATCTCAACTACTTCTAAACGTCAATTAGAACAATAAAGAAGAGGCATGTATTGAGAAGAAAACCTTTATTTAAAAGTTAGTTTCCGTACAAAAAAGACAAGGGTACCTATAGAGTTGAACACGACCTTAGACTTCTGAAAATGTCTGTAGCAGTATACAGGTAAATATCTTATCAAAACTGTGGCATCATGATTCTGGATGTTTCTGCTGAGCTTCTTTTCTATTTTTAATTGAATAAAATGTTTAACGGCATTTCTGAGTTTCTAAAAACCTTGGAGATGAATGTTTTCAAACAAATCGGTACGTATTTTTGTAAGATATCGTATTAAAGTTATTTTCCTGTCATAATTACTTGTTGAGGCAAATGATAACCGGAATATGTAGAATAGACTTGTATATTTTAAAGTCTATCAGTAGCATCATCTTACCATTTATATAGTCTTTAATCATAAATTTATATATAATAATAATTTTTACCAGGCTATAATCGATCGAATGTCAGAAGTCCAAGAAGAAAATTGTACTCTTCGAAGATGTAAAAAACGTTTGGAAGCAGATTTAATGGCTAAAAGCAAAGTTATACAAAAGGGATTAGATAATTACCTTCAGTCTCCATTAATTTATCATGGTAACAATGACACTGTCACTGCTACTACTACTACTTCAATACCAACTTCAGCAGTATCCTCAAGTCAGTATCGATCAGTTCCGTCAAGTATTTCACCGTATACATCTGCAACTACTCCATCTTCTTCGTCATCATCATCAAATTTCCCTAATTCAACGACATGGTTTCCATTCTTGAGAAATCTCACTTCAACATCGGACTCATCAACACTGACATCAGCGTCAACATCATTATCCAGTGTGAATTTACAAACAGTTAATCGATTGAAATTCATGTGTGAACAATTAATGACAGAGAATATTGAATTAAAAGAGAAATTACAAAGTATACCATAATCAATTTTGTCCTGATCCCGACAGATAAATAAGATTGTGTATGTGTGAGTGTTTGTATGTATAGATAAGTGTTCTTTACTTCAACCTACTATTTGTATCATTTTTATTGAAGAAACTTTTATTCCATTCCAGTGTTGTTGTTGTTATTGTTGTGTGTGTGTGTGTTCGTTTACTTTTCGGTGCTGTTCGATTTTTAGAGTTTGTTTCTTTTCTCTCTATTACTTTCTTGTTGTTCAGATCTCATCATTTGTTTATTGTTTCTATAATGAAAAACACAGATTATTTACTTACTTATTATTTACTTACCTGTGTAGTTTGATTTTTGTCCCCCCCCCCTTTTTTCATTTTTTTTAAATAGAAAAAAATGATGTGTGGGTGTGTTTCTTTGTATCTTGGTTTCTTGACAAAGAAGAACCCAGTGTTTACATAACTTGTACAAAAAAACAGAATTTCTAAAAGTAGTATGCACTGTTTTTCTTTATTTTAATTTGAGATTATTATTATTTTGTGTTTGTGTCTCGGTGATACATACATATATGAATATATACGCATTCACACACACACACATACGTGTACGTATATGCATAGATATATGTGCACACTAATACACTTAACACTTATCCAAATTACGCACAAATTCACTTTCATATACACATTCAAGTACACTTTCACACAGACATACATATCAGATACAAATATACCGATATATTTAGACAAAATTACATTCATATATATATAGAAGATCGTTTTTCTAGAACAAGAAGCACTCAAAGTATCCTTTCTTCATTAAGGTTTCTCATTATACTTTCATTACTATTATCATTATTATCAGTAATACTTAACCAATCTTTTCTATTAATTGCACAAATATTTTTTTTGCCTTTTAAGAAAATTTATTTCTTATTCTTGTAAATGACATTGATGTTTGTGTAATGGTAAGTTACTTCATGGTGATTTTTGTTGTTGAAGGAGGAATTATTCGGCGAACAGTGTCAAATTGTATACATTTTCAATAAAGTTGAATATTTGATGGATCTTTAAATGGTACTTGTACCCTAACCTACATTGTAACAATTCTAGCTAGCTATATTGGTTATATATACATTCAAAAAAAAAAACTCATCATATCCCGAGTAGATGATTTTAGTTTACACTATGAGTGAAATTGTCAAATTTTACAGCAGAGAGTTGTAATATTGAATTAATTGGGGTTTTGAACATGTGTCCACGGTCTTCACTAAAAATTTTTTCCTATAGAGAAAAGGGGAAATGACACACACCTACATATACACATTTGTATTTCACTGATTTTTATTGCTCACAGTAAGGTTCAAAAGGTTTAGAATTAAGATAACGAAATCTGAAAAAGGATATACATGAAAGAACAGTATGTAATTAGTCTGAAGTAGTTTCTCCTTGAGCTCTAAAGTTGCTGTGGTCATCAACACTAGACCCGTTTCATTTTTCAGTTTCTCAATAAGAATATTACTTTTCAACGATGTATAACTAATCATAGTGTGTCAATCGTCCATAATGTTTTAAGTACTTAGAACATCAGCTCTAATACCAAAATGGTATTTAACTATATGAATGGATAAACTTCGCACCAAACCACAAGACTTACTGTTTTTGATTTCATTGGTTCGTTCACAAATTATAGTCTAGGCGATTCCACTGAGAGTTCACTGTGTTGGCTGCTTATTTTTTTGTTTTTGCTTATATTTTATTCTTAGTCGTGAGTTGGGTAGTTTAGAACTAAATTTGCGTATGACATTGGTCTAGTGTCGTGACATACTATCTGGATTATCGATCGAGTTAGTGACCAGTCTAATTTCTAGTATACAGTCTAATGATCCTATATCAAATCACCTCAGTGACAAAAAAGGTTGTTTCTTCATTCTAGAAAAATATAACAACCGATATCCAGAAAGAAAGAAAAAACTATCATTTATTGTCAAATGTATGCATATATTTGCCTATCGAATTTATATATTCATCAACGGTACATTAGTACACATGAACATATGTACAAACATAAACGAAAAGACAAGAACAACAAATAGGTTTAGTACAAAGATAAGGAATTAAAAAAAAACAACTACCAATACAAGCCTATTAAATAGAGCGAAATTCGAATTAATCACCCTGGCGCCCCTAACACACAGATACATAAATACCAAGTTAATTGTAATCACATCATGTAGATGTAGGAAGCGTGGATTATCACCGTGTTGACAAAGCAAATAAAATGGATTATGTACGTTTCTCAAATATGAAGAAAATGTTATACATTACACCATTTTAAGTCAAAGTTTGTTCTCTTTTTTTTGGAGAAAGAATACTACAATGACAACAATTATTATTAAACGTTTCGACCAGTTTGATATTGAATAGTTGAACGGAATTTAAACAAATTATTTATGAAAACCATAGCTTTTTGCTCGTTCGCTTCATTTTCTCCATGCTCTAATAGTAGACTGCTATCAATTGTATTACCATTATTATTAGAATACGATTTCATCATAAAATTCATCGCTTGTTTTTCATCATAACCGCATGTCATCAAAGCGTTGGTTATATCAATACTGTTTATACTTGTATATTCATTTTTCAATGTTTCCCAATTTGTGTCAATCGTATCAAAATCTAAACAATAAGAATTGGAGACAGTAGTTTTGGTCAATTCTGGATTGGCAATTGCATCAACCTGTATGTAATTGATTTTCAGAGTAGAAAAAACACAATATTGATTATTATATAAAGTGGATATTCAAAGACAAGATTAATGAGTGGAACTATAATTTATGGACGACTTTCAAGTGACGCTAAAGTGACATAGAAAACGTCCACCAACGTACTAGGGCTAATTGAGTGTTATAAACCTGTGTGAAGAATAAGGATTATGGTTAGGGTTAGGAATTAGACTTAGAGGTTTCATCACGAGCTAAATTCAACTAAAATGCCAAAACGCTATTTAGCCAAATGGATGTAAATGAATTTCGCGCCAAAATACAAAACCTGTTATCATTAATCTGATTAATATGTCCATAAATTATAGTCTCGCCGATTCATGAGTTTCACAATATACGACCCGATTAAAATCGATTGTTGGTTTTTTATGAGAAATTAACACAAACACAAGATTCTATGGACAATTTTTGATGGAGGAACTATGATTATTCACATTATCTTGAATATACAATAAATGTTATTATATTAAGCCACTTTTTGATCATTTTTTGTTGTTGCTTCATTTAATATATGAATCTGAATATCATAGTGTAACTGTTATTTATTTTATTTATTTGAACACATAAATATTAGTACAAGGGGCCCCGAATACATATGCACCACACAAGTCACTTGATTTGTGTGTGGGCTATGATACTGCCCGGGTGCCCAAACCGGAGCAGATGGTTTACTTAGGCAGCCACATCCAGAGCCTTCGGCCTAAAAGTCTGATCCAAACGGCAGTGTAACAACGTCAGGAGATGCAGTCCTGTGGTAACCGGTGACCAGGATGCTGGAGCCTATGTGCACTATTAGTTTAAAATCAGGGTTTTTCAACTCCCTTAAGTGGATCCTCCATATCCACCAACCAGGTTAGAGCGTCGGACATTCGATTTTCGTCCTCTCAATTTCGTAAACAACACCGGTGGCGCGAGAGGGCAATGAGTAGAACTTCCCTGACAGTGGCTGTATACGTGTGGCCATGTGAGAGCATTTGCAGAGGGAGAGTTGACTCTTCTCACCCTCATCCGTACCAGGGTGTTTAGGGAAAAGTCTCGCTTCATCTACTTCAATTTAAACGACCGATAACTTACTACTAGTAATCCTACTTAAATTAGAGGTCATAGCCAATCACACTAATGTGTACTTATTAATAATAAATAAATTAGTATACAGTGATATTACATTTGTAAAATCTATTGTTTTTCTCTCTCTTGATCATGGAAATCTATTCAACAGTACTGAAATTAATGTATACAATAAACAACTCATAACCTACACACGCAACACAAATATACTTGGAAAATAGATAAAACACTCAACATGAAGTGTAACAATAGTAATAACAACAATAATAATAATGGATCCTTTGATCAATTCTAAAAATGAAGTGAATTTAAAGGTCAGCTAGAAAAGAAAAAAACACTGATCGATAATGACCAAGCTACGGTTTAAAGTGAAACATGGTAATCATTCAACAAGAGAAAGTAATAATAATGACAGCGAAATCCGACTACAAAGCCTAAACTTGGTGCTACTATGTAGTGAGAACAATCCTGTTAGCTAATATGGATGGTCAGCGGAGATGGGACTAATCCATTTCACTCCTGTAAATCGGACTAATCAGGTTCAAATCTCGAGGTTTACTAAAACCTTACAGGCTGTCTGATATGGATGCTTATGTATCAGAATTAAATGAGTTTCGGCTTGTAAAGTTTATGAGTGTAGATATATGCAAAGGGTACGAGCATCTGTTACCGCAAGAAATGGTAAGCTGAAAAAAAATGTCTCCCATATGTCTAATAAAATCAGAGGCCTAATTATTCAGGTCGAATACATAATCAAAAATATGGTAGCTAATAAAAAAAGAGATGACCGTAAACCCTCCCTGAAACAGTGCTTATGATTATATGTCTGTCATTCGGTTCAAGGGCGAAAGTCTTTGTACCAGTGGTATGCATGTAATGAATAAGTGACAGTCAGTTCAAGCGAATACATTCAAATGAAGTGGTGACCATCTACACTTCCAGGTGGGTAAATATAACTATGTGTATGCTAACGGATGCATGGGTGAAAACTTGTGTTTTACCAGTATGCTCATAGACCATACTTGCCCCTGGTGCGCTGACCGTGTGTCAAGACCCAGGATATCGACTCTTACATAAAATTATTTATTTATTTGACCACATAGATATTGGTACAAGGAGGCACTAAATACATATGCGCCACACAAATCTCATTTGATATGGTGTGAGGGCTGTGATACTGCCCGGGTGCCCAAACCGAAGCTGGTCTCCATAAGATTACATTCACACGGTGAATTTGTGAGCCTTGAGAAACGGGAACTGTTCCCACTCGGCGTCAACGGATAACGTTTGACCAACTTTAACCAGACTGGAACACCGTGTATTAAAAAACACGAAATTCAGTGAATGGATCTTTTTTTCAACGAATTCATCATCAAGCTATATAATCGTATGTACATATGGAAACTTTAATTGTAAGTTTTAATCCCTTAAGCCATTATTATCATTATTTTAGTTCATATTTAAAAATATGCCCATCTCTTTTTAGTCATGTTTCATATTCTCATGATTTTAATTATAATTTATTTCTGATATCACTTCATTTCGTTTAACCCTTCTATTACCTTTGATTATTGTAACAAAACATTTGTCCGATCTGACATAAAGTTAGAACAATCAAAGCTCCAGTACGTAAGTTAACAAACGAGTTTCGGCAATAACCGGGAATAAAACTATATGACCTCGAACCGTTACTATTGGTGATGCCTTGAGAATAAAGATGAAGTCATGGGAGAAGTACTGGTAGTAGAGACGGAAGAAATACTAGGAAGTGATGAAAGGATTTAATTGGGAACCATGAGATGCATTCGTTTTACAGCCGACATTTTCTGACCTGCCCTTCTTCATTAAGAAAAGGCAGTATTGATGCGAAAGATAGTTGTCTGAGGAAAACACCTATGTTGCTATCATGCCCCCCGTATCACACAATCGACAGCACGAATTCACCATCGGACATCGAACTGTTGCTTCAAGTCCCATCGTTCTCAAAATGACCTAGAGGAACTTGTATCTGTCGCAAGTTAGATCGTAAAATGATAGCTATTGAAATATACATGACACCAAGCCTCGTATATAATTGTTGACTTTATTCGCGTTAGTGAATAGCGGGATAAGTCAGATACGAGAATGAATTTTGAATAGGTTTATTTCATAAGCTCTTTGATCTAGACAGACAATCAGAGAATCGAAGAGAATGAAACGGATAATTTAGTTGGAAAAATGGTAAACGAAACGATGCGCAGCAGAGAAGATGAGTGAGCAAACTCAATATGACCAAACGTATCTCAATATTTATAGTCAGACCAAAGATAAGTTACAAACACGTAATGAATGGAGTGAGCAATTGACACACCTACGATCATACAGAAAACATTCAGGGTTAAGAAGCGAACAATCAACAAGGCCAAAATGTGGCATGAAAAGATTGAATAAATTGGCCTATCCAGAAGCCAGAATAACCTGTTAGCTTGTTATAGTACCAGACACTACAGAACAAATGTTACAGTCAACATAGATTAATTGGGTCATTATAATATGTAAGCCTAATCATTATACATCAGGGTAGAAGCAGATACAATCTAGATCTCGATATAAAGTAATGTTAAAAAAAATTTAAGCAGAAGCGGTGATTAATTTCAAAACAACGAATAAGTACACGAAGCTTCATTGATCGAAGCTCTATATACAAGCAAGAACTGTACTGGACAGTTATTCTATTTCACAAATTGAATGAGTTTGTAAGATGTGGATTATTGGATCTCAGATTCAAAGATTTCAACTGATCTGCTAAATATTCTCTAAATTTGATTAAGTCTGGGGCTGTGTCAGTAAGCTCTACAATCATTGATCAATAATAAACCATGATTATAAATAGTTTTCAAATGCCCCTTATGAATCTCAATGATCTTTTTAAAGATTAGTATCCCAGCCTTCCATGAAATTAAGTTTGGAACTTTTTATGAATAATTTATCAATACCCTCATTTTTAAATAAATGAGTCAAATTGTATTTCAATTGACTGCATATGCAGTTAGTTACAATCAGTGTAGATAGAATCAAGGCGAAAAAAAGAAAGAATATTACATTTGAAAATTGAGAGTAAGATAAAGAG